ATAATAAATATACTATAATAAATACTATTATTATTTAAATTGTTATGTAATTTTTCAAATTCGATTTTCGTAATTTAATGCTTTTCAGCACAATATAGAAAAACCTGTGAGGAATTGGCTCTTTTGGGGTACACTCAAGATGACGTTTACAAAATCGACATCGATGGAAATGGTCGATTTCCGCCCGCTTCGGTAAAATGCGAATTTCAATCGATCGAAGATTCGACCAAGACAATCGTCGAGCACAATTTACCCTCTCAAGTGGATGTTAGATCTAGCACCGAGAACGATTTTTCCTTTAACATCAAGTACAGACAGTTCACAGCCGAGATGCTTCAAGAGCTGATTTCACACTCACTTTATTGCAGCCAATACGTAAAATACGACTGTTACAAAGCACCCTTGGACCTGCATAGTGCCACGTGGTTTCTGGGTTCAAAAGGGACCACTGTCGATTACATCGGAAACGTCAATCGCGGATCATGCCCTTGTGGGAGTAAGTTCTTTCTCAAATATAAATAAAACATTAATGCAATTTATAGCGATTAATCTAAAAAGATATGCGTTTGCAATTCTTATTTGTGTCTCGCACTATGTTATTTATATTTTTTATTTTAGTGAACAGAACATGCGTTCACTCCAACTTGAGCTGTAATTGCGACGTTTCTGCCGGAAATGCGGGAAAATGGCTTTCAGACGAGGGATACTACGAAACACCTGATTCTTTAGGCATCACGGGAATGATATTCTTGCAACAAAGAGATCTCGAGGAAGATGCTCGAGGACGTATCACTTTAGGACCATTAGAATGCGTTGAGACAAGTATGTGAAAATATGCTTTCTATTTTATTAATTAAAAATATGCTTTTTATTTTTAATTAACAAAATTTCAAAGGCATATTATAATTAAGTGATAATGCTAATTATTATATTTAATCAGTCAAAAAGAATACTATTTCGTTTTTCGAATATTGAATGCAAAAAAAAAAGCAGAAAGTTTTTAAAAGTAACATATTAAGCAGATTAATTTGTAAAAATTAAGCAAATTAATTAGTGACGATTTTTAGATACCCAAAAATATGTGGTAACATTCACGACGTCGCAATCGTATATCGAAGTTCCGGGTTGGAGAAAGGGCGATATAGCCTTCAGTTTCCGAACGACGGGCGAGAAGGCTATTCTTTTGTATCAGCCGCCGATTCGGAGCAACTATCCTTGCTTCATGGTCGAGCTAACGTCCGAGTATCATTTGACATTTAATTTCACCCTAAACACTGGCACTATTCGCGAGTTAGAAGTAAAAAGCCAACGCAAACTCAACAATGGCGAATGGCAGAAGATTTGGATCGATTACAACGATTATCACGTGAGATTCATGATCAACACCGACTTTCAAATGGTGGATTTATTGCCCGAGGAAGAATTTGGACCCTTCGAAGGATCAATGTTCATCGGCGGTGCCACCGCGTGAGTAATTTTTGCGTATTAAACAATTAATTTTTGTATAATAAAATTATTTATTATGACGAAAAAAAAAAGATTTTCGAGTTTATAATATTTTTTTTATTCGAACTAACACTTTAATAATACTTTTAGAGAACATTTGAAAACTTCTTCCGTTCGACAAGGTCTCATCGGTTGCTTTCGCGGGCTTGTTGTCAATGGAGAGATATTAGATATTCATAGTTATATGTCGGTACATCTGTCGGAAATCATTAAGGATTGTAAGCCATCATGTCAACCTAATAAGTGTCAGAATGGTGCCAGATGCGTTGAACTATGGAGCAATTTCGAATGCGTATGCGAAAATCAATGGGCGCATTTAGGCACATTTTGCGAGACAAGTAAGCCTTTATTCAATTACTTGAAGAGCTTCTCTTTAAGCTGTTTTAAATTTATTAATTTTATTTTCGAAATGTAGAGATTATATTTTTCAAGTATTTTTTAAATTATTTTTTAAAAACTTTTGAAAATAAACTCGTCAATTTTAAAATACAATTACTACTAAAAATAACATTTCTGAATTCAGACATCAACAACAAATCTCTTACATTTACCTCGCCCGGAGCATTCCTGAAGAAAAACTACTTCGGATCGGACAATGACGAGGAGAAATTGCAATTGAAGAGCATGCTGCAGGAAAATATTCTGATTAATTTACGAACTTACGATACACACTCTCTAATACTTTATGCGAACGATCATTTAAATAACTTCGTGCATCTTTACATTTCGAATGGCACTAATATCGTATATCTTTTCAACGCCGGAAACGAAATTAAGAACATCACCGTGTCGAATCCACGTACGAATTAAAATCCTGATATATTTATTTAAGAGAAATATATATTAGAATTTTGAAAGGAATTAACTCGTGATTTTTATTAGACGTCAACACGGGAATCTCTGTGCAAATCGCTATTATTCGAGGCGAAAATTGGACCACGCTACACGTGAATGAATATAACATCACATTAAATGCGACACCCATACTTTTGGATACATACTCGAATAAACCGTGGACGAATCCAGAGAAAGAAGTTTTAGCACCGCAGCGACCGCCAGCGTCTCCCACTGATTATTTCCAAGTATTAAAAAAACTTAATTCTTTATTCAAATTTACATCGCAGAGATAATATTAAAAAATATATAAAGTCTATAGGAAAATAATTACGTTTTTTTTTTAATTTTTTTGTATTACAAAGCACGATTCGTATGCAAAAGAAATCTGATTTTTCAGAATATTTTTAAATATATAATAATCAGTAAGAAATATATTAAAAACAAAATATATAATAAAAATTAAATATATTTATATAATAAATATATTAATAGGTAAATTTAGGAGGCTTCGATCCTGACAATTTGCTTAGAGTCGGAAAAGAAGGTGCCTTAATTCAAGGTTACGTTGGTTGTTTGCGAGGACTTATGATTGGCAAATATCTCGTCGACCTGCCGAATTTAGCTAGCGAAGCAAATCATGAAGGCAGCAAAGGCGTTCTACCGAATTGTCAGATGAAATGCGACACGATGCCTTGTAAAAATTTGGGAATTTGTACGGAAGATTTTATCAGGCAAGAATCTTCCTGCAATTGCGAGCTAACGTCCTACTTTGGCGAACATTGCGCCGATGGTGAGCTTTTTATGATATATGTTATGTAATAAGAAATATACGCGTTTCATACTTAAATTTAAACATAAATATCTAAAAATCATGAATTTAAAATTTAAATTATGAGAGTGCAAAACTTTGCAAAATGCAACACTCATTCGGAGAGAATTCAGAATTTTAAAAATTTTCTTGAAATGACAAAAAAATAATTATATTTCAAAACAATATTTATTTCCATAGAAAAGCAAATGATTTATTTCTATGGAAGATCTGTCAAAAAAAGCAACGTGAGAGATTTTTCAATGTTTTCATATAAAAATTATCTTTCATATAGAAAAGGGCGCCGACTTTAGCGGAGAAAGTGTACTTCAACGAGAATTCGAACTCGAGGGTGAAGTAAATCACGTGAAGGTTCAATTGGCATTTTCGGCGAACGAACTGCGACAGCGAACTACCGCGTTGCTGCTGGTACAGACAGACAATAAGTAAAGTATCGATCTTAATATTTACTCAATGCTACATACACTCGTCCTGATATCGAAATCTAGAAATCCCGAATATCTTTCGACGATTCTCTTTCAGAAGGAGCTATTACCTATTAGTGGCTTTAACGTCCGAGGGGCAGCTCATCTTCGAGGAAGACAGAGATGGCTCGGCGGCTTATGGAGTGCGTCTGAATGACCGAAATTTCCTGAATGGCGCACGTCACAGCGTTTATTACGTTCGCGATAATAACACCGCCACTCTCTTGGTGAGTTATAATTTTTATTATTCTAAAATGTTTATCATAAAAAATTAAATATTTTAATTGTAATAATTTGTATATATATAATTTTATAGATCGACCGCGAACACGTCCAATTGCTACCACTTCCGGGACTACCGATTCGAGCGGATGAGGACGAAAGTCCAGGTGCCACAGAGATTCAGCTCGGTGGATTAAACACGACCGATTCGCGATTCACCGCTTATAAAGGATACACCGGCTGTCTTAGCAGTAAGTCTATCGATAAATAATCGAGTTTATCTCGCCGCTCTTTTCTATCTAATGTCATCGGTTTTTCTTAAATTATGTGTTGGTAATCAGTCATAGTTTGCAAATTATGCTTTTTTTGACAGATGTCGTGATATCGATTAACGGGGGTCCTGGCATGAAACCGTTGGAAGAATATATGCTCTTTACGAAGCAAGCTAGTGAGACTGTCCGGGCAACGATACCCGCTGGTGTCAGAAGCGCTCAATGCGCAGTTTTTCATGCTCAACCAGGAGGTCTTGAGCCACCCAGAAACGACAGTGTGGTAAGAGACTCGAAATTAAACTCGATTATTAAATTAAATTATTATGTGATCAATTTTTTTGTATATTATTCTTTATCTATTATTTCTTATTATAAGTAAAAGCGAATAACAAATCTACGAATTTTCGTTTGATATAAATTTAAAATCATTCGCAATCTTTAAATAATGATAAATTTGCAAAATAATTATTTAAAATTTATGTTTAAAAAATAATTGAAGACTACGCCAAAAATTTTGCTAATATTTCATAATTAACATCTTTTAAAATATATAATTATATTACAGTAGATTAATCAAGATTTTCAAGTCTCTATGTTAGTAATATATTATTCGATACAAAAAATGATGCATACATCAAGTCGTGTATGAACTCTCGAAAATCGATTGGCGTCTCATCTCAACATCTATAGATATAAATATCCGATTGTCTTTATTTTACTTAATAGTTTACTATAAGTACTATAACTTAATATGTTGTGTAGCCAGAACTCTTCATTATTTATGTTTTCACGAAATGAGACCCCAGCTTCGTACACTTCCATTACAGCTTCTATATAGAAATGTTATAAAATAAATAATTTCTCACTCACCAATAGATGCAATAGCGGAGTTGTAGTACACAGCACGTTGATCTGAAAACAAAATATTTAAAACATTTCACAAAATATTTAAAATATTTAAATTATGTATATACATGTGTATGTGCATGTATATATTTTTTTAAATTTTTATTTTGCATACCTCGTAGTTAACCCGATGTCGCCCGATGCCTCCCCGGGCCTCCTCCTCCTCTCTTGGTAGCACTCACGACACTCGCGAAAACACGAATAATTACGATCGCCCGACACTTTATACGGCACTCCCGACACGCGAAACTTTACACGGCACTCCCGACGCGACGCGTGAATCACACGCGTATTTCGCGTACATTGCACAATGAGAAAACTATAATCGAAAACACGAAACAATGGTCCGTTCGATATTATTGCTGATAAGCTGCGCGCGAATTTGGCTGCAAAAACCTGCAATAACAAATAAAATATACACATATATTATTAATTTTAACTCAATCTTTATTTTAGCTTAAATTAATTTTACTTAATTAATTTTTTGCTTTTAAAAGGCAGAATTCGTGTAGAATTTTAAATTTTTAATCCTGTTAATTACTAATGAGAAAAATGCCGTAGAACAAAGTGAGACGCTGCGCAGCTCAGCTTGTTTGTTCCAAGACATTTTCGTTGCTTTAATGAGGAGCCAGAACTATTTGTTCAAAGTTGAAACTCTTAATTATTTCTGATAATTATTTCCATGAAATCAAACGCCTCCACACACACCAACAAGTCTGGAAATATCTTGTTAAAGGGCCGCGATCGGGAATGGGTCGAGGACCCGCCAGAAAGAATACCGTACAAGTCGCAATATTCGAGCGCAACTCAGGAAGAGCAAGGTGCGGGAACGTACATTTTCATAGCCTTGTGCTGTGTCTTTGTGGCCGCGGTGATCGGATGCATTTACGAGGTTTGGCGAAGCGCTCGCAAAGATCGTCAACGACGTCGCAGAGCAGCCTCAGGAGCAGCGGCGAATGCCGCAGCTTCCGGTTCGCAACGTTGGCAGCCGCAACAATACACGGACTCCCTAGTGACCGCGACCGGCGTGAAAGCTATCGGCTTCAAGAACGTAATGGACGATGACAAGAGGCCGAATGGCACGCACGTGAAAGCGCCTGGTGCCAAGGATTATAAACCACTGCCGAATGCGGAACCGAAGGATTTGATGAACGATAAAAAGGTTCACATTAAAGGTACAATCCGTTTTTCAATCAAGTGTCTGATTTTTTATGTAAATTTAATAGTAAAAATTTACTCAATTTCTATAAAATTGTTCTAAAAAATCTTTATAAAAAATTCTATAATAAAATTTCTATAATAAAAATTTCTATAAAATTTTCAAAGACTACATTTGTTAGCAGCACTGCATGAAAATAAAGATACTTTATTTGTGAATATTCTACAAAATAAATAAAATATAAGAATGAAATATTTAATATAATATTTTGTCCTATTGAGATTTAACATTCGTATTTTTTTATTTATTACAGCAGACGAAGAAGCAGAGAAAAAGGAGCTCCTAGGGGTAAATACAGGCATCATCACTAAACCTGCGAAACTGAACCCATTCGTAAAGATTTTTTCTTTTTTTCATAAAGAATTGCATATTAAGCTTTATCAAGCTTGCAAAATAGCTTTTGCATGCATTTTTCGAACTCGACATTGATATTATATGTTAAACATTTCATGTTTATTGTCACGTTATTTGATGCATTTTTACAGACTCGCATTGAAAGCGCAAAGTAAAACTAAATCGCTTTTCCTTCAAAATACAGCGACTCTGCATATTGAACCACACATTTTGTACTAAATCCACAAATCATTAAATTTATCAACAAACACATTGCATCGTGAGAAAAAATCCAAGTATTTAATCGAAACAACAATGCTTGTGCAAACTTTCATTGGCACACTTTCAATCTAAATTTCCAAATACAACTTTCATATACTCACAAATATACTCACGCGCTTTTTCGCAACGCCAAACAAAAAAACATAGCACAATATTTTGCGCATCATCGCAAATTCCATATAAACTATCAGGCATTCTATTTTTCTTCTACCAGTCGATGGAAGATCTGACGGAAGAACCTGAACTGGAAGAACGCGAGGAGGAAGAAGAGGAAGAAGAAGAAGAAGAGGACGTCCAAGACCCGGAGGCAGATAAGAACAAAGATCAATCGGAGAAGCAAGAAGGGCAAGAAGAGGGGCAGCAAGAAGGGCAGGAAAAGAACGAGAATAACGATGAAGATGACGAGCCTATCGTCAGGCCGGTAAGAAACAAGGCGGCAAGGAGAGCTTCCTTGACCGATGAATTGGACCCAGACGATACGCAGGCCCTCCTCGAGACCAACTTCTCCGTGACAGGTTTAAATGAAATCAGAACCGAGCGTATAATACCAAGAATAAATAACGGCACGAAAAATATTACGATACCAAAGAGACCGATGAGTCTTGACCTCAACGCACCGGTCAAGTTTAGAAAATTGCGCGAAGGAGCTTGGCCCGAGAAGGTCACGGCGAGGTTGATCGACAATAACGAAATGGGTCTCCAGTCTCGAGGTAGAGGCTACATCGACGCCGCGTATCGCGCTCAGGACAAATAATTAAAAAATCGACTGACGACAATAATAATTAATTAATACGTTCGGAATGATCGCACGTCTCGACCATTGTAAATATCGCGTGGAGCGACTGTTTTTAATGACAATCATGTGTACATCTAAATTTTAGGGCAGTATAATTTAGTTATATATAGTATTAACAAATCGTTGAATGTGGTTAAAATGTGACGTGGTCAACTGTCATATAGATCTCTATTTCGAAATATTTAATATTTTATTCAAACCGGAAACTTGTAAATTCAAGATATTTATTGCACTCTCGATAATCTTATCCATTCAAAATCACGTTTCTGACGTAAAAAGAATAGAATTATTGCAAAATAAAACGCGTTCTTTCAATAAGGAAAAATAACAATCAGTGATGCAGATTCAGTAAATTACTTCTATTGTCTTGAAATAGTCACGTGATGTTTACGTCTCGTTGTTATAGCGTTAATACTAACTTCCTTGTGGTAAGCTACAATTATATCTTTTACTTACTTAATTTTACGAGTTTATTACGTAAGTCAGTATATATATTTTTCCAAAGTTTGGCACATAATAGCCGCATTCGGAGAGAGAAAGACGTTCGAATAATGTACTTCAAATTAGCGTGTAGTCAAACACTCGTTCTTTTTTTTATTACATAGCACTTTATCAGTATTTTTCCAGTATTGATTAGCTGTAGGAAGAGCTCTTATTTAGCTCGAGAAAAATATTATTTTAAGATTCTAGTGCCTATATAATAAAGCAATAATGTTGAAAGTAGGATTAAAAATAAATTTACAACGAGTATTTCGAGATAAGATGATGACGATAAGAATCCATATCGTCGAGTGCGAATCATGTAGTTTAAACAAAAAAAAGATAAATATTAAAAAACAAATATTATTTTAGCAGTTAAAATAATCCGTAAAAAAATAATATTTTTACGATATCGTTGTATCGGACACATAGCTAAAAAAAATCACCATAGATTCATGTCATTATCATTAAAGGCTACGGTGTACGCCAAACGAACTGTTCATTTATCGATAAAATTATTTTGAATTATTTTCTTTTTTTTAATTTTGAGACAGATTTATTTTTAATATATAATATAACGTCTAACAATCTTTTTGTATAGTTCGCTTTATGTGTACACCTGTGAGCCTGTTTAGTTTGATTTCGCTGCTTCGTGCGCAATTGTACAAAAGCGAGTGTGACGTTTGTGTGCTTTTGGTGGTGATCAAAATAATCATGCGATAAAATTCCTGCACAAAGCATATCGCGAAAATCGAATCATCCAAAAGTCTGGTTTAATTCCTCAGACTTTAATACCAGGCGCCATATTTTCAGCACAGGGATTGGTCTGTCAGGACGAGTGTCGAGGAGAGCATTATACCGTTAGACTCAATTTTAAAACCCGATGAAACGAAAACATCGTGCGAACTTTAGAGGTAATAGATTTTTTTTCACGCACGTCGATAATGAACCGTATACGAATGTTAACTCAAGAATCGCATCTTGATTTATTCTCTGCGGTCTCCTTTTCTCAATCGTGAGATACAACTTACTATATTTTCAATATTTAATCTACTTCCTCGGATGCATTGGCAATTAACGGAAAGTCGCTTACGACGATGCTATTACAAATTGAATGAGAACAAACACTATACATTATTAATATCACTGCGATTATTCTATGACTCTATGTAAAAAAACAGCTATTATTTCTATATAAAAAGCAAATTAAATTATAACAATTCTTTGTTAATATTGATAAGAGAAAGATCAGATTTGTACAAAAAATTGTATACCGAAATTGTTTAATTATTTGGTTATTACTGTTTTGCAACTTATAATTTCATTTTCTGAGTATTGTTGCATTTTTATTATATTGCAGGTTTCTTTTAATAATTTAATAGATTGCGTGGACAGCTCATAATAGCATAACTGGCAAACGAAAAAGACGCGTTGAGTATTCGAATGCATGATATAAATGCATCCTATTCGAAATGACGAAAATATTTATATTCTTCCAAAATACTTATAGCTTTTAAATATTAATCCGTGAAAGTCTCGCGTGAGAGACACATTTTATAGCATGTTATATACATAAAATGACAGAGAAAATATACAATTTTTTCCATTAACTCGAGTTTGTTGCATCGTTGCAACCATCTCTCATACTGCCTCTCCTACACTGCTAAGCATCTTGTCGCAAATTCGCCGATTTTTTTCGTGACAAAATCTCTTAACTAGAGAATGAACAAACAACTCGACAAATTGATTTTAATTGCGAATTATTCAAATAATTTGTATTTTAATTTTGTATAACGAATAACTTTCTCTCCCGCTATTAGGCATGTGCATGATATATGACATAATAATTAAATATTTTGTTCTACTAATTAAAATACATATATATATTATATACATCGATATCGATGTTCGATATATATTAATCGACTCAACCATTTCCATTAAATTAATCATCGATTTACGAATATTCCATGAAAATATCGATAAAGCTTTTTCTCGCGAACGTGCACGAGTACTACACAAACTTATTAATTAATTTGATTAATTTGCTTAATGTCGAAAATGGATTTATTCATAGCACGCGAGAAACATTTACTTCATTGCATGCACGCTTTAAAGCCATTGACTCTGTTAAACATGCCTATTCAAAATGTCGAATACTTGTTGCATATATGTATTAATTAAAATAATATATTGCCATATAATGATATATGCCATCACATATATCTGGCAAGAAATTTAGAGATTTTAAACATATATCTTCGATTCATTTAGGCGTCTGCAAACGGAGATATTGGGCAACAATCAAAGATGCAAGGAAATTTCTGCTTAGGTCAGTACTATGAATAAAAGAAGAATATGAATAAAAGAAAAAATGTTTCTTATAGAAAATTTCAAAATTATGCAATTGTGTAATAAATTTTAAAACAGAATAATTTCTATTATGTGATTCACCCACAAAAAATATTAAAGTTTCTATAAATTATTACACTAAAAAAATTGTTAACTTAACTAAATCGTTCAACTATAAATACTATTGTTAATTGAACATATAGAATTATTTGAATTAAATATAATATATTAAATCTAACAAAACATATATTTGATTTAAATACTAACATATGTATGTTCAATTAATAAAATAGTAATTTAGTTGAAAGGTTTAATTGAGTTAACAATTTTTGTTCAATATGTAGTAATTTCTCATTAAATTTAATTATATAAAAGAATTATATATTTATATATAATTTTTATTACTGTATTGTATGTTAATATTTATATATATAAATTATGTTGTGGTAATGTATATTATAATATATATATATATATATATATATATATATATATTTATATTACGTTAAATGAATTTTTAACACATAATATATATATAAAATATAATACAAATTATATATATATAAATTTTTCTATTAATATTTAAAAGATACAAAATTTTATAATTTAATTTTTTTAATCATTGTGGAGAATAAAAAGAGTTAATTATATTAAAAAAAGATTTAAGAGAACATTTTTTTTGAATAATTTTGCACAATTTTCCTAACATGAAAGTTATACATGCGTTTTCAAATAAAATCACGCAATCAACTAGGGTTAATTAGAAAAATATTCTATTCGTTTTAGCACCCGGTAGCAGGCCGAAAATTTACAATATGTCCACCATCTTCTTGCCGGATGGTCGACGGACTTTCAACAATCCATTAAGTTATCTCGGTGGTCCGATATTACCACCGAGGAATAGTTCTGTCGAATCGGTGCTATCTCTGGATTGATCGTCCGTACTTTGCTCTAAGGGATAATTGAGCGTGAACAGGAACAACGAATCGTATTTCCCTAATCGAGAATGGGAAATCTCAAACGTGTTGATTTCCAAATCGATAAATATCATTTACAAGAAATTTATAAATATATTATCATATAAAATAAAATATTCAAACACAATAGAAATTTAAAACATGTTAAGAAGACGTTTACAAAGTTAAAACATATATTTTCTCTTTTAAAAAAAAAACTAAATTATTAATAATTAAAGTAAATGATTAAAAATTAAAGTAAATTTACTCTAATAATTGCTATAAAGAAATATATGATAAATGCCTATTTCTTTTTCTCAGTTATATGGATTTAATTAATGTTAAAAATATATATTTAAAAATATTCTGTATGCATCAACACATTTGATATTTTCCATTTTTCAATTCATCTCTCATTATCACAGAGTCATCTGCTTCTCGAAAGGCTCGTGTTAATAGCTCACAACGAGCTATAAGCTAAATAGTTTCATCAAGAAAGGATTGCTTGGACCAACAAATTCATGATCGACGAATTTAACCCGTGACAAGACATTATAGTTGCTGATAAAGATTTAAAACGTGATAACGAGCTCAATGTGGTATTTAGTGACATATAAACTCGATACATTTTCTCGCAGCTAATAAGAAACTGTTGTGCTCAAATATATTTCGTTTCAATATAAGATATGTTTATAAAAGAAATTTCTTGTAAAATTTTTCCCCATAAATTTCTTTCCCTTATTGCATACTAAATAATTTCTCTAATTTAAAGAATATCAACAATGTAAAACAATTTATTCCATTTTTATCTCCCCAAAATTTTTCTCCAATAATGTTTAAAAGAACAAAAAGTAGAAAATAAGAGTTTCAAACTGAGTCATAACTTATATTTCTCATCCTAGTCAAGATTAATTAATTCTCTGTATAGCATTGCGATGAATAAATATTCATAATTTATCGTATACGATTGCCTTATACATATAACAATATAAGAACAAATCACAAATGCATCATTACAATAAGAAAAAGATCATTTTTGTGCGCAGAATATGCAATATTTAATTATCGATCGCACAAATAAAAAAGAATGTCCAAGGAAATTCAAAATAAAGATTTATTTTTTATTTCCTAATTATAGTAAACATACCTTTCTCTTGCGAGCCATGATGATCACTTTCTCTGCTATTTTTGCAAATTCAATTAGTTGGTGTCAATTTGAACGAAGCAAACATCTTGCAAATCTGTAACAAAGCAAACACTTATGTTAAAAAATTATATACATTATATTATTATTATTTTAAAAAACAAGTTATTTAAAAAGGAAATTCAAAATAAAGATTTATTTTTTATTTCCTAATTATAGTAAACATACCTTTCTCTTGCGGGCCATGATGATCACTTTCTCTGCTATTTTTGCAAATTCAATTAGTTGGTATCAATTTGAACGAAGCAAACATCTTGCAAATCTGTAACAAAGCAAACACTTATGTTAAAAATTATATACATTATATTATTATTTTTAAAAACAGGTTACTTAAAAAAGAAATTCAAAATAAAGATTTATTTTTTATTTCCTAATTACAGTAAACATACCTTTCTCTTGCGAGGCATGATGATCACTTTCTCTGCTATTTTTGCAGATTCAATTAGTAGGCATCGATTTGAATGAAGTAAACTTTTTGCAAATCTGTAACAAAGCAAAAACTTATGTTAAAATTGATATATATTATATTATTAATATTTTAAAAAACAGGTTATTTAAAAAGCAATATACATATAAAATAAAATTTTTTTTTGTATATATTTTCATCACAAAAGAAATAAAGATTATTTAAAATGATAGAATTATGTATAAAATATCACACAATATATAAAGTTAATTTCTTATTTTATTCCATTATTTATTAAAAAATATATGTATATATGTATGTATATGTATGCATGTATATATGTGTATGTGTGTGTGTGTGTGTGTGTGTGTGTGTGTGTGTATGTGTGTATAATTATTACGTACTTTTATCTTATTAGAACTGTATTGTCTTTTGAAAAAACTTTAATCACACGCGAATTTCCGAAAAACGAAATTGTGAGGTCTGAAATAGCGAACGAAAACGTATAAAATACGCGAATTTCCAAAAAATGAAATCGCGAATACCGAAACCGTGCAAAAGTATCAGAATTACCGAAATGAAAGTATACCGCACAAATATAAATCGAAATTGATCACACACGTTCAAACGAAACTGTTATCTTGCGATCGTTACGGTTTTTCTACAATCGCGGTTGCAAGAATCGCAAAATTGTGCGGGAAAAAGCACTTTCGTGTCGCAAAACCGGAGCAGCAATAACTTTAGGCGAAGAATTGGCGCGAAATGAATCGTGGCATTCCAAAATCCATTCGCCGAGTGAGCGGATTTGATCGACCAATCAGGACGAAGGAACCTTCGCGCTGATTGGTTCGACGTCACTCCACTCAAAGCTGGTTTACGAACGCAATCAAGTCGGTTGAGAATCCCGGACACGTCATAAACAAGCAATATGGCCGACTATCGCGACTCGCGAATATTGACACAACGCATGTTATTATTTACATTTACAAATTAAACGATAAGAAACTGGTTGTGTTCGATGAAGTTCCAACCTTGATCTTACCTTCTCACTCGCGCGATGGCACAAGCGAAGCTCAACGTATCAGAGAAATCCGGTGGCATTAGAGAAAAGGATAAAGATACCGAGGAAAAAGAAGGCGAGTTTTTATCTCATCATTCATTAATTACCACGTCAAATGTAATATGAGATATTAATGGGATATATTTAACTGGGGCTATATTATAATCGTGATAGAATTTTCTTTGTACTTGTTTAAGTTATAATCTAAATAAAAATCCTGACAATTAAAGGATAATAATTTATCTTTATCATTCTTTATCTAATTATCGTTTTAGATAAATTATAACTTTGTATATATTATTTTAATAGGTCTCACCGTCGTACCAGAATGTGCTGTGTGCCTGCAGCCTTGTATTCATCCAGCGAGGTTGCCCTGCAGCCACATATACTGTTATCTGTGCGTAAAAGGTGTTGCCAATCAGAGCAAACGATGTCCAATGTGTCGTCAAGAGATTCCACCAGATTTTCTTGAAAGACCTCAGCTGGTAGAAGTCGAAGAGTCTCAAAAGGAATCGGAACATCCTGAGGAAGAATACCAGTGGTTTTACGAAGGTCGAAATGGTAAAGTATTACAAATAATTATTTTTTGTGATTGACAATTGCATTTTAATCAATATTTAAAATATGCATTTGTCATCTTTCTTTAATAGGAAATATTTTTATTAATATCCAATATCAAATATATTTGTATAAGCACCACTAGCTTACAATGCCTTTGAAACATATATATGTAGGTGCATATAAGTTGATATCATCGTACCCCTTCTTAGGTTGGTGGAAATATGATCCGAGGACAAGCAATGATCTGGAGACTATTTACAAACTAGGGGATACGCAATGCGAACTTTTGATCTGTGGCATGCTTTATATAATTGACTTTGAAAACAAGTGTCAATATAGAAAGAATAATTCACGTTACAAACGTAATATTAAACGTGATAGAAAAGATGCTCCTTGCAAGGGTGTCTCGGGTGTACAATAGCATGTTATAACATAAATGCATAATTTATCTATTAAAATAAAGATTTTCATTTTCAAATTCATATTTAGCAATTTATTGAGCTCATTGATTTTTAGTTATGTCACTATTTAAAAATTGTATTGTCACAATTACTATAATTATAAAACTTCATATTAAAAGTAAGATAAAATGAAATATAAATTGTGTTTATGTGCAAGGAAGATTATATAATACATTTTAAAAAGTACATTATATGTTAAAAGAACTAATATATTTAACAATTTATTTTAAAAAGTGAGAAAGAGAGAGAGAGATGAGTATTATAATATAATGTATTATATGATAAAAATAAAATATTAAAATATATATAAAATATATTTAAAAAGACGCCTATTTTAATATAAAAATAGACTATATGCCCTTATAATAAAACTTTTGCAACTAAAATTATTTTTTTTTTATACAATATATATATATATATAATTAAAGAGCCAACGCGCGCGAAAATTAATTCTTTTCGCGGACTTCGTTTTATACCCTGACAAATTATCGAGATTTAAAATGTGAACTGTGTCTCTTGGTCCAAGACCATCAGTTCCTCTATCTCCCTTGTCCCCCTATAGAAAAATTGGCGAGAAAAATATAGGTCTAAAAGTCGCTGAATCGAACTTGAGACCTTTCGCTTGCCGGGCGACTGCTCTTACTACTAACAATAAGCTATTCAGATCCTTTCGAAATTTTTAATAATATATCTTTCTCTAATCATTTTTATCATATTTTCAATTCACTTATAAATGAATGATATACATTATTTTCATTACAATGTATGGAATACATGATTTTTAAATAAATGTTTGCAGGTTGGTGGCAATATGATCAACGTACAAGTATTGAATTAGAAACTGCGTATAAACAAGGCAAAAGAACCTGTGAGTTACTGATAGCAGGATTCCTTTACATAGCTGATTTTGGCTCAATGTTGCAATTGCGTAGAAATGATCCTTCTAGACGAAGAAGGATTAAAAGAGATCTGTATAATGTGCCAAGAAAAGGAGTTGCCGGATTACGTCTCAATGTGCAAGATGAGGAAATTGTGAGGGAAATAAGAGGTGCAGAGCGACCAGCTAGTCCTGCGAGTGATAGTATGGGTATGAAACAATGAACTGAATGATAAAATAATATATATGTATACATACATAGCTAAATATCTTTGTCTAATACAAAAAATATTTTTTACAGGTACAGGAGATGGCACAAACACTCCCATACCACCTAGTAATACACCGCAAACACCTGCAGGTGGTACAGCAAGTGGAGATGCAACACCTTTAAATGATAGAATAGATCAGAGATCAGATTCCCTGCATCAAGTTCTAGAACAGATGCGTTCTCTGGTTCTGAGGGAACATCTATCCTTAAATAGTGATAACGAATTTGAAGAAGATACGGAGGATGCAACGATTTCGGATCATCTCGCTCTCTCATAGCTACAGATATCGAACGCGTCGAAAGTCGTGGTAATTACACTTAAGAATCTCCAATTTGTTTCCAAACTCGTCGTATTACTGCTCAATTCAATAAGATAATATACTACATTAATATACATTATGTTCACTGGGAAAGCATAAATGTACAAAACATATTGATCTAGCAAACTGCATTGCTCAACTACAGGCATATGAAAGTTGATGTACAATTAAGTCTTTCAAGTTATCTTTATTTAGAAAATATTAATTTCTTTTTAAAATCTATTTATCTTTTATCGATCTATATCAAAAGATATTAATTAAATTATCATTGAGCATAATAATAGTTTACAAAGATAGGGCTATATAATTTACAATGTAATTGTTGATAATGTACTTAAAAATTAATTTTGGAAGCCACTGTATAGTATTAACAATACATATACAGTGGAAGTAATTAGTCGTATAAGGTAAAGTAAAAATACTATAGTCTTAAAAAACGTAATAAAGTTTCTAATAAAAATGTGTTCATGCCTCAGAAAGGCCCGTGAAAGAAAATTAATATAACGAAAAAAACGGTTATTTATTCTTATGAAAATCAAGTGCAATATTCAATAATCAATATAATTGCTAGTTTCGAATGAACTGTGTAATCTTTGATGTTTAAAATTGAAATCTTGTATTACGCATAGAAATAAAAGATACATTTTCTTCAGCAATTTACCCCAATTATGTTCTTTAAACAAACTAAACTCAAATAGAATATAAATTTTATAAAAATATTCGTCCTAATACACATATGTAAAAATTATATATAATAATATATATAAAATCAAAATTTGATCGCAATAAAAAAGATGAAGTTAATGAGAACCAGAGAATGTAGAACCAAATAAAAATAAATGGCAATAATTTATTTAGTATATAATTGCTTTCGTCGATATTTTCAGTATTAAAATGTCTTTGAAAAGTAATAATATAAAAATTGATATTTTAATATTAATACACAAAGAAATACATACATGTCAATACTCCAATGGCAGAGGTATATATTTGAAGGCTGACTCTTGTTTAATCAACGCTGCTCAAACCTGATTATTAATTAATTAGCAAACTGACTAACAAAATCCACAAATTTTTATTATGTATTAACAATTGTGCGCTCGGGTAGACATTACTGATTCGAAATATTGCATCGACCAATCAAGATGAAGAAAATCTTCATTCTTTGTTTTGAATGGTCAATCGACTACAACCTAAAGCTACGTTTCGTACGAAAACAAAGGTTGCGACAAAATTTCACTGACCAATCGGAGCGAAGAAATCCTTGCCTCCTGATTGGTCGATCAAACCTCTGACCTTTCGGAAACTTTATAGAACTTTTTAGATCTCACCGTTGCTTATCTTGCAATTTCATCAAAAATCGTACATTGAAAAAAACGGGTAGCAGGTATTTCATAGATAGTTGCGCATCTGGCCTACATAAACACACGAGAAGTGAAGATAATTCCATACATTTTATCCTATATCCACGAGAGATTTTAACGAACGCGCAGGTATCCGAATAAAATAACAAAATTACTTGTTTAGGATATAAAAATAAGTAAATTTATTGGTCTTTTATGGTCGTTCAAATGGCTGAAATTTAGCGCGGTTTTTCTGCAAGAGAATCTTAAACTTTTTCCCGGTAGATAACGGTGGACAAAGAATCCGACACCTTCGTATATCGGTAATATGAGCTGCAGCGAGATGCGACAGAAGCCGCGTCGTTAACGACAAAAGAAGATTGCGTGGAAGAAAGAACCTGAGGTAATCGCATAAATATTCAATCGCTTTTTACCTTCCATTTCGTCAAAAGTTCATGTACGATAGCGTCCGAATATGTATACAAATATTTCCGAGGTCGCCAGCAAGGGCAAAACTGATTGCTTGAACACAGAAATTCAATGAACGTGAGAGTTTGTCGAAAAACATAAGAACAAAAATCTAGATTATGATAAGTGTCTTGGAAAAATATTTGCTAGATATGAATCGGGAAAGAATGCAAGGAATAACAAACAACGTGAATTATGAAAAATTGAAGCTCGATTTTAGGGCAAAGATGTTCGGTTGCCGCTTTTATTTTTTCGATTACATAAATTATGTATGCATAATTAATGTCGCGATATGCAACGCAATTTCGATAAATTAGCAATTGGAACAAAAGAATGTCGTCCTCATAAATTAATGTCTATCATATTTTACAGATTGATTGAAGCAGTGCATTGAATGAGGTTATATACAAAAACGAGACAGGATTCAACCTAAAAGTGTGAATGAGTGAGTCAAAATGGCACAGCAAACGGCCCATGAAATTGTGATTTTTATCACTCACATTGAGGCCGATAATGAATACTTGAAGATTTGGGGTCAACTGGATAAGAATGCAGCTACTACTGTAGAGCATTATATATATCCTTTGACAAAACAGTTTAAGCAGGGATATGGTTGTCCTTCCAAGACAACCAGATTATTTGCTGGTGCATTATGCTGTGCCAGATTTCAGGCAGATGGCTATTTCCGAGCAAAAATACTCAATGTACATCCTGATGGCATAGTTGTACAATTCATTGACTATGGTAATGTGGAGGTTGTACCACCGAATGAGGTCCATTTGTGTGATAATATCCCACAAATGGAACCTCTGCGAGCTTACCCACCCATGGCAGCAGATTTTACATTGATTAATGTATTGCCTATAAATGGTGTTTGGGAAAGTGGAACAATTGAAGCAATTAAAAAAAATCTGTGTTATAATGAGTATAGAGCCCATCTATATATGATGAACAATCGCTGTTTGATAAAATTGTGGTACAATAATGAAGACTTTAGCGAATTGTTAGTGAAGCAACACATGGCTTTACCAGCTACTGTACATGACATGTTCAGGTATAATATTTTTTATATTTAGCTTATACTTTTTTTGCACTTCTTTTCTTGTATGTTATTACTTGAACAATTCTTTCATTTTTTTAGACCAAAGCATGTACTGCAACCTCAAATGCTTCAACAACTTCCATTGCCAGCGTATCAACAACACAATAAGAATATGAATAATTGTTTAACAATGCCAATGATGCAGAATCTAAATATGAATCAGAATTGCAATATACAAGGATTTCATAAGATTTTTCTGCCAATGTAAATCAACATAAACAACATGCTGATCAACGGCCATCACAACCACCGCCTGTTCAAGAAGCACTTGTATTCAAATCTCGAGTGTTAGATGTAAATTCAAAATATAAAGTTTTAATATCACATGTGGAAGATGGTCCACATAAGTTTTCTGTACAAGTTGAAAGCACACAAACTCTATTGGCTGAACTGATGAATGAGATAAACAGCCATCCGAAACAACCATTACAAGAACCACCATTGCCAGGATCAGTTTGCTTAGGACGATATAGGGAAGATGCAGAAGATGGAGTATTATGTAGGGCAGTTGTTATGTGTGTGATGGAACATAAATGCAAATTGTATTATGTTGATTTTGGTCATACAGAAGTTTTACCATATACAGACATCTTCCAATTGCCACCTGAATACATTAATCCAAAAGTGCTTTCCATTAGATTTACATTGAGTGGCTTGAAAGAACTTAATGTTACACCAGAAATGAAGGAATATTTTAAAGAACTAGTACACAAAAAATTACTTATTCTACACATTCGTCCGCCAGAAGGGCCGCCATTAATTCAATACGGCGACTTGTATGACAATGGCATTAACATAAAGGATATGTTAAAGAAAGCATTCCCAGCACCTACTGTAACAAAATCTGTAACATATTCGTATCCACAATTGCAACAATTATCGAAAGATGTTCAAGAAATTGTGCATGTATCTTATGTAGAGTCATGTAAGAAATTCTTTGTGCAATTTGATAGTGGCATAAAGTCTCTCGAATCGATAATGGCTGGCTTAGCACAATATGCTAAAATGGCATCTGTTTTAAATGTCGCACAACTAAAAGCAGGATTGCCTTGTGCAGCTCTATATGATACACAATGGTAAATTTTAAAACTATATTCTCCATTATTAATCTCTTGTGTAATTATTTCTGTAAATTAATAATTAATTTATTTTTCAGGTATCGTGCACAAATTCTTAATGTTACTGGAGATCAAGTTAAAGTGGTATATGTTGATTATGGAAATGAGGAGGTATTACCCATCATGTCCATTCGTACAATTCATAATGATTTAGTTACAAATTTGCCAGCACAAGCTGTAAAGTGTGCATTAAATGGTTATGAGCACCTTTCATCAGATCAAGAAGTCTCCAATCATTTCGAAAGATTAACCCTCGAGAAACGTTTTTATATGCAAGTAGTTGCTGCACAACCTAAGGGCCTCTTGGTCGATTTATTCGAATCTGACACAATGAACAGCATTCATACTCAGCTCACAAACAATTTATACTGTGATAAAAATTCATCAGGTTCAATAAATGGAGAAATTCAACATTCTATCAAGCCAGTAAACAATTTCCAGAGGTAAGAAAAATATTTTAATATTATTTTTAAAATATATATATATATATATATATATATTTTGTAATAATCTGTCTACAAATGAGAATTAAGTTAACATCAGAAATAATATATAATAGTATAAGATGCAATTTTTATTGCATCGCAGGTCTCATATAAAAATCAAGCAAATTTAATTCAAGGACAGAGATTAAGATTAAAAAATATAAACACACGGTAAACATAATAACAGAATGCTTTTTAGCTTTTTAATATAACATTGCTAAGAGAAAAGATTAATTATATTAAATTAATTATATGTAAATCATAATTATATTTTTATTTGTAGTAATTATTAACAACATTTTTTTTATGAACGTTTATTGAAAAAGAATTCTTATTGCACTTTTTTTCAAATTAGCTATGAAATATATAATTTTTATTATTATGTTAGCAAGTAGTAGCATTTTATGATTATTAGTCACAATCTATTTACTGTGCTTTATGTTACAATAAATTTTATACTTTAATTTTAAATTTGACAATTTATCCTTTTTGCATGTATAAATGTTGTATATAAATATTATAAGTAAATCCGGATATACTTAATTGAATAATTCTGATATTGCATTTACTACGTTATCTCTTGTCTATTATATTGTGTTATTCGAATACATCACTTCTTTTTGCAGTGGAAATAAAGACCGATATGAGAAAAAAAATAACATAGATTCTTCGAATCGTAATGTTAAATCTTTCCAAGAGAACAAACCAAATTCTTGGCGAGATGAATCTCAAGAGAAACAACATGATAATAGAAATGATAAAACCGGCGCTTATTCCTATCGTGATGGTTCACAGAATGATCGATTTATTAAAAATGAATCTACATACAATAGATCTGGCAGAGATAGACCATATCATAAATATGAAAAGAGTGAAATTAATACATTCAACAGAGGTAGTAGAGAAACCTCACGAAATAATGATGGAAATAAATTCAACGACCACGAACGGAGATACAATCGTAATAATTTTGATAAAGCATATAATGATAAGGATTCGAATACTTCATTTAAAAATAATGGTAATCGCGGAAGAAATAATTTTGATCGCGATAATTTCACCAATGGACGAGAAGAAAGCTATGATAGTGGAGTATCATCAAGCAGACCACAAACTGGAAGATGGAATGATAGAAAACTAGTTACGACTTATAAGTCTAACTACAAAACTGGAAAATTCACTGGTATTTAACATTTACATATATTTTTATATATATTTATAATAACTTTAAAATCTCTGTATAACATGAATATAATTTTTATTAAACAATTTTTGTGTTAAATATAGATGACTATAACAGTAATGAGAAATTTAAGGATAAAGAAAATGATACAAACAATGTTTTACATAATCAGGTAATAAATTAAAATATAATTAGTATTATATAAATTAACTGAAGTAATATGAATGTATTTACATTTGAGATATCAATTCTTTATCAAATACATTACATATACATATATATTGTTATTTACAGCAAAATGCTTGTGAATCCTGGGATACAGATAATTCTACCTGGGATACAGATAAAAACCAACAGAACAAAATTGCTGCTAATAAAGAATTCCAATTTTCATCGATAAATATTACTCTTGGCTCTGTAAAACATTGTGAAGTGGTATTCATCAACAGTCCATTGGATTTCTTTATTCAATTAACTCCTGATTGCTTAGAATTAGATACTATTATGGAAAGTATAGCTGCAACTTATGAGAATGATGGAGAAACTATGCAAGCCTCTCAGATACAATGTAGTACATGTTGCATCGCTCAATACTCAGAAGATCTTAAGTGGTACCGAGTGATAATCAAATCTGTAGAAGAGAATAGCGCAACTGTAGAATTCATCGATTATGGAAATACAGAATCAGTTGACTTCACGAAAATTAAAGCTATTCGAGAAAAGTTTCTAGAACTGCCAATGCAAGCGGTACATTGTAAATTACTTGGATATGAATTGACCAATAATAAGGAAAGTGGACATGCGATTTTCTCAGAAAATGTCGAAGGAAAATCACTAGAGGTGGAATTTGTTGTTGAAGAAAATGGAATATATGAAGTATTGTTGCGCGAAATTATCGATGGCACCCCAAATACGAATTATATAAATGAAGAATTTTGCACAATCGCAGATATAGTAAAAGGGAAGGAAACTGCAGCACTTACGAAGACATTTGAAATGACGACGAAGAGTATACAAGAAACTCCAGATTATGCCCCCATTGACTCAAAATGGCAAACAATTTTATATGACTTTGAATCTGAATGTGATGCTATTGTTACATGGTTTATAAATCCTAATAAATTTTATTGTCAACTATTAACTAAAGAGACAGAATTTAAAACAATGATGAGTGAGATTCAAGAAACATATGCTGGTAGAAAACCTATAACACATAAATTACAGGTAATTAATATTTTTAGACACTTATATTATCAATATTTATTACATTTTATTTTAAATGCAATTCTATAATACATATAGAAATAAATAAATATAATTGCTATTTCAGGTTGGTTCAGCAGTCATAGCAATGTTTTTCGAAGATAGAGCTCTTTATCGAGCGGAAGTTGTAAATAATATGCAAAAGGATGCATACATAGTTCAGTACATAGATTTCGGAAATTGCGCAGTCGTAAACCTACAGAATATATATTCTGTCGAGAAGAAATTTATGCAACTGCCTAAATTAGCAATACAATGTTCCTTGAGTAATATTCTACCTAACAATAATTCAACCTGGTCCAAAACTGACAACAATGCACTCGATAATTGCTTTAACGCCGATAAATATAAATGCATCTTCCATAATTTTAATGACAATCAATATACGATTTCATTACTCTATAATGGACAAGATGTGGGTGATATGTTAGTAAATAAGAATCTTGCGGTCTTTGCTACAAAATCTTCAGGCGAAACAATCTACGGTAAAGATTATTTTAAAATTTACTTAAAAAATCGCGCGAAATGTTTTATTTTTATAATAAGTTATATATTTTTCAGATATATTAATTTTAAAAAATATATATTGAAAATATAAGTTTAGCATTATATTTTCTATAATTTTAGTTACAGAAGCATCTGATACAGAAATAAAAACACTCAATGATGTAGAAAGAGTGGATATAAGCCTTTTAAGTGGTCAGATTCTCAAAATGAAAATTTCTAATGTAGAAGGCATAACTCTATTTCATGTCCAACTTTTATCAGCTGCAAAATACATGGATATTGTCCACAAATACATGGCTGATAAAAATAAAGAGGTACATTTAGCATTTAATAACAAATCATATATTGATCATAAATGTTACAAAAATTTTTTTTTAATTTTATTAAATAAGCATCGTAACAAAAAGATTAAAAGTATAACAGAATTGCATAAGCAAAGCACCAGCAAAATGATATTGCTTTTAAGCCTAGATTTTTTTACAAATCTGTTCAACCTATTATCTTCCAATTTTCTAACACATAATTACTAACGTCTCGTTTTAACAAGCTGTTATAACACTGCAGTCATGTTATAAGATTAATTATAAAAATAATCTTATATATTTATAATAAATTTCATTAGTTTTTAAATGAGATAAAGTAAAAATCTCTACATTGTATAAAAATGTGATTTTTTGCACCTTTACAGTTCCGAAATTCGATATATTTACTATATGATGGATAAAATGTATAAATCAATGTTCAAAATTATATATCAAGTTATGTGCTAAGTTAAGAACTGATTATGAAGTCAAAAATTGTTTGGAAAATGCAATTCTGAACACTAATGTAAACGATTAATGTCATACATATGTACACATATTAATCAAGAATATGATTAAATTTACGATAGATATAAATATCTTTGCACGAATATTAAATATATACATTTATATATAATATATATTAATCGAGTAAAAATATTTATATTTATGTATCGTAAATTGAATCATATCTTCCGAATTCCAACAATAATTACAACTTCATAAAAAAAACATTTAATCTTGCACGATGTATGGTATTAACAACATAATCAATAATTGATTATAATATTATCCTCGTGAATGTTTCATGTTGTCATAATATTTAAAGTTTAATCATTTAATTAAAATCATAGTAATTTAATATTAAAATGACTTACACCACATGTCATTCGCTTTAATGTACGTATAATTGAACGCATGAATTCAAATTATTTTGATTGAAGGAAAAGTTATGATAATGTTAGGTGATGCCGCGATTATCAAGCGCCGAGATATGTCTTGATGCGGGTTGTTTAATCAATGCGAATGGAACATGGAAACGAGCCGTAGTAATTAAATGTTCACAATCCAATGGATTTAATGTAAAATTTATTGATACCGGAATGTGTCAAGAGATCCTGGATGGTGTGAGTCAGATATTCAATTAGATATTCACAAAAACTTTTTATACACATTTTCTCGACTGTAAAATTCCAGCTAATACCATACATCGTTATCACATGCGATTGTGATATATTAAATTGGTCGATTAGAAATTTATAATTATATATATATGTGTGTGTATACATATATATATATATATATATATATATATATATATATATATATAATAGAAATTTATAATTATATATATATAAAATTATAAATTTATATTTTTTAATATAACAATATAATCTAGGCTTTGGCTTTACCCGGAGAACTCGCGATCATACAGAACCAGGCGTTAGAATGTTCTCTGCAAAATATAACAACGTCGTCTGATGCAGATAAACGATTGAAAGAACTTGAAGGAAAAGAAGTATTAGTTATGGTGGAAGAAGTTGATAATAGCAGGTTTGTACATTTCTTTTCATTTATTGATTGCAAATATAAAAATGTCTAAGTTTTTTGTTTTTAATGTATCTTTTTATTTTTATAGACTTCTTGTAAAACTTTACGATCTTCTTGGCAATGGAATAATAAATACAGAAGAAAAAATATCATCCATATGTCCGATGCCTATTTTAAGTTCGACTCACAAGGTATTTGTATCTTATTCGGAGACTTCTGCCAACATCTGGTTGCAACGATCTTCAGACGTAAATCTGGAATCTACATTATTACAAGATCTTCAAAAATATTACACCAGTTGTGGACAAAGTTTGAAACCGGAAGTGAATCTGTTGTGCGCGGCCAAATGTTTGGAGGATGGAAATTGGTATAGGGGAATAATCGTCAGCCACACCGAAACGACTGCCTGTGTAAATTACATTGATTACGGCAACACCGAAGAAGTTCCTCTGGAGTCAATCATGGTTTTAGAACCGCAGTTTTATGAACCTCATCAGTTAGCGATCAATGCATCGTTATCGGTAACTCTTATCGGTACTGAGGCCGAACAACTAAACGTACTGCAAACTCATTTGATGGACAAAGAATTAACGGCTATCTTTTATAACGTACACAAGAAGTGGATTGTCGATCTGATCGAAAACGAGGAAAAACTCAGCGATAAATTCCGCTCGCTAAATCTAGTTACAGAAGAACAGACAACGCTTAAACTGTCGAAACACGAAACTCAAGAAGGTCTCTTAACGATAGACAAATTCGACATATGCGTATCTCACGTTGATTCTCCAAGTCAATTCTGGTTGCAACGAGTAGACGAAATCGCATCTCTCAATGAAAAACAAGACCAGCTTCAATTGGAAGTATCTAATTTTTCGATGATGGACGGTATACCGGAAGAAGGCACCTTGTGCGTTGCTACTTTTTCGATTGATGATCTTTGGTATCGCGCCGAGGTATTGGATGCAGACGAGGACATCACAACTGTTCGATTCATAGACTACGGCAATACGGACGTCATTGATAATAAGACAAACAATATTCGACAAATACCGGATGCTTGGAGAAACCTAGAGAGATTCTCAATGAAATGCAGACTCGACGTTATTCCTGTAGACTCAGAAGATTGGATTGAGTCGACTTGCGAAAGATTCACCAATCTAGTAACTTCCACAGACACTCTTCAGGCTCTAATAATAGCGGATACCATGCCTAAACGTGTAGAATTGTTCATAAACGACAAGAGCGTCAGCGAGACTTTGGTCGAGGAAAAGCTCGCCATTATAATTAATACCGAGCAAGAGCCCGTGGACGAGATAGTCGATCTTGAGCTCGATCCACATTCCGCCTTCGTGTCCCATGTCAATTCACCGAGCGAGTTCTGGATCCAGGAGGAGAAATCAGTCGCTGATTTGGAAGTGATGGCAGACAGATTCATAGTTGCCGATATGTTCCCGAAAATCGACGATGTAAAGGAAGGTCTACTGTGTGTCGCCAAATATCCAGAGGACGAGCAATGGTATAGAGCGCGCGTGATCTCCCACGATAACAATGGAGACACGCTAGTCATATACATAGACTACGGAAATTCCGCTGTGTCCACCGAAATGCGCGCCATTCCGGAAGATCTGGCGAGCATATCGCCTCTGTCGCGCAAATGTTACTTAGAATTGCCACCGCACATTAAGGAATGGTCCGAGCAAGCTCGCGAAGAATTCGTCAAGTTGGCCGCGGATGGTGCGACCATCTTCCTTCTAGATGTATTGAAGGACGAGGAAACATCGCTGGTGAAGCTAACCCTGGACGGCCAAAATGTTGCAGATATTCTTGCAAATCTGTGTGAACAACAACCGGTTATCGAGGAAAGGCTGCCACCGCTGGGCGAGGAAAATTCGCCGAATGTGATGGTCAGTTATATCAACAACCCGAACGAGTTTTGGATCCAGGCCGAGAGTAGTATAAGCGAACTGGAAGTGATGTCGGATCGTCTGCGAGACGCAGAGAGTTTCCTCGCCTTGAACAACCCCGACATCGGCACGATTTGCGCCGCTCGATATCCGGAGGACAGATACTGGTATAGAGCGAAGATAATAGCGCGTCACGAAACGGGCATGGAAGTCTTGTATATAGATTATGGCAATTCTGCGGTCACGGAAGAATTGAGAATACTACCGGAGGATATCGTGAATATTCCCATTTTATCGAAACGATGCACACTCGAGAAGCCAGACCACGTTGCTGCGTGGAGTGAAGAGGCTTGCGAGAAGTTTAAAGAACTCGCTGCCGAAGGAGCCACTATGTTCCAATTTGAGAATCTTGACGAAGATGATCCGATGCATGTTCGATTAAATCTAGACGGAACGAGCGTTGTTGATCTTTTGTTGGCCAGATTCGAAGATACTCCTCCAAAAGAAAAAGAAAATATTTCTTTAAAAATTGAAGAAGAAAATATTCTTCCAAAAATTGAAGAAGAAAATATTCCTCCAAAAATTGAAGAAAAAAATATTCCTTCAAAAATTGAAGAAGAAAATGTTTCTCCAGAAATTGAAGAAGTAACTAAGAACTCATTGGAAGATGAAGAGATTATTTCCAATATAAACGAGGAACAAGATATAGTCTTCCAGATTCCGAATCCCGAACTAGTAAATAACAGTGAAGAAATTTCAAATTTAGATAAGCAAGAGGAAGTTCAACCGGAACAAATAGTCAATCAAACAGATAATCTAGATTGCATTAATCAAATGGAAAAGCATGAAAACGGAACTGACAGAGATATATTTAATAAATCGTTTATAATTTCTGATACAAAAGAAGAAAACGAATGTAATGAAGAACAACCTAAACAGAGCGAGAGCTTCCATGAAATCGAGGAGAAAAAGACTGAACAATCTGAAATTTCGGTAGCTGAATGTATCTCAAATGTGGAAGAAATAGCGGAAAATATAATCGAAACTAGTAAAGATATAAACACCGCCAAGAACAAAATGATTCCTATAAATCCAATTACATCCATTGCATCATTTGAAGAATCCTCGCTTCACGTAAAAGAACTAAGTGTTGACGAGATAGTTCAAAATATGAGAAGAGACGCCACGGAGGATCTAGAATCACGAAAAATCGATCATACAAACTTATCTGATGGCGTGCAAACTGACGAGCAACAAGAATTACTTTCTGAAATACAATCTATAGATATAAAGAAATCTTCAGATACACCAATTTTTGAAACCGCGACAAAAGTTGTAAAAGATTCGAAAATTTTATCAATAACAAATGACTCGCAGCTTCAGGATGTCGCGCAACATGATGATAATCACATCAAGGAACAAGAAATACATTCTGAGATACAGTCTGATATAAGCGAACCTTTGAAGGACTCGCAAACAGAAACAGTATCATTGACGAAAGAAGAAACAAACTTCGAGCAGAAACAAAGTTCAACGAAGAGCGAGACTGTTCCTGAAAGCATAGACAAGAATAACGATTTAGAGACCACAAGTGCAGATAATGATTCCAGTACTTCCTCAGGATCGACGTGTACAGTAAAAGCAGCGGAACCGACGCCACACGTAATTAAGACTGATTCAGCTGAACAGTACAGTTCGAAAAGACGATCAGAGGAGAAAATAATTCCCGAATGCGTTTCCAGAGGCGAGTCACCCAGTAAACCGGAAGTTACCAAGCGACCTGTCACACCGAAAACACCATATTCAGAGAAGCTCGTGGCCGGTGCTGTAAATCCTATTATACAGTCAGTCCCCTATAGCGTGAACGAAGAGGACGAGATACTTACTGTCTCCGTAGAGGACAACATTCCTAAACACGTGACATAGCTTTATAAATGAAGTGGACATATACTACAAATGTATATAGATAACGTATATACATCTGCAGTATAAAAATGCAGATTTCTCACAACTAAATCTTATATTATTTTTCATTTTTTATTTTTTATTTATTTTTTTTTTATGTTTATATAAATAATATAGCTGAAAGAAAATGTTATATCACGCCTGAATAATCTTGTTTTATTTTCTCTCTTTTTACACGAAATCTGCTACGTTTTCTGTAAATCTATATACTGGCGCTATATTGCACATATCAGATCATCAGGTATGCGACCAAAGATTAATTCACCTAATTGACAACTCACTTTACATTTACGTTGTTTTTTTATGTTTTATTCGCCTGTGATATTAAATAATGATCACAATTTTCCATATTTATCCATTTATTATTCCATAATTTTCCATTAACATTCATCTTTTAAGTTGCAATATTTGGTAACTAACTTTGCTTTTAGTTTTCAAATGATTAAATTTCTTTACGTAACTGTATTGCAAATTATATGTACAATATAATCATCATACAGGTTGCTTTTGTGACTGAACGAAATATAAAGCCAAAACAAAACTAAACATTTTATTTGTTTGATATATGTCTTTTACATGTGACTAATTACATTACACACATAACGTGACCGCGACAATTTTTTAATAACAAAGAAATAGTGCAATCACTAATCACCTTTTTATTTCTGCACAATTATTAAAAAAAAAGCAAACAATATTTGAAATTTATTTGGTGTAATGTAATTACAAAACATAAGCTATATAAATACCATAACGTGATTGTACTACGATAAATACAATTGAGCATTGTAAAAAGATTTAAAACATGTTTAGCTATATATATATACTTTTTACATTTAATAATATGTAATTATTCAAAACTTGCAACAGAAGGAAAAGCTGTATCTTGTGTTGTAACTCTACGTTATGTTTTTTTATAAGCCCTGAAATTACATATTGAAAATATGTAACTGTGAATTTATTCGCTAAATCTTTTACATATATATTATATCTATATTATTCTATATCTAAGAGCTCTATATTATTCTATATAATTCTCTTTATTGCTTCCCAAAATATTTTGTACATCAACATTAATATAAAATGTTACACTTATAGTATGTAATAGATAAAGCTGTATAAATATTTGTATTCTGCTAAAATATATTTTCTAATAAAATAATCTAAATATGTATAGTATTTATATAATTTAAATAAATTCACGGTATATTACAAATTTTTATAATATTACAAATTATTTTCATTATTTATATTTAAAATTTAAATGAATTTAAATTTGTAATTGATTTCTTCAGACTTATTTTTTCAATTTTTAATTGTTCTGTGTAACTTTCAATTCTGGAATAACGTTCCGTAAATTTCTTCTTTTTATGCGTCTTTTACGTTCTCTTGCTTCATTGAAGATTTAATTAAAATGTAAATGATTTATTATATAAAAAATTGTTATGTAATTATAATAATATAAATATATTTCACACAATAGATTTCTTATTTCTATATTTTAAAAGAAGTTGCGCTATATAAATTAAATAAATAAATAATATTAAATATACAAAATACATATGTTATGCGAGAGAAAATTCAAACTATCAATTAAACCTTTTCTTTTACACATATTTGAAATCTGTGAAGATGTAAGTAATTTACCTTTTTTTTTGGCAATCGTTAGATTTCTTTTTACATTCGCATTGTAATTATCTCGTCTTTTTTTAGTAAAGAATTCGTGCGCGAGTGCAATTTCATCCTCCAAGTACCATCGCAGAGGACCTCGACAACGCTTGCAACGTCCTAAATATGCTATGCCCTTGGCTTCAAGAATTCTGCGTTGAATTGGATACGGTGGTCGACCGGTGTCCTGAATACGGAATTTTACTCCGGGTCCACCACTATCCAGGATCACGTTCGTCAAGGATGACACGTAGGGCGAATTTCGCATATTGTAGCGTTTCTCAGGATCTTGAAGTTTCTCTTCGCAACAGAATCCATAAGGTTTCTGCGGTAGCTGTGAACGTGGCAGTCTTGTGAAGATTCGTTTGCTCGGTACTTTCTTCATGTTATTGTAAATTTTTTTTCAATCAATTATATATTTTAGGATATTAGATTCTTTATCTGAATATATAAATTCTTTTTTTAAGAATCATTTTTCTTTTTCATCGCAATTAAATATATTGCTGAAAAGTCACATTATTGATTGTAATTCTGTGAAATATTTTCTTTTGATTTTATTTGTGAATTAGTGTTAATGAAAAACAATTGAGAGAAGACTAATCATATACTAAATGAAAAATTTAATTATGTTGCTGTTGGGAAAACTTCATTTCTTTAGTCCTTTTAATCTTCATTTTTATATTTTTAATTGCAATCACATTTTATTTAAAAAAACTTTTTGTTAACAATATATAAGGACAATATAAAATTATTATTCAAATTTAAATTAATGTAAAAATTTTGTACATTACGAGTATTGTATTTGTGAATTAGTGTTAATGAAAAATAATTGAGAAATGTTTAATCATATACTAAATGAAAAATTCAATTATGTTACTGTTGAGAAAATTTCATTTCTTTAGTTCTTTAAACATGATTTCTATTTGTAATTGCAATCATATATTTTTTATTTAAAAAAACTTTGTTTTTTAACAATAAAAAGGACTATAAAATTATTATTCAAATTTAAATTAATGTAAAGGTTTTGTATATAAGACAACTTATAAAGGAAGAAAAAATAGCTAAAATATATCAAGAATTTCTTCAAAAAGGAGAGATATTTAGTATTTTTAATTTCTTTATAAAAAAAAATAATTCATCTCGATACATGTAATGTTAATCTTATGCTTTATCAACAAAATTTTAAAAGTTAGCGGATTGCGTTTGCAAACCCATTCATTGATTGACCAATCAGAGCAAAGGAATCTTAGCCAATCAAAAGGTTTCGCACTCCGAAGGGTAAATTTACGAACGCAACTTGCAGAGAAGAATTGGCATAATTTTACACGCTTTTCTTATTTAAAAAAAATTCCGTCTTTATATTTGTAACATAACATTTTTTTAAAGTGTCTATACAATTAATAATTCTTTTACGTGCAAATATATAGTATTATGAACTCTTCTTTGAGATTAGGTTAGTATCGTGACAAGATGCAAGCATGATTTGAATCACGGTTCAAATTATGAATTCGTCCACCTTGTCGCCGAGTACTCTAGGACATTCAACAGGACAAAGGACATCGGAATCGCAGGATTCAGAACTGACTTCCAGTGCGACTCAAACGTCCAAGATTCTAAATCAGATGAAAGCCGAGTTACAGGAGCAAAAGCAGCGGAAACAATTTCTCAAGGAGCTGCATGCCAAGCGCGTACAATCCTTGCGAAAGGAACTGGACTATCTCAAGGCGACAGAGTGGAGATATCAGCCCATAGATCGGTAAATAATCTTTTTTAAGTATTTATATTCTCTTCTCGAATTTCTCTTGTGCTTCTTTTTAAATTTTGTATTATTTACATCAAATATACTATTAGATAGTGAGAGCACAGAGATAGTTTAATTTAAAAATAAAAAAAAAAACAGATGAACCGAACACTAAGCTTAACATAAAATATAAAATATTTAGATCTTATTAATGCACAGATACTCTTATTAATTTACAGATACTTGGATAGAAGTCAAAGAAATTAAGTATGCTGTCATTAATCTATAACGGATTTAGATATGCTCTAAACTTTGTACATACGGATAAAACCAAGGAAGAAGAAAACATAGATGAGATCATATCTCGTATAGAGTATGCAAAAGAAGATGCAGGTGCGGATACAGAGGAAGAAGAGTATATAGAGAAAAAAGAAGCACTGAGTGAACAAGGATGTTATTACAAAACAGGATGTATCACTTATGTTGCAAATGATCATGTTCTCATAGATGATTGCTATCCATTTGAGAAGGAGGATGAAACGACCAGTAATCTGAAAGTGGGTGATAAAATTTACTACTCGCTATATCTGCGAGATACAAATGCGGAACCAAAAGTACGAAAAATTATCTATGTGATAGACGACACCTGGGATAATGCAAATGCCAAATTAAATAGAGACGTAATTCATAAACATATGATATCAAAAAGTATAGTCGCTAAAGTAACGAAACGCGAAGGTCGAATCGCCTTTGTTGAGCCTAATAATATTCGTATTGATTTAAGCAAGGTACAAACCGATTTTATTCCCCTGGTCGGCGATTGGTTAACATTAGATTCCTTGGTCGAATTAGATCGCAATTCTACAGATTTGAGTGGCGAAATCATAGAGGTGGATAAAATCAAATCGTTACGATCTAAACTAGATGTTGGAGTAATAACGAAATACGATCCACGAAATGAAGTGGGAATAATCGATAAATGTGTGATATTTCACAAAAGCGTCTGTGAGCCAGGTTACATTCCTTGCGTTGGTGATAAAGTGGTAAGCGATAGCATAGAAAGCGATCAAGGACAGTACAGTTGGAGATCACTGATCATAGTTCCATTAATTCAGGTAAGAAAATTTATATCATTTTATATATACATATACATCTGCACACATAAAATATAAAATTCTGAATATTTTTCTTATATTTTTTTTCAGTTTTCAGAAAAATCCACTAAATCACTAATCACAACTAATATTTCTTCAATATTAACAGATAATAATGACTTACTAAAAAACAAATGTGGAATTTTCATAGATAATCACTTGAAATTCAATTTGAATATAGAAGAAGAAAGCAGCTTGATGGTTTCTATACGAAATAATGGCAGTTATACTCATATGTTGCGGGGTGGCTCTTTCATGCCACAAAATGTCACTGCGTCTCAGTTGTCATTACAGTCGCCGATAAATACAGATATTAATACAATAATAGAACCTTCTGGCAGTGTTACATATACATTCAAATGTAAAGCAAAATTTATCGGCATGTCCCAGGAGTTGTTTATCTTTCACTTTAAAGATTTCAAAATCGGTAGAATATTTTATATAAACGTCAAAGCGATAAACATTTCAGAAAAGATTGATTCCGCGTCTGGTAGACAAAAAAATATATATAATAAAATTAACATAGCTAATTTGAAAGAATTAAATGAGACTACATGTATTCCTGGTGTAAAGCCATTTAAATCACCTGCGTTTATCCAAGTACGTAGCGGAATATTCAAAGTACCGCAATATATTTGGGATGCGGTCCTGGATATTATGGAGAATGGGAAATCGCCGGATCAGCGTGAAGTCGCTATTGGAAATCTGATGCCTTGTCTTAAGAAACAGCTTTCCTTCCATACGTATAAGGAACGTTTTCATATTTTATTGTATCTCGAGGATATAAGTGAAAAGCTCAACATGCAACAATATAGTATGGAAAGCGCAGTTATGCGACGACACGGAGAATATCTTGCACTTGAAGTGCCAGGATTAGTGGAAAAACGACCTTCTCTTGTTCTTGGTGATAGAGCTATAGTATCTTTCAAATGGGATAATTCTCGAGGTATTATATTTAAAAGTCTTAAATATCTCTGCTTTTTTATATCAATTTATTCTTAATTGCATAATAATAATTTGTAAACAATATAAACTGGATTACAAATAGTATCAAGATATTAAAAAGTAATTGTAAAATTATTTTTAATCTATTGACATGCATATATACATATATACTTATGTTTTTCATTTTTTCTTTATAACATAGGACAGACAAAATACGAAGGCTTTATTCACAAAGTCACAGGCAGTGAAATTTTCTTAAAATTTAATGAGAAGTTTCAGGAACAGTACAATAGAGAGGATTGTCAGGTGACATTTAAATGCTCAGAGAGTTTTATTCAACGTTGTCACAATGCTATTAATTTAGCTTACAATCGTCTCGGACCTGATTTTCTGTTTCCTACAAAAGTGCAGCAAAAAGAGCCACAGTTTTATTTGGAAGAATATGACATCAAGCAGAAATTTAGTCACGCACAAGTTCATCACGAACACAATGAATCTTCTAATAGCATCTCTCTCAGTGATAGTCTGTCAGGTTTTAATAATGAAATCAAAATGTCTTCACGAAAATATTCAGTAGCAGAAAGACTTTTAAACATTAAATCCATTGAATCATCCTCACTTGAAGAAATAGAAACATTGAATGCAAGCATAGAAATAAATCAGGATTTTGAAACAAATTTACCAAAGAATATCAATAATAGTAAAACTAACATAGGCAATACCACAGTTTCGAGGAAAACAGATGAAATGATTGCAGGCTTCGATGATGAGATAGAATCATGTATTGCTCAAATAAAAACACGGAAATTACATTGGTTCAATGAAAAATTGAATTATTATCAAAAGGAAGCTGTAAAGAACATAATACAGGGATTAGCGCGGCCATTACCCTATGTGATATTTGGTCCACCTGGAACAGGAAAGACAGTGACTTTGTGTGAGACGATTTTGCAAATTCTGGCTGTGATTCCTGAAAGCAGACTTCTTGTAGCGACTCCATCAAACAGTTCGGCAAATTTAATAACAGAACGTCTGTTGGACAGCAACATACTCAAGCCTGGTGATTTGGTATGATTAATTTTTGTGTAAATCTTTTTTTAATGCTTTATTTTTAAATATTTTATTCTTTATTTTTAAATATTTTATTCTTTGCATTTATACTCATTGTATATTTGATATTGTATGTCGTAGGTTCGATTGATAGCTCAGCATTGCTTAAACGACGATATCATTCCTGAAAAACTGCTACCTTATTGCGCTACAGCAGAATTAGCTGCAGAGGGTTCGGTCAATCGTTTTTGTCATCGCGAGAATCAACCAAAATTGAACTGCACTATGTCGATTCTAGGTCGTCATAGAATCACCATCGGCACCTGCGCTGCATTGGGAATACTACATAACATGGGCTTTCCCCGTGGACATTTCTCGCACATCTTAGTCGACGAGGCCGGTCAAGCGACTGAGCCGGAGATTATGATTCCTTTGAACTTCATTCATTCCGAGAATGGCCAGGTGATTCTTGCGGGTGATCCGATGCAACTTGGACCTGTCGTGCAGAGTAACTTGGCAACAGAGTTTGGACTCGACGAATCGTTTTTATCGAGACTGTTGCAGCAATTTCCTTATCAAAAAGATCCGGAAAGATTCAAGAAATTCCATTACGATCCCAGACTCGTTACGAAACTCGTTATGAACTATCGAAGTTTACCGGAGATATTGAATTTAACAAATTCGCTATTTTATGATTCGCAATTACAGCCACAAGTATGTATGTGCAAATTATTATTTAAACCTCTATTATGTTATAGTTAGTTATAATTTGTTTAATTATTTAGATATCATCTGAGAACAGTAAAGAAGCTAAACTATTAGAAATGTTGAGAATGGAACTACCTGATAGACCTGACTCATCGCCACCAGCTGTAGTTTTTCATGGAGTCGATGGTAGGAATCTTCGAGATACGGCCAGTCCAAGTTGGTACAATCTCGAAGAAGCAACACAAGTTTACGTATATTTATTGAAGCTATACAAATATGGACTTGAACCGGATGATATAGGAATTATAACTCCTTATCACAAGCAGGTAAACAGATATTTTAAAATAATTCTCTATCACTTATAAAAATCGCCGATATCTTATTTTACGAAAAAAATTTTTTTTTCAATTAAGGTATTGCAAATTAGAGATCTGTTATTGGCGGTAGATCTTAAATTACCAAAAATCAGTAGTGTGGAAGGATTTCAAGGCCAAGAAAGGAAAGTGATTATTCTATCGACTGTCAGGTCATGCAAAAATTTAGTTAATGAGGATATTAAACATGCACTAGGATTCATTGCTTCGCCAAAAAGACTTAATGTTTCGATTACTCGAGCACGAGCTTTGCTTATTATTGTGGGAAATCCAAAATTACTCTCTTCAGATCCATATTGGAGAAATATTCTGATGTATTGTATCGAAAATAATGCCTATGCAGGATCTAATATTTTATTTTCAAATACAACAGATTTTATATAATATAATTAGACATTATTGATTTTTTATAATATGAAATGTGCAAAAATCATAATTAGCTAATCATTATGTTATACAGGATTTCCCAACCTTATCGTACCATCCGTTTATGGGAGACTTCTAAAATTATTTGGAGATGATTTTTTCTCAGCGAAAATGTCCCGAGGAAGGTCATCACTTTTTTTAATGTTTCCAATTTCAAAAATTATGTATCTTTCTACTATTAACTAAACCTTAAATTAAAATTCTATTAAAGTAAACTTTATCAAAAATTAACTAAAAATTGTAGTTTTGTTAATAATTTATTTTCAGAAGGCTTAGTTTACAAAAAAGCTTTTATTTTCAATTGTTTATAACTCGAAAATTATTGGTGTCTGTATATTTTCGCTGAAGAAAAATCGCCTTAAGAATCTCCCATTAACGTGTACAGTAAATCTAGGACACCCTGTATATTAATAATATAACATAATGGTTAACAAATTGTAATTCTTGCACATTATTTATGATAAAACTATTAATATTTAATCAATGGAAGCTAAAAAATATTTTAATGTTTTGAATAAAATATGTAACTTTTATTTTTCAGAATTTTATACTAGTATAAAATATTTAAAAATATTTAAAATATTTAAAAATATTAAAATATTTTAAATATTTTAAAATAAGATATAAAAAAAACTTGAGAATAATTATTTTGACTTACCAGAGATATATTACGATTATGATCTTTTAAATGAAAATGTTACAATAAATATAGTTGTTCATTGTGGTTCACTGCTAGGTTCGCAATCATGATCAAACATCAATATTATTTATTCCATGTATTATTAATTTTGTGAATTATTATAATTACGAATTATTCAATACAACTAATATGATATATCCTATGTGTAAAAACTCCTATGTGTAAGAAGCTAAAAATGTCATTATAGAGACATGGGTATATACAATAAATGTGATACTTTCTCTTATATGTATAAAATGTTACAGATTGTTTTTATTATATTTGTTACAATATTAAATAACAATTCCAAAATATTGACATCAACGAATAAAAATACATTCGTCATTCATAATGTCAAGTTGTGAAATTATCATTACTTTTTTAAACTTGAGTGACACAATACATCTCAAGTTGCATTAATGCTGTAGTCGGAGTTGGAATATTTCTTTTATATATTACTTCTCCATGTTGTATCAAGTTGTCACAAATCCAAATTCCATGAATATTGATACTAAAACGAAAAAGAAAAATTATTTGAAAAATCGTATAAATGCAAGGAAAATACATTGAGTTTCAAACGTTTATAACAATTATATGTAACAGCAAAATGAGAAAATCTCTCTTTAAATAATAATTAATAAAAATAAACAAAGCAAGGGAAAAAAAGGGACAAAAGTATACAAAAAAGATAATTATTCATATAACTTGCATTTATGAAATATAATACAAAAACATACCTTAAAATATATGTTATTTACACAGAAATTAAATTAGATTTTAAATACAATACAAATTATATGAATTATTTTGTTTGAAGCATTAAGTTAATACATTTGTGTTTTAGTATATATCTATGATCCAGATATATAAATCTCTTTTTTCTTATCAAAAGTTATGTATTAAATTAATATATGATACTGTGCGCGCAATATGATTGTGAATGATACTGACCTCTGTTAGTTCCACACTATACTTACTGGGTCTTGATTTTTTGCTTTTAATTTTCTCTCAATTAGATTCTCTAGTGCCTCACTTCGTACGCTCAAAGTTTCAATCTTCTCGACCAATTGCTGATATGGCGATGCTGGCTGTCCACCCATTACTACGTGTCCTAATTTGCTGTCAATTTTAGCATCTAAACGCGCGTTACGGATTAAGTTTACAATCCAGCATTCTGCTACATCCGCCTTCATATTCAATTTCTCTGCAAGCATTCTATAAAAGATAAAAATAATTGATAAATATTAATAGAATATAATTGTTTTTGCCAATCATAATAATATAAAAATAAAGTTTACATACTGGATACTAATGCATTGATGAATTCTGCAGAATGTTTCGAAAATCATTAATCGTGCATTTTCTACGAATTCATTCAGTAAAGCAATTAAAAAGAAGTCATTAAAGACAACAGTCTGGCATTCTTGTAATTTCTGCCGAGCGCCATCAAAGTCGAAATTGACATACAAATGCTCGAGAAATTCTGTGATGGGATCCCGATAGGTATAAGATTCCTATATGAAAAGACAAATTTTAGTTAACTATCTTCCCTTATATATATATATATATATAGAACGTTTCACTAAAATATCAGCAAATATCAAAATTCAAATAATTTTTTGTAACTATAAATTTCTCAAATTTAAAATCCTTTTTCTTAGTAAAAATTGGATTAAATATATTTTATCATTTTACAGATTGGATTAATTATTTGATGAAAAAAAAACTTGCTCACAAATAGTGATGAGTGACTAATTTTCATGTTTTATATAAAGAGATTTATAACTTTAAGATTTTAACCTGTTAATAAAGAGATTTATAACTTTAGGATTTTACCTGTTGTATCACTTTTACAAGATCCTTCAAAATAGAACGCCGAGAACGATTGACAATAACTGCAGCAGCCAAGTAACGGAGTATATGTGGACACATTGTTTGAATAGCATTTAAATAACTGTAACAGTATTAAAAGTATTTCTTAGCTTCTTTTATAAACCAATTTTCACTAAAATTATCATTATATATTTTTTTTTAATTGTACATACTGTGGCCGATAGAGGAACATCTCGATGATGAGATCTCTGCCCTTCACATGATTGAAGAACACAAACAAACTCCAGTGAATGAGCCATGTGCGTTGTTGTAATACTTGCAGTGAATTACCAATAACATTACTGTCAATGTATTCTCTCAACTTGTTTACATCTTCCAATGCTGTTTCCCAATTTTGTACAAGAATCTCTGATGCTAATTTTCCCCATAAAACATTCAAGTAATTCTAGAAATTAAATACATTTTTTTAGCATAGCATATTATATAAAAAAATACTTTAGATTTATAAAAAACTAATAATACCTTATCAGTAGGGGGCATAATCAGCATATAAAAGTATAAATACGATGTGGAGACAGAATAATTGCCACACTCATAGCGATATTTTGCTAGCTTTACAAAGCTATCCATCATTTCTACCCTAAACTATAAAATACAAATAGAATTAAATTATTTAAATCAATCAAGTAAATTTTTTTACTTAAATATGCAAATTTAAATAAATTTAAGTAATTTAAATATTTCATCATTTTGATATATATTAGATCTGATATCTTCTTATTATTTAATGTGGTATATTCTACCTACATCTGATTCTTGAGTGAGATAATTATTAAGTGCTTTGGAATCACGCATGTTTTCCATCTTCTTCATAACTTCCTCGTTATTCATAAGAGCCAAGACTACAGAGACATTATTCTGAAGTATGCTGAGCTCTTGGAGTACATCAGCACGTCTAGCTTTTATCTCCTGCAACAAACACGTTGCTCCAATTTACGATCATCATATAATATGCATACAAGATTGCAATCCTTGCACAATTTCTTGTACGCAACTACAATGGCATATATAACACAATAAAACTACCTCCGGCACTTCCACGTTTGGATAAAGCTGTTTCCTAATATCGATAGTGTAATCAATCATATTTGTCTTACTGAGAATATTGAGCTTCGCTTGCAATAACTCATCTTCGTCGTAAATCTGCAACATACCACATATGACATAACCAAAACGTCGTATCGCATCGCGTGGCCTGGCTTTTTCGTACCTGTTTCGCCGACAAAAATTCCAGAAGAGGAAATACCAAGTGTCGATCCAAATATTGACCTATACGAGATGTTAAGTCAAATTTCGCCATTGTATTTTCCGTTTTATTCGCGTTAATTGCGTTGTCGACGACGAGAGACGGAGACATTTACCGCGTGTGAATAGCTACTCCAACTGCAAATAGGCCGGGTCTTTCGCGCATGCGTGGCGCAGTGACGTCACACGTCAAACGTCAAGTGCAGTGACGTATACATAAGTCTGTTCTTTTCTATTACTAATTTGTATAATCAAACATTTTTCGCGGATTTAAAGAATGTTTTAATTCGATTAATTTATTTAATCTGTATTTTTAAAAATATCTGTATTTTTTAAAATATTGTTTTAACAAAGTAAATAAATAAATGGTCAGCTATGTGCAAGAGTGACAGCGCATGCGTGAAAACAAGTCTCCCATTACTTTAACCTGTGGAGAACCACTGATATGCAATGGAGCTTTTGTGACTTTCCTTACAATTTTAGACGTTTTTCTATTGACTGAAGAAAACTCGAATTTTTCGAAAAATGCCGCCGAAAAAAGCAGCGGCACCGAGTAAGAAGGCGGAGCAAAAAAAAAAAGAGAAAGTTATTGAGGTAAGAAGTGATCGACTTTTCATCTCTAACCAAAAAACTTTAAATTTCCACATGTTTCTTAAATGATGGAATATGGAACTGTGATAATTTATGTTTTAACTTTTATTAATACGTATGAAATATATATGCTTTTATTAATACTTAAACTTTTTCTTTTTTTTTAAGGACAAGACGTTTGGCATAAAAAACAAAAAGGGTGCAAAGCAACAAAAATTTATTCAGCAAGTTGAAAAGCAAGTAAAATCGGGCGGCGTAAATCCGCGCAAGCTTGAGGATCCTAATGTCAAAAAATTGGAAAAAGAAAAGAAGCTAAAAGAGCAAAAAGAATTGGCACTTATTTTTAAGCCTGTTCAAACACAAAAGATAGATAAAGGTACTGAATATATTGATGAAGTAAAAATTATGAAATACTATAAAATAAGGTATTTTTCAAGTAAAAGAAATACTACAATGAAACTACATTTGCAGGCACAGATCCCAAGTCTGTTGTGTGCGCATTTTTTAAACAAGGACAATGTACAAAGGGAGATAAATGTAAATTCTCTCATGATTTGAGCATTGAACGAAAAGCTGAAAAGCGTTCATTGTATTGCGATATGAGAGATGATGATAAGGAAGAGGATACAATGGATAAATGGGATGAAGATAAACTGAAAGAAGTTGTGGAAAAGAAACATGGTGGTGGTAATCGTCCTACTACTGACATTGTAAGTTGTGCAAATAATTAATTAACATTCTTGAAAAGTCAATCATTGAAAATTCTGCTCAAGAAAGAATAATATGAAATAAAATGTTTTTTCTTTTTACAGATCTGCAAATACTTCTTGGAAGCAGTAGAGAAATCAAAATATGGTTGGTTCTGGGAATGTCCATCTGGTCAGAAATGTATTTATAGGCATGCTTTACCTCCTGGATTTGTCTTAAAAAAAGATAAAAAGAAGGAAGATAAGAAAGATGAAATCTCCCTGGAAGATTTAATAGAAACAGAAAGAGCCAATTTAGGACCTAATCAGGTATGAATATTGCATTAAATATAATGAATTTTATACAAAAATAAATTTTACATAAAACTCAATATTCTGATATTTTTATGCAATAAAAAATTTTAACAGACCAAGATAACTCTGGAGACATTCTTGGCTTGGAAAAAGAGAAAATTGAAAGAAAAAGAAGAACAGGCAATCAAAGATGAAGAGAAGAAAAGAAATGATTATAAAGCTGGTCGTCAAATTGGCATATCAGGAAGAGAAATGTTTTACTTTAATCCAGATCTTGCAACAGGAGATGGTAAGATCTTGTTGGCGAGATACAATTTTGCTTAAATTCTTATAATAAATTTAAATCATTAATTAAATCGCGTTATAGGTATCGACGAAGGAGATGAAGCAATATCTAGTTATGTTCGCGAAGAAGATGATTCTGAAGATGTACAATATAGAGAACTTGATATGGATCGTCTCGCTTTTGAAGCTAGCGAAATTGACACTAATGGTATCACTGTGGCTACTACAGATCGATTAAAGGTCAACAATATCACCGATAACGATGAAGATGTTACAGGTTATATATAATTATAATTATTATATTAATATATTCTTAATCTACTAGTAAACCATTTCAAATTTAGAAGCATTTGTAAATTATGTATAAATTAGACTAATACAATTTTAGAAGCCCATAAATTATAATCATTGTTATCAATAGATCGTCTTTCTAAACATAAGAAATTTTTAATCTTGCACACAAAACGCGAACAATGAATGTATATTAATTATAGTATCACTGAGTAATATTAACATAAAAATTTATATTTTAGTAACTGTGGAAGAAGGTGCCGCGGCGATAGCTATTAACGAAAATCTTTTCGTGGAAGAAGATTTAGAGGGTTTAGAAGAAGAATTAGGGGACCTGGACTTGGAGGAGTAATCCAGTTGTCCCGATCGTGCGACTCTCCTCACTACATCATGTTGCTCCTGTGTTTTATTTCTTTTAATACGTATTGCTCAGATAACCATTAGTCTGAAATGTGATGTATATTAATATAATTTGCATCCTATTCTCACACAACATTGTATAATTAATATTGCAGCTCAGTGTTGCATTTATACATTTCAGGTACATGTATAAAGAGCTGGTCTCACGCAACCACCTGATACCTAGATATAGCATAATGATCCAATATCAATTTAATTGCTATCTTTGCTCTTGAATTTGTCTTTTTATAATGTCGAGTTTATATCCAATAATTATCCGTGAATATCAAAATATTTAATGCTATACATGAAATAATACACATGTGCGTATGTTATTTTTATAATACTCCTGTGTATGTATGATTTTTCTTGATAAAAATAGAAAAACGAAATATAATAGAACATTGATGTACATTATTAGAAGTTTGGCTATATTTAACTGCATGATTGATTAATGAATAGAAAAATTCTAGAAATTTAATAATAAAGACTCTAGAATATCATTAATTTATTAAATATAATTCAAACTTACAATATTGTTATATATATATATATATATAATTTAAAATTGTTTTTTCTAGAATGATTAATTATCATTTCTGTGTTATCTTTAATCGAATTAAATTTATGTTTTTATACTTTATTTATTATATATATGTACATATATATGCAAAGCAATGAACGCGTTAATTTAAATGTATAATAAGTTTTAATTTGACACTTGTTTCTTTTTTGTGTACACACTGTACAGTTATATGTTATAATATTTTAATAAAGATAACAAGTAATTGAAAAAATGTCTCATCGCGAATTAGGGCCATTCTACAATAGGTTGCAAATATCCTCGTTGTTAGTTGATAGTTGCGGATTAACCAATCAGCTGACAAGTTGCTTTGCTTTGATTGGTCAATCGGCAATTGTCAACTAGTAACGAGGATATTTGCAACCTATTGTAGAATGGCCCTAAGACTTACATCATTATACGATGAGCATTGTTCTGTGAAAGAGGCCTAAGAAGGGATAGATCAATCAGAATTGAGCATGTGGAAAAACGCTCGACTGTGATTGGTCGATTTACGCCATTTTGGACGCTATACTATACTTCGCAGTACTTCATACATCATCGTTAGCTATAGCTGAGATAAGACGTGTATTAAAACGAATTTCTGTCCTCTGATTAGATTCAGTCTGCAGTCTGCTTGATTCTCTAGTGGATCAAAAGAGGATATCATTATTTTATTCATTATTTTGTATTTCTTTTGTTCGCTTCCCATTTACGATGTAATTACCAGTTGAGGAAAGTGAGGTTACTAAGTCTCCAGATTCTGAATTACTCTAGTCTGATTATAGACTAGAAAGTATTATAAACAGCTTTATACTTGTCTACAAAAGTTATTTATGTTAACAGAATTGATATCCAAAATGGATAGCAGTAAGTATTTTTCTTCGTTTTCCGATTTTTTTACATTTTTCGAATATTTAGATCTAAAATTCCAAGTCTAATTAATTTCATGTTTTTTCTCTAGGCTCGGACGACAGCATTTTGAGTAATGAAGATATGAAGTTGAAAACGTCAAATTCGTTTGATAATTACTCTCAAGATCATCGGAGAAATTCCCATTATTCTGAAATGCCACACTATACTGTACTGAATGCTTTTGATAATGATGATAATTATTTAAGTCACAAAAAAAGATCTGGACACTCCTCCTCGTCTTCCGATGATCAACAATATAGTGAATCGCCAAAGTATGGATTCAAAATGAATATTAACAATCACGACGAAAGTTTGTGCAAACGGAAAAAAAGAAAATTGCACAATAAAGATATGATTAATGATCTAGAGCAAGAAAAACACACTCAATTTCTTGAGTCATCGAAAATGTGTGCTTATAACAGTATAAATCATGTATCTCATACATCCAAAGCTCAAAATATGATGGAGAAAATGGGATACAAGCCAGGAAAAGGTCTGGGAAAGGATGATCAAGGTCGTGTAGAACCAATAGAGGCGATTACACAACGAGGTCGAAGAGGATTTGGACATTTTGTACCAGGTCTCAAAGAAGCGAGTCTTAAATGGAATCCTGAAGAGGAAGAAATTAAAGCTATAGAAGATATGGAATGGTTACCAAATGTGCATTCTCATACACTCCTAGGTGAGACTGTTATCAATTGGGTAATAATGGGATCGAGAAAACTCACCATAGACGACGAAACCACATATTGCAACCCAGAGATTTTAGAGCAAGTTATCAGATCAAAAACCGTATTTGACAAATTAGATAAAGTCGAATTGCGTAAAGCAAGAACACGTTCGAATCCTTACGAAACTATTCGCACTGCCAATTTTTTGAATCGTGCGGCTGTCAAAATGGCAAATATAGACAGAGCATGTAATTTTATGTTTACCAATCCAAAGGGTTTACATCCCAATGAATTATTGTACTTTGCTGATGTATGTGCTGGTCCAGGTGGTTTCAGCGAGTATGTTCTGTCCAGGAAGAAATGGCACTCCAAAGGATTTGGTTTTACTTTGAGGAACGAAAATGACTTTACATTGGACGAGTTCTTTGCTGGCCCATGTGAAACCTTTCATCCTTTCTATGGTTCTAAAGGCAATGGAGATGTATTTGATCCACAGAATCAAGAAGAATTTAGATCCTTGGTAATGAAACACACGTATGGCAAAGGTGTACATTTTATGATGTCAGATGGAGGATTCTCTGTGGAAGGTCAAGAAAACATACAGGAGATTTTGTCTAAACAGTTATATCTATGTCAGTGTCTGGTGGCATTAATGATAGTGAGACCAGGTGGACACTTTGTGACCAAATTGTTTGACTTGTTTACTCCCTTCAGCGTTGGACTTATTTATCTAATGTATAGATGTTTCGAAAATATTTGCATCTTTAAGCCCAACACTTCTAGACCAGCTAATTCAGAACGTTATTTAATATGTAAAAGAAAAAAGCTGGACACCGAAGCGATAATGTTCTATCTTTCTGACGTTAACCGTTTACTTTTATCGAGAGATGAGAACAGTGATGTAATTCATTTAGTACCGCCCGAAATATTGGAAGCGGATAAGGCGTTTGTAACGTATTTGAGAAGTTCCAACGACGTTTTAGGAAAGAAACAGGTAATAGGCCTCTTAAAGATTGCGGCTTTTTGCGAGGACCCGATGCTGACCGAACCAAAACAAGCGGATATGCGGAAGGAATGCTTGAATTATTGGAATATACCTGACAAAACTCGCGTGAGACCGCAAATCGTTAGACCACAAGATAAGATTAGGGAGATTTTAAACAACACCGAAAGCTGTTTCTTTAGATCTGAGGCAGAGAAACTGAAGATCGATAATGCAAAAAGTATATTGAGTCGACCGTACAATTGGTATTGCATGCCCTGTGGTTTTGGTCCCTGTGTCGAAGAGGATAAAGCAGCAACGTTTTATTTGGGTTTGGGAAGACGGAAAGTGTTTCGTTACACGAAAGGCAAGTGGGAATCGATTGGAGATGTACAGATAGAACTACCACCTGATACTCTTGTATACGCCGAACTAGTATATGAAACGAAATGGATGGGAAAATACTTCTCCAAGACACGTGCGTTACATATCTTGGATGCTTACATGATTGGTGGAGAAGATATAAGCAGACAATACTTATGCGATAGGTAAATAAATCTCTTTTATTTATCAAATGTAATAGAAAATTCTAAGCTGTCAGCAACATGCTTTGAGCTATTGATAGTAACATGTCACTTAAAAATTGAATACAAATCATTTTGAGATTATGTTATAGTTTCTCTGTAGTATATACTTATGTATACATTTAATCAATATAGAGTCTATAGTTTCTAAATTATATTAATTATATAGCTAATATTTTTCTGCAATATCTGTCACAGGTACAAATCTATTAAAAAAGTTTGCGATGCACTGTGGAAACCAGTTCCGAACGAGTACGTATGTGTGCGTCCTAAACCGATGTTCATGCTGAATCCTATGGATATAGAGAAGAATTTGCGTGTCACGCGGTGTCGCGAGGTGAAAATTCCTGTTACGTTTGAGTGGCCAAAGAGTTACTTAGAACGTGACAATGAAAACGATACGAATCCTGTATATTATACATTCAACAGCGTACTTTTCTTACCAAGCATCGCTCATCCTTGGTCACGTCATATTAGTCAGAAAACGAAACATTTTTATGTCACTAACGAGGCTACCCATCAATCAGAATATGAAATCCGAAACGGTCAAAATAATAGACCGCGCACAGCCGAAGCCAGTTTTATGGAAGCATTCGAGAAACGTATTATTTGGCACTGGCCTGGCGATGGTACATTGAATATGAACGCTTTACTTACAATAATTAACCCACTGCAAAATGTCTGATTCATATGTATTATATTGTACATATTGTAAATGTAAATATTACATTTGTATGTATGAAATTGTTACCAAATTTTTTTTTGTTTTTCTTAAAACATTCTTTTGATTGGTAATTTACTTCATAGTTTTAGCTAGTTAATATTTCAAAAATGTTATCTTGTAAAAATGTAAAAAAAAATATTAGAAAATATTAAGGAACTTAAATTTTACTTTAGTAAATTATAATTTTTAGGGTGACATAAGAGATTTAAAAGACTGCATTTTCTATACATGATAGTTTTTAGTTTGTTCATTGTACATTTATGCAAACTTATATGCATATAACTGTTTTCAGTCAATTGTATTTTGGTCATTTTTTCATTTTGTAAACAAATTATTTTTGATCTAAAGTAATTTGTGTATCAGTTTCAGTTAATAGTCTTGAAAATAATAGGGAATTAAAATGAAGAGAATTTGTAAGAAAATTAGAAAAATTAAAATAAATTTTCTTAGATACGCGCGCGCGCGCGGGAAAAATTTAAGAGATTGCATCTTATACACGATTTTATGTATTTTTTATGTCAAAACAGTTATGTAAAAAGTCTGTATTAACAAACACTTATTGATAAGTTCTGATAACTGTTATAATACATATAATTATTGTATAGTTAACAAAACAATAAAAAAAAATACAAAATTATAGAATTTAATGGTTACGCACATGTAAATTAAACACTGTGCATTTCAATGCTCATATAGCACATTTTTTAACCACACCAGACATACTTTTAGGTGTCTGTCAGTCCGCAGTCTGATAAGTGGGACGGAGAAATGTGTGTGCATTGTATCTTTACATAAATTTTTTATAAGGAATAAGAATTTTCGTACAATTTTGAAAATTATTATATGTCAACTGTATAAGTATTAAATTTAATATATGTTATTTACAATTTATAATTATTTATTTTTTCTGTATTTTATATATTTTTTAAGAATTCAATGAATAGAAAAATTACTCTCCTGTTTTGCAAGATAAAATTTGCTTATGTAACAATAATAATTTTGTTTTAATTTCAATGTTTATGTATATACTTCTGAGGTGCCCAAATGATCTATAAATATTAACAAGAATTTATAAACACATTTCATTAAACATAATATTATTAAATAAATTGTAATAATATATATATATATATATATATATATATATATATATATATTGTCATGTAATAAATATACTGTTGATAAAAAATATTTTCAATTATAAACAATATTATAATTACTTAAAGAAACAATGTAATTATACATAAATTATAACATGTTAATTTATTATAAACAATCTCAATACATTATGTACAGCTAGTTTTAATGTTTATATGTATATTTATATTTACATTATATGTATAAATATCACTCTGCACGCACATTCACATGCCACTTTCGCACTCAATTTTTAAATTTATCCTATTTAATAGTAGATGTGACCACATTTCAATATGCGTAAAAAAAAATAATAAAATTTTTATTTCAAATTTCTAAAAACAAATATAATAATTTTTATAAATATTTTCTTAAATATGTATATGTGTATACACAGTTTGAAATGAGACTCTAATGTATCATATTTTTATCACTGAAGTATTATGACACTCGATTAATATTGTATCTTTATATGTATATAATATTATCATATATAGAGCTAATTTGTTATATATGTCTACAAAAAGTTTAAAGTCTAAAGATATATAATTTATTATTATGTAAAGTTTTTCTTTAGATATTTAAGAGATGACTAATATAATTTCTTCTTGAAAGATATATTTTAAAAGAAATAATCTGTTGAACACATTCAAAGACTCATTCCATTCTGTGTATACATTTGCTTTCGATGCATATGTAATGTATAAATTTCTATAAACGCTAGCAATTAACTGTCTTTTTTTTAGTCTCATATCACATTAAATATAATTATTTCGAAGCTCTTGTTCTTTAAGTTTAATTAAAAATGATTCTACTCTATATTTTTAAAAGTACAATGGAAGATAATTAACATGCAAATTATTTTTGGCAGTTATATATTTTGAACTATTACTGTTATAGTAATAGTTTTCAACAACTAGTAATCCTTGGTAACAAAAGTTGTGCTAAGATACTTTGTAGTCTTTGCTTTCCCCAAATTTTAGACAAATTTAGATATTTATTGACATTGATGACGGATTAATATTTGTTTCTAACTTTGCATCAGCTCTGATCTAATAATAAAATCATATAGAATTCTGTCGCTAACTAAATCTTTTACAAAAATGAATAAATGTATGGCACTTTGATGCACATATAGTGTTAAAATCCAAAAAAGAAAAATAAACATACATGGAACATGATAAATCACAAAATGTATCATCTGTGATAAGAAAGAATGGTGGTTGCCCATAGAAGACGTTGCCATATCCAACGCGGTACTCTGCATGGTACAAGATTGGTCATCGCGCCGGCCAAGTGACGCACCCAATCCCAGATTCCCCACGGTGCGTGTCCTCCATTAACATAGAGAACATACGTATAACCGTCCTTACACTTTCCCCGTATCGAATAATAATATGGAAGAAAACTGTGCAGCCGAAAATGACACCTCTGATAAAACAATATAGCAGGAGCATTGCTAGAGAGCACGTGTAGGAAGACTGCCTTTACAGAGGAACGTTCGGGAGCGGTAACGTGAGCCAACAATTGTTCCAACAGCAACGAAGCTATTCCATTTCTCCTGTATGCGCGACGTACTCCTAAGCTAAGTATATAACCTACTAGACAATTTTTTCCTAGACTGGAACACAAGATTCCGCGATCTTCTTTATTCAATCTGGCATAGGGTTTTATCTCTGCAACGATCAGCCCTATTATTACTCCACCATATACCGCTGCAAGTGCGTAGAACCTTGATGAGCTTGTAATGTCTTCGTACCATGAATAAGGATAATCTGTACAGATGAACATTAAACATTAACATTATATATTAAAAATAATATGTATAATATTTTACTATAATATTTATATTATGTTTTATTATTTTTTATTAAGAAATATTAACATATATATATATATATATATATATATATATATATTACTTGATATATATATATATATTACTTGAAAAATATCATTTTACATCTTATATAATTATAATAGCAATCTTATTTTAATTTCAAATTTCTTTTTTTATGACTATCTGCCTATATATAGAATCATTTCCTTCCTGTTTCTGTCTCTCTATCCCTTCTCTCCCTGAATATTTGTATTTTCCTTATATCAGTTACAAAAGATATGATAAAAGAAAGATAAAGAATTTAAGGGGACCCTAAGGCTCTGTCATACTGATAACAGTGTAAAAATGCTTCGACCATGAATCTTTTTATTGCCTATACAGATTGAAAAATCCTTTTAGTTTCCCTGTTTATTAATATTAATACTTTAATTGTGCAAAAGAATTTATCAATTTGTATAGTCAATCAAAAGAAAGTCGAAAAGTACCTTTTACCTTCTACAGATTGATAAATCCTTTTGCACAATTAAAGTATTAATATTAACAAACGGAGGGCTAAAAGAATTTTTCAATCTGTATAGTCAATAACAAAATTCATGGTCGAATTCAACTTCGCGCTGCTATTAGCATATCAAAGCCTTAGGATTCCCTTTAAGTGACAAGAAAATATTTTCAATCCTGTTGCATTTCCCATTAAACAAGATGTATATACATATACGTCTGCGCGCTCACCTATGGGGAACCAATCTTGACAGAGCGAGCGCACCTCCTCGAGGTCGTCGGGGCAGAGGAAGCGCAGCTGCACCTCGCCCAGGACGCATAGCGGCACCGTGACAGCCGGCGTCGTCACGGAAGCTGCTCCTGCCGCCGTCGTACCCGCCGCCGTCGTCGTCGTGGTTGTCGGGCAACCGCCGCAGATGCTGGCCGTCTGACAGTCCCTCGCGACCGTCTCATCCGTGACGTAGGAAGCGCGCTGCTTCGAGCCCGCGTCCAGCGGCTCGATCCCGTTCACGACGGCGCTTCGACCGGACTCGCTGTCCTCGATCTCCGGTAGGATCACCGGCAGGTATCGGTTAAAGGACACGACCATCGCGCGACCGCGGCTGGCCCGTTCTCATCTTACGGCTTGTCATTTGCGCGTTTATATACCGTATTTCGCGGCCTCGTTACAGATGGAACGCAATTTGACAGCTATCGCTGCCGCTCGTGACATTTTGTTTTCTTCGCTTCGTCGTAGGCTCGATTTGTTATTGTTGTTATTCGCGATGTGTTCACGCGAACTCGCACCTTACGTCACGACGATTACAACTCGCGCATCCGCTGTCACTTGTCGCGTGCGGTGTAAACGACCCTGCACGTCTGGAGTCCCATCACTGTTTGGAGCACCGACAGCTATCCGTTCCGATGAATGAGCCGAAATCGTCTCCCGATGATCCCACGATGGATATGCACGTTTTTTTTTTTTACCAGTAAAATCGGTTTTAATCGATTTTCATGATTGCGTTCGAACGTCCGCTCGGAAATGGGACGGACCAATCGGAACAAAGGAATCTTTGCTCCGATTGCTCGATCGCGATAAATGTAAATATAAAATACAGTCTCATATACCGGGTGTCCCATTTTAATGTCCCACCCTAAATAACTTTTTTATTTTTCTTGTAGAATTTTTGATTGTAGAAGAAAATGTTTCGGACAAAAGTTATATAGTTTGAAAGTGACCTATTCAAGCAGGTTACGTGAAGGTCGCACCTTCAATTTCTTAAATGAAACCACTTAACTATTTTTCATTGCATATTCTTGTAATTTATCTCAAGAGCTTTCCTATAATAAGGTATTTTTTCATTAAGTACTTTTTGAGTTATAAAACTTCGAAATTAATAATTTTTTAACATACAATGTAAAATATCAATACAACTTTTGTCTGAAACATTTTCTTCTACAATAAAAAATGTTATTTAGAGATATTAAAATGGGACATCCTGTATAACATACATAGAGATCAGTGAATATACAATTCATAAGTACAGGACTTGAAATTGCGGTCGCGAAAGTGACGTGTGAAACGTCTGCGCGAGTGACGTTGCTTTGAATCAGCTGTTGATGGCCGCTTTAATAGAGCAGTTTTGAAGTTTTAATAATCACCATGGCGGCAAATAAAGCTGTCACAGTTCTTGCGCCGAATGGTCGCCGGCAGAATGTGAAGGTTACGATCAACACGACGATCTTACAGGTAAAATCGATTCATTCGGCTCTTTACGCGGCAAAAAGATTGTGACATTTACATTCGTTTAAATGAGGAACAACGTCGTTCTTCATACGAAGGTTCTTCTCTTTGCAGATTCTGGAGGAAGTATGTCAGAAGCAAGGTTTCAACGCCGACGATTATGACATAAAGTGAGTAGAACGCTTTACACTTGAATATTTTTGCAGTAATGTGATATAATTTTTATATATTACATCTCTCGTCTCATCTATTACAGACACAATCGTCAGATACTAGATCCTAACACGATATTTCGCTTTACTGGTTTACCAAATAACGCTCAACTAGAGATGGTAGCCTGCGCAAAGACGCGTTCAATATCGAATGTCACAATTGGCATTCAACCAGAGGAGGGAGAGAGAATAATGCGCGAATTTCCGCCTAAAACAACGTTAGCTCAAGCATTGTTAGAAGTATATCCCGATTCGGATCTTGAGAGAGCTGTATTAATCTACATGCATCGAGAAGTATGTGTACACATATACATATTTGCATATGCGGAAAAAAATTGATACCTTACATTCTATTGTTAAATGTAAACCGCGAGCGTAGAAAAGAAAATATATCTAAAGTTTTTCTATATAGATATGCGGGAGAGAAGCATTAGAAAAGACAACATTGAAGACATTAGGCCTCAATAGTGGAAAGGCAATATTGCGATTGATGTATCGCGATCCCGCACAATTAAAAACTCAAGCACATGTATCTAGCATTTTGCACCCAAAGTCAGCAGCGATGGATAAAACATCAAGCAATTGTCCCGAAAGAGTGCCATCATCCATACCCCAATGTAGTAAGACGCTGGACGATTCATCAATAAATATATCAAAAGTAGAAAAGTCTGAAGCAAAGATTGATGAAAAAGATAAGAAAATAAATGTGCCTGATAATAAAGAACAAGAAAAGGATATATGTATAATGGAAAAAAGTCATGCCGCTGCATCTAGTCAGAAAGAGAATCATGAGACTAGAAGAGATCAGTGCAATGTAGAGGCGAATACAAAAGTCCAGGAAGATGTGTACGAAGTGAAGTTTGTAAGGTGTAATTGTGCAAACGTGCAATCTCATTCAAATGACACGTTTACTTATTGTAAATTTTGTTACAGTTAGGGGAGAGAAATGCTTTGGTATTTAATCAAGCTGGGACTCAGGCATTGCCCAAGGACGAACTGCCGGATAACTTCTACGAACTCGATTTGCACGACGCGAAGACTCTGTTGCGAGATGCTAAGCGTCGCAGGGAACAATTCGAGGACGCTCCGCTTCTGACAGAGGCGCAGCGTCAGCTGGATCAAGATAAGCGCACTTTGGACCGATTGAATAAGTATCGGCGTACTGTAATTCGTATACAGTTCCCCGATCAATTTGTTCTTCAGGGCTTGTTCGGACCGTTAGAGACCGTTAAAACTGTGAAGAACTTTATCAAGGATTATTTGGACGATCCAAATTGTGAATTTGTTATCTGTGAGTAATAACATGCAATTATCGTATTCATTCTATGTGAATAGAGTAAACGTATAATAATTTTATTATAGTAAAATTTTATTATATTTTTTTGCAGACACTAGCCCGCCAAAGCATATCCTAGATCCTGACGCGCGATTAATAGATGAAAATCTTGTTCCCTCGGCTATCGTTTATTATTCCGGTCAATCGTCGCTCAGGAGGAATGTAAAAACGAAATTGACAGATCCTAGAGCTGCTGGGATCGAAGCTATAAGATCTAGGTAAAGAATACTGATTGTATTATCGATGTCGATTGTCTTTAAGTTTTATGTTTATCTATATAGAACCGCTACGATGCGAAAAGAACAAGATACAGCAACTGGAGATGATAGAGGCACAGTTATCGAGAGCAGGAGCAATCATGTTACTCCGGGACCAAGTGGTACTGGTAAATCATCATCGTCATCGTCATCGTCATCGTCATCGTCAACAGCTCGGAATGAAAACAGGACACCAAAATGGTTCAAACAGGCAGGTCCCAAATAATTATTAATTATTTTGCCAATAGCACCGAGAAAAAGAGTTGGTTTTTCAAATTGTAATATATATAAATAATATTCTATACGGGATTTTTTTATGCAAATTACTAGTGTACGCGCATGTATGGTGTGAACATGTATGTGGATACATGTTTCGTCCTTACAGCAAATTTAAAATATACAAATCTGTACACAACAAATGTCTAACGTGTATCTCATTATTCCAATTGAAATGTACAAAGCTGTACACATGAGAGAGAGAGAGAGAGAGAGAGAGAGAGAGAGAGAAAGAGAGAGAGAGTTCAACGTTTAGTAAAATTAGTTATAAAAGTGAAAACAAAATGCTACATATACAAATAGTAAAGTTCTTACAATCTAATTCTATGGCCGCAGTAATAACATTTTATATATCTGTGTATATATATAATTTGTATGAAAAACAGTGTTTATAGAGAGTCGAGTGATGAAAAGTACAATCGTGTGAAATATATGCAGCAATGATAGTAACTGTGTGATAAAGGTGCTTTTATCGATATAACATTAAGTATATATATATATATATATATACCTGTATATATATATATATTTTTTTTTTTAAGTAATAAATTTTGGATATTAGTGTAACGAGATTTTAATCACAAGTTCTCTTTTCTTTTTTTTTCTTTCTTGAAATGGTGAATAATGCTTATGTATTTTGCAGAATGAAGCGAAAGATTGCAATAATGTCTGCGATCGTTAATGTGAATCGACTATATATTAATGATCTACTCGTCGAGGTGCCATTAACTTTGTAAGTCAGGCGGTACCGTTGTGGGCGATTGCAATTGCAAGTGCATAAGCCTTCGAACAGGACCACCGATTATGTTCCCGGTCGGGCCGGAACCGCCGGCCTCCGCTTCGATACTTTCTCGCAAATTTGCCTCTACGGGATCCGCGCTGTTATTATCGTCCTCATTCGCTACCGCGCTCTCGTCTTTTACCATCTGCGATTGTAGTTGCGAGTCCAACAGTCGCATGTATTTGTCCATATCGCCGCCTTTGTCCTCGTCGTCGCCGCCTAATGATCCCTCCGAGCTACCCTCGAATTCTCCCTCTCCTCCCGGAACAACTAAATCGAGGATACCTCTCAATGTACTATCGAATACATCCGCGTCGAAGTCTATTCGCGCACCATCCTCCGCATCTTGCATGTCATTTTCCATCGATTGTTCCCTGAAGAGTAAAATGCACAATTGTATTTTCCATTTTAAACTAAATTATGAATACATTAGATTCATTTGTTCTTCAAAATATAATATATATATATATTATAATATATAATAATATTATTATATATATTATTCCTGATATATAGATGTTATACCCTAAGAAATGAACGCCATCAACGTCGCTAGTTTGGTTGAGGAATGATTGCACCTTCTCTCTGAGACTTAAAGATTCTTGCTCCAATTTTTTATCCTTGACGTTGCCCCATTGTTGGTACAAGTACGTTTCTAATTGTGCTGGATCCACGTTTAACCAGCTATCGCTATCCACAGGACTGAGCATAGTTTCATCTTGAGCTATACATCAAAAGTATTATTTAAATGTAGCAACAAGTGTATATGAGTGAACATAATCGAAAAATTACTATGCTACTTTATAAGGTCTCAATTTTTAAACTATAAATTTCAAAGTAATAAGTAACAAATTACCATGCATTTCAATGTCATTCGTTTGAATGTTCTCCCATGCTTCTAATACTTTCTGAGCATCACTTTCGTACAAATCTGACAGATTATCAAATAAAGTTGCATGCTTCAAGAAATACTCTTTTGCTGTAGACAGCAGCTTTTCACGTTCCTGGCTACCTTCCAACAGATCTCTAAAGTAACCGTTCGCTTCTAAACGAGCTAGGTAAGCATTGAAAGCTGGTTCGTTCAGCTTTAATTTCTCAGCGTCATCGGGAACGTCCGACTGTTCCTTGGTACGTTTTCTACGTTCCTCATTGGCCCGAGCTACTAGCATCTCTAAACCACATGCTATCTTAACTCCGAGAACATGAGCATTATATTTTGAGCAAGTTGCAGGTGGGATGTTCCAACCTGTTCTTGGATCACCGGTATAACGACAGTGCGTCGCCATCGCGTACAAACACTTGGTCATTCTGACATTGACCATAGTTCGTTGTTCGGGTGGAAAATATCTCATGGCGCGACAAACCTAGAATGTAAAATAGTAATATGTATACACTTATAGCAATATAAGGCAATTATATACAGGGTGTCCCATAGGATATTGCTGAAACTAATTGGCTGTCATTTTTTAATGCATGCAATTATTGAGAAAATTAACACTTTTTCATTACTTTTTTTTTCAATAAAATAAACTAGTATACAAACATTGTATTTATATCCATTTAAAAAGGTAGACTTTCCTCTTTTCAACACAATTTTTGTTTTCTCAATAACTATTAAAAATGACAGCTGATTAGTTTCAGCAATTTGCTATGGGACATCTTGTATAACTTTAATTTACATGTACATACCTTGCGTTCAAGTGGATCCGAATGATAAATGGTTCTAATCACTGGAGCTATAAGTCTTGGTTCTAGGCGAAGTATCGAGGCCGCTTTTTCCGGCAGGTATGCCCTAGCCTTATGTTTCCTCTTCTGAATTTTATCAGGATAAATACCGATTCGCTTTTGCAATACAAGCTGCACCTTCTCAGACATCTTGGAGATGTGTGGCTTGCCATTGATATTATTCAGCAAATTGGGAAACGACGTTCCTCTTTCTCTGATAACATGAATATCACCATTGTGAATGAACACACGATCCTGACACGTCTCAGGGCTGGCCCACAGCGGCAGGACATTAGCAGCTTCTATCAGAAGAAATTCTCCATCCGAGTCCACTACTCTAGCGATCAATCCATCGAAAACTTTGGTAAGCCTAAATATTAGGAATACTGTCAGCCATTCGTCGCTTATGTCCTCGTCGAAACGCAGTTTCGCATAAATATGAGGCAAGGTATGGTAATCTAATGAGAAATGATCGATTATTATCATTGATTAGTGATTCTTCTAGAGAGAGAAAAAAATGACACATATACAGGGTGTCTGACATAAAGTGTCAGTGTTTTTTCTCAGCAAAAATGTCAAAAGGAGGCAATCATTTTTTGCATGTTCTCAATTTTTGTCATCGTGTATTTTAATTAAACCTTAAATTAAAATTTCATTAAAGTAAACTCTAACTAAAATTAATTAGAGAATGTGATTTTGTTGTCAATATTTTATTTCCACAAGGCTTAGTTTGCGAAAAAGCCTTTATTTTCAATCGCTTATAACTCGACAATTATTGACGCCTCAATATTTTTGCTCAGGAAAAATTGTTGCCAAATAACAAGATCTAATTATTTTTTTTTTTTTTTCATGACATCTTATGTCAGACAGCCTACAGAGACAAAATATTTCACCTTCCTCCACCGCAGATCCCTCGAGAATCCTGTTCAGTAACATCGCCTGCTTCGTTCTAGGACGGAAATTCAAGCTGTCACCATGCCAGATGTGCTCGGCGACGAACTGGGCGATCTCCACGTTATACTTAGCGATCTCCTCGCTCAGCTTTGCCTCCGTCACCGCGTCCGGGTCGGACGCGTAGCAGAACTTGGGGTAAAGGAAACACTCGAGGATGTCCTCCTCCTTGGCCTTGTGCATTACCGCGGTATTTGCCATTTTCTGGCGCGACATCCGACTACTCTCTCCCTCTCTCTCTCTCTCTCTCTCGCCCTCCGAATGAAACGTCAATTATCTGTCAAACGCGCGCGTCACCTCTACGTCACTTCGCTCGCTCGCGTCGACTTGGAATAGATGACCTCACGATGCTCGGCTCCCATGGGCGTTCCTCGGAGATGACCACCGCATAGGTGATAAAAAGCGTGACTGAAGTTGTTTACTGCATTATTCAGGATACGCGACCATAACCTACGCGACCCTTGTCGAATTGGTGCAGCTCAGGCACGCGCTATGACGTGCGAGCTCAACCTAACCTAACCTGACCTAACTTAACCTTCTTCGTTGGGGGATGCCAATCTGTCACATCACGGTGCTTGCAAACTGCGAAGTGCATGCGATGGAACGCGATGATACGAGGCGCATGAGTGGAGAAATGGATTTCCTGGTTTTTCCCTGAAAAAAAAACAGGGGACGTAGAGCTGCACAAATGAAGCCATCGTCGTGATAAGACCCGGATTCTCGGGTCATAAATTGTAATTGATATACGGTAATTGCGAGGACAAATTCGCGGAACATGGCGACCACCAAAAGCCACCCGGGCGGCCGATCGTCGAGCTGTCTACGCAAGTATCGGCTGCTCTTCGTCTTCGGCATTACCGTATTATGCGTCCAGATCTACCTGCACACGTTTTTCGGTCTGGACAGTGGTAGAAATAAGTCCAACCGGCTGTCATCCGGAGAGGTAATTCCCCATCTAACCTTCGTCTCGAGAGAAAACAGGGTGTCAGATAGGAGGTGTCACATCAAAAATATACAAGATCTTGTTATTTAGAGACAATTTTTCCTCGGAAAAAATATTGAGGCATCAATGATTTTCGAGTTATAAGCGATTGAAAAGTTTTCGTAAACTAAACCTTGTGAAAATAAAATATTAACAAAACCACATTTTTCATTAATTTCAAGTACAGTTTACTTTAATAAAATTTAATTTAAGGTTTAGTTAAAAAGATACATGATGGCAATAAAATTATAATAATAATAATAAATTTATCAATTTAGACTATTATTGATATTGTTTGTTAAATTGCAGGGTGGCTCTTCTCAACCTGAAGAAGATGAAGGCTTGCCGAAAGGCTTACGTCAACTAAAACTTCCACCGGACAAGCAAACAAATTTGAACAAGCAAGCACTGCAATCTCAATTAAGAAATCGCACTGCCCGAATTAAGTTAGATCGTAAATCGTTAAATTTCACACCTATGTGCGAGGTTACGATCAGAGAAGCAGTGAGTGCCATAACACGTGCTCAGAATCAAGCATGCAAGCAACGCATTGTCAATGTGACGTGCCTTAGCCAGCAGGGTTTATTGTACCCGGAAAGAATACAATCTTCATGTCCTCATTCTCCAGGTTTTACAGGCATGCCGATCAACTTGGGCTGCTATAAAGATGATAAGACATTGAGAGTGCTTTCTGGTTATTATCACATCTTCAAAGGGAACAATACGCCGGAGCGTTGCGCTTATATGTGTCTTCAATCTGGATTTCCATACGCTGGTACAGAATACTCGTTAGTGTCTCAAAAATTTACAACATGTATTTTAGTGTAATCTTTTCAAAACACATTATAAAATTGTATAATTTTAGAATGGAGTGTTTTTGTGGAATGGAAGAGCCATTGCAGACGAAACGGTTACCAGATTCTAGCTGCAATATGAAATGTTCCGGTAATCCGAGACAAACATGTGGTGGCTATTTAACTATTAATGTATATTGGACTGGAATTCGAAGTATGTGAATTAATGAAAATATATAGATATTTATTTTGGATATCCAGAGAATTATTAAAAATTTTTCTTTTTACTTTTGCAGAATTTAAACCTCAAGAGGCAAGAAACTCGAGTTTAAGAAATGAACCTGAGCAACCTGTGCGAATAGCCTATCTTCTGACAGTGAATGGCAGGGCGAGTAGGCAAGTGAGACGACTCATTAGTATTTTGTATCATCCTTCGCATTTATTCTATATTCATGTTGATGCAGTAAGTAAAATAAATTCTATTTATTTATATATTTAAGTATATGAAAAAGATCAGACATATTACATTTGATGAATTTATACAAATTATAAAAATAGTTACATTGCGAAAAAAAATTCCTTTAATTGCAACTTTATTATATATTTCTGTTTTAATTTAATCTTCTTAGATTCCTAGATCTTTAATGATTTTTATACAAAGATTATTCTTTTATTACATATGCATTAGTATTAAATGTAATACAGTATTAACACACAAATGATATTAAATCTGATGAATAAATTAAAGCAATATTTCAATCACCTTATTGATATTTTCAGAGACAAGATTATTTATATCGAGAAATGTTAGAGTTAGAAAGATCATGTAAATTAAATAATATCAAAGTAGCGAGAGGGGAGGGTTTGCGACACGCAAGCATTTGGGGTGGTGCAAGTCTTTTGACTACATTTTTGAAGTCTGCGCAACAAATGCTCGCACATCATCAACATTGGGATTTTCTTGTAAATCTTTCGGAATCTGACTTTCCTCTGAAAAATAACAGTCAACTGACCGAATTTCTAAGTTGGAATAGGGATATGAACTTTGCAAAATCACATGGAAGAGAAGTTCAACGTTTTATAGCGAAACAAGGTCTGGACAAGACCTTCGTTGAATGTGAAGCGCGCATGTGGCGAGTCGGCGATCGAAAATTACCAGATGGTATGTAATTTTATTTATATTAGATTATATTATTTATATTATTTATTTATTATTATTATATTATTTATTTATATTATATACTTTATATATTTTTTTTAGTTTTTTTGCATGCATAGTAAAACATTTTTTAATAAACTTGTAAATTGTTAGGTATTCAAATTGATGGTGGTAGCGATTGGTTCGCTTTAAGTCGCGACTTTGTCGAGTACGTCGCAAGTCCGAATCCTGATCCTTTGGTAAACGAGCTGCTGAAACTGTTCAAGTACACCCTGCTGCCAGCCGAATCGTTCTTACATACCGTCTTGAGAAATTCGCGATTTTGCAACACTTATATAGACAATAATCTGCACATGACTAATTGGAAGAGGAAGTTGGGTTGCAAGTGCCAGTATAAGGCAGTGGTGGATTGGTGTGGATGCAGTCCAAACGATTTTAAACTCGAGGATTTCAATCGATTACAAAACACGGAGAATCGTAATATATTCTTCGCCCGTAAATTCGAACCCGTCATCGATTATAAAATTATCGACCGCGTGGCAGAATGGTTGTATCCCGACAGAATAAATAAAACTGTCAGGGGTTACGACACGTACTGGCAAAGTCTCTATCATCACGCGGATCTGAGTCCACTACCAGATGATGCATTACTAACACTTTCGTATTCCTTGGCAAGGCTGACCTATCGTAAATTAAAAATGGATAGTAAAAACGTCCACTTGTTGGAAAACACTGCGTACTTTCGCGAGAATCGATTCATCGGTGTATTAATTCTTGCGGAATACAAAGATGAATCTCTCGACATATCTGCGATATCTAATAATCGCGCGACACGCGTGGAAGCTCTGATTTCTATGCATTATAACTTTTCTGCTAGTAAACTAAGATCAGGATGGTCGAGGAAGATACGAAGTCTCTCCGTTGGTACCGATTACGATCAAAAGGAACAAAAGTTTAGAAATTTGATGGGCAGCATAGGACCATATTCGAGTCCGGTTTTAGCTTATGAATTTGATGCAAGTGTTGCAGTACCACAAAATATATCAGTTTTATGGATTGATCCATATGGTCGCCTCGTTGATGTGAATCATATTTTGGTCGAAGAGATGACTTTGGTAACTAATTTGTTTACAATTGTGAAATTTTATCAATTTTTCTACTTCAATTCTATAATATAATATTATAACTTTGTTATAAATGTCTTTTCAGGTAGGACACATTAAACCACAATTGAACGAGCAATTAACCATTGGTACTTGGAGACTATTGTTAATTGTCGATACTCAATTGATCACAAAATTGAAATTTTTGGTAATTCCATTGTCCTATTGGAAGGCCAAGAAAATAGACTCGGAGAAACTCAAGGAAATAATAGATGGTCGGAGCACCATTTATCACATTACAGAGGAAATGAACAAAAATTGGTCCAAATTAATGAAATCTGCGATAACAAATGAGCAGATCATTACGCACAGTCAAAATAGGATCGGTGAAGACCTCAACGATTGGATAGATAGATTGGTGCATGAGCATTATAAAATTGACGAAATATGTGAGGCCGGCGAGGTTGAGACCGAATTGAAGCTACAAAGGTGTGTCGATACCCATTGGAGCTCTTTGAGCCCCGATTTAAAGGCTGATACTCGTAACCTATGTCAAAACTACTGATTAATTATTCAACTACGTGCCATTTTTGCCGTTTTGAAACTATTATATGTGTGTATATAAAGATTATAAAATGTCTTTAGATATTTTTATATCAACTAAACTATGTATATATAGTTCATATTTATAAGAAAAAGCTGTATATAATGTATACGTACATATAAATTATGTGTACATAAACATGTACACATAATACATATATGTATACATGAACTTTTGGTATATTATAACTTTGGTATGTTATAATTAATAACTCTGTCTCATATTTTCACATTAAAGGAATTATATTGATAAAAATGGGAATCTATACTTCTCCTTATCTTAAAATATCAAGAAAAATATTTAAAATACTTTTTGATAATAATTATTAGTATTTATAATATAATATGTATTTATAAAATATAGTATGCATATTGTATTTATTTAAAACAAAAAGATAATTTAACATTCTAAGATAAAAATCATATTAAGATTCGCATAATTCTAAATCAAATAAAATATGAATAATTTTTCAGCATTCTGGATCGATAAACAATATGGCGCGGCCAATAAAATTCACGAAAAACCCGGCCGAAATCGACATCTCGCCAGACAATCTAGTCGAGTTTTCCTAATCTATGGCCAAAGTTCCGAGCGAAGTGGAATATCTGCGCGATCGCATTGACATCTAGGAAGTTTATCGCAAGATGTCGGGGGATGTTTTGTGCGACGAGCCGCTGGTATGCTCGCGGACGACGAAATGACTTGCTTGTCGTGGCGCACGTCTGCTAAATCCCGGCCTAAATTAAATCCCAGAGTGTTGTGAGAGCATCGTCGGGTAGCCGGTAGCGTCGAGCCACGTCGTCGTCCAGGTCGTCCGAGTCGTCGTCGACGCCGAAACGGAAGGGAACGGCGGAGACGAGGGCCAAAACGAAGAGAGGACTGTGCAAGTGTATGTGTGTGTTCGCGCGTACTACTGCCAGGACCTGTGAGGTATACCCGGATCTCTTGTTTTTTTTTCCTTCTCGAGGAAGTGATCGATTCAATTATCCCTCGAGGATCTCTACAGACACTTAGACATATATATACACACACACACACACACACACACACACATATATATATATATATATATACATAAAAATTTAAGAAAAGAAAGACAAAGGGGAAAAAATAAAAAAAAATTCCGGAGAATTCCGAGAGCGTGGACACGTGGTTGACAGTTTGACATCTCAGCTGGAATGGGAGCCAAGGCGAGCACCGTAGCTCAATCGGCTGGCGGCAACGGACAGTCCTCCACCGGGGCGAACGAGACTACGATGCAAGGCTTCTCCATGCTCCGCTCCTTACCTGGCGGCGTGGGGATGCTGCAGCACCAACACCAGCAGGCGAACCAGGCGCAGAACACACGTGTCTCCGGGGACAGCAGGCAGCGCGCGCGCTCCCTGAGCTCGGTGCCAGACCTCTCCTCCGCGGAGCAGGCCGGCCTCTCGACCTCGGTCGGGGTCGGGGTCGGCCAGGCCCTGGGGCTGCCGCAGCTCGACTCCGACGACACGGACGAGGAGAGCGGCCGCGTCTACGCCGCTCACAGCTTGCCTTCGCATATTTGGTCCCTGAACGGTGAGCTTTTTATATTTTCCATCTATTTCATCCTCCTATTTCAGGTTAGAAATTTATTTATCATCGCGACAATTTGCATAAATTATCGTCTTATCTTTTTCTGTTGCTGTCATTAATCATCGAGTTCTTCAGTATTGTATACCTATAAATAAAGAGGGAGGGAGAGAGATAGATAGAGAGAGAGAGAGAGGAAGAAAATGATATCGCTCGAATAGAGAGATTAGTAGATAAATTTGTTCTTTTTTTTTTTTTTTTTTTTCAAACCTTCGATTGATCGACTCATATCGATTTTTGTTCGAATAAAACTGTCGGGTGTCGTTCAATTTCTCGCTCTCTAACCTAATCGGCGCGGAAAAGCGAGGTTAGATTCGCGCGATCGCGAAACTTCTCGGACGGCGCGGACGATGATTCGCGGGTGGGACAGGGGGCGTTTTGTTTTGACGCGTGTTGCCGGGGTGGTTGGCCCGGTAACCGCGTACCACAATCGATGAGCTCGAGCGGTCTAGGTGCGAATAATGTTTTCTTGAGCGCCGCGAGAAATATCGAGAGTTCGCGAAAAAAAAAGAAATTAATAACGAGGAGAGAGTGACAGGTGACAGGAGGCGTGATCGTAAGTCGTAATCATAGGGAGGGAAAAAATGCGACTCGCCGGAGGATCGCGGGAGGGTCACGGCTGAGGTTATGTCGGGTCTATTATGGGAATTATAGTGAGCTCGTGTTTGAACGAGAACGAAGATGAGGCCGTCGTCCCGGTCAACCGAGTGAGAAGGGTCTTTTACGGTATATTGTATATTATTTTTCCCTGATTCGTAATGATTACGTCAATCCGCATTCCCCTTCTCCCCCTTCTGTCATATATTCTTCCACCCACCCCCTTCTGTCTTATGGCAGACACTTTTCTTTGTGTGTGTTTTTTTTTTTTTTTTTTTTTTTTTTTTTTTTTTTTTTTTAAATTGAGATTCTTTGTGTTTTAAGGTCTAAAGTGTCCTGTATGCTCCAAATTTATCCTACCGGATGATATAGAATGTCACCTGGTCATGTGCCTGACCAAACCACGGCTCAGTTACAATGGTAAGCTGTCAAAGTGTGATAAAATTACATTTACTTGAATGCGATAAATTATATTCTTTACATTATTGTTGTCTGATTGCTTTGACAAGTGCAGAGCTTTTGTTTTGTTTAATATATTAATATTCGTTTTATATTTAATACATTTATTGTAAATGATTCTATTTAACATGTATTTTTATTATCGACAATGTTGGAAAGAGGGTTAGGAAATTGTTAGGAAAATAACTAAGCATTTTCTTATTGATATGACAGAGGACGTGCTAACGGATGGTAAGGGTGAATGTGTCATTTGCCTTGAGGAGTTACAATCTGGTGATCTTATAGCTCGCTTGCCCTGTCTCTGTATATATCACAAAAAGTATGTATTATTTATTGTTATTTTTTTTTCTTATTTCTTGCTGACAAAATTTTTATTAGTAGTAGGTAAAGATATATTTATGATTATTTTAAAAACTGTAATATATATATATATATATATAAAATATATATTGTTAAATTACAAAAATTTTATTAATTTGGTAATGAAATTATGAAAAATTAATTATTTGGATAATTAAATAATATAAATTGAATAGATAAATAATATAACATTATTATTTATATAAGATGGGTAGTATAAAATTGTAATGTGTCTTTCTTTTTAGCTGCATTGATAAGTGGTTTCAAGTGAATCGTAGCTGCCCTGAACATCCTGGAGATTGATTTGTACCTGTTGATCTTAGCGGAGCACAGTGGAACAAGATGCTGGCCCAGAGGACATTCACCTCAACGGGATTGAGATGGCAAAAAACGGCAGAAATTAAAAAAAAAAAGAAGCTAGTCAAGGTGGCTGCTAGTCCGCAATGGTGATTGGTGCGTGCGGTGAATTGTTCGACTGAACGAGACTCGCTCATCAAATCGAACACATGGAAACACAGATGTTTAATTCAATCCTCAACTCTATTATTAAGCGGGGAACTTAAACAAAAAAATCGCCATAGGATTCAACGATACACACAATGCTATTACCTATACGTATCTATAATTAATCTATTATTGCTCTATCGCTTACTATCAATTGTACCATATTTATAAATTTTACTTAGTTTTACATCTTGAACTCGATTTAGCGCTTAAGCAGGACAATCTTTGTTATTATTGATCATGATTTTTTTCTTTCCTTAATATCTTTGTTTTTTTTTTTTTTTTTTCTTTTTTTGGAAAAAGGGGACAGGACGAATCTTAGTCAAGAAGACCTGTGTAGGAACAGGTGAGCTCTACCTTAGATAAATTAGTTATACTTTTATTGATTTTTAGTATCGAGACGATGTATCGTAAATTTTCGTTGTCTGTTGGGGGATGAGTGCTAGAAAGGATATTTTTGATACTTTCATAAAAGGGAGAGCCAGAATGTATAAGAGTTTCGAGCGCCGGAGATGACGTTAATGCTGTTGATGCTGTAGTAACAATAAAGGTTCTGATTTAACCTTCCTTACTGAGATTCATACTAATGTGATAATCTCTTTTGTTGTTATTAGAGAGAATTGACACGCTCTGTGTGTTACTGAGGTGTACAGTCTGTTGTCGATTACATTGAGGATTATCTACTATATAATTAATCTCTTTTGTATATGAATAAGGATTGACATAACCCAGCAGGAGTAGTTTTTGTAATACGAACAATCAAAGTCTATCATTGTTCCAATAATATACACAAACCGTATATGTTCGGCTCGGATTTGTATTGCGTGAAATTATAAAATGAAAGCAATGTGTGAAAGGACATAAGAAAAATAATGAGAACAGTGCAGTGAACAAAAGGAGCTAAAAATAAATTACGTTAATAAAATTGAATGCATATAAACGTGTGTATGTGCGCGTGTGCGTGTATGTATTTATCTGTATATATACATACACATATGTATGCTCTCGTGCATTTTCTCTTGCGATTGCAATTATTTAAAAACATGCTGAAAACTTTTTTCACTGAAAAACGATTACAAATTGAACAGTTTTGATAAATAAAAAGAGGTAAAAAATAATTGCAAATCTTTATAAAGAATCTTTTATGTGTACGTATATGCATATATATAAAATTAATATTTAATATTTAAAAATCTTAAACGTGTATTAAAGAGAAAGTGTGCGAGAGATGCCTAAACATCCTTTGTATGTATGTATATGTACATATATATGTATGTGTGTATCTTTTTTAAGCTACGAGAGGTAAGTGATCGTAGAAACGATAGGTCCGGTTTCGTAAAGAAATAAAAAGGAAAAAAAACACGTGTAAAGAATTCAGAATACAATTATGAGAAACATCAATAAAATAGCGATAACATGTTGCAAGGAAAGGTTTTCTTTGCATTTCGTTATACTGATCGAGGCGTGGATTGTTTCGCGGCTTGTCGTTTATCGATTTTACGACATGTAAGGTTTGTTATATGCGCCGATTATATACAAAGAATGCGAGAAAGAAAGTCGAGGGTAATGAGCGGTGAGACGAGGAGAGACGCAAATAGATCGCGTATCTTATATAGCGCGCACGACGGATTCACGGGAAGAGGAGGGATGTATTATATGTATGTATATGTAGATTTATTATATTTATACATATGTATACATTTAACACGTGAGCTCGATCCCGTGGTAGTATTCCGTATTGTATGTTGAATGAATCTCTTCGTCTTAGTATTGTACTCTTCTTGTACTTTTTCTGTATTAAAAAATAAACAAAAAAAAAAGATATATTTTAAGGCTTGAAAAAAAGCAAGCGGGAACAAATAAAATGCAAGAAGTGTAACTGAAACGAAAAGAGTCAATATAATTATGTTAACGTTTTATTTAAAAAAATTGACGAAATAATTTACGCAAGATTTTATTTATTTTTTTTTTATTTTTACTATTCAAAATACATAAAATGTCTCTAAACAACCGCATCTTCTTCTTTTAGTAAAAATTGGGAATTTTTGTATTATAACAAAATTTTAAATTAAAACTTCATTAAAATAAAATCCATTTAAAATTCTGAAAAAAATAATTTTATCATTTTTTTCTTGAAACTTAAGTTGTCAAAAATCTATAATTTTCTGTTGCTTAACTCTGTGTGTGTGTGTGCGTGTATGATTTTTTTCTGGAATAAAATTAGTCAAAGAATCTGAAAAGATTTTGATTTTTAAAACATCTGAAATCAGTTTAATATATATAATTATATTTTTTATTATAATTATATATTTTATATATTACTAATAAATAGTGTGTACTGTGTACAATACGGAATTACTCTATCCAAGGGGGCTACAACAATAAAACGATCACATTATCACGAAATAAATCGTCAGAGCCCAAAAGTGCGTAACTTTAATTAGCTCCATAGAATAAAGAAATCGCGAAGGGCGGAGGAAGCCTAATCTCGCAGGATTGTAACTGTGGATACACAGGTTGTAATGAAACATTTGTATGTATGACACTATTGACTTAAATATATAGTTTATAAGCTATGTTCGATTTATAATATAATTTTAGGAGCTGCTTTTTTATGTGTGCAAGCAGCAGCACGATAAATCGTGCCTACCGCGGTAAATTACGGGTAAATATTTTGGACAATTGTAATTAATATACACGAGACAAGTCCGTACATATTCTTCATACGATTAATTTTTTATTAGACTGTGACATCGATTTTTTTCTTATCTTCGAAATTGAATCAAACATTTTTCGTATTGAATTGAATTGAAATATTTAAGAGTATAATTTATTTTATAATTAATTTATAAAAAAATAAAACTCTTGAGCATTTATTCGCACATATATAACTCGAAGGTAAACACGCGAAAAATCTCTTAATTTTAATAGAGATTACTATATATTATTAATACCCTACTCCGAATAATTTTATTTAGATATTTTTATTCTAATTTGATTAAAAATTCTTGCTATATACATTAATCACTATGTAAATATGTATAGGACATTACATATCGGATATATATTTAGGTGAATCATATATTGTGTGTGGCAATGTTTTTTTATCTAATGGCCTTTCCTTATCGGCTGTCACGGAATTTAATCTTTATTTCGACCCAGTCTGTCTTTACATGTGATTCAGCAACTTGAAAGGATCTATATCCACTGTAAGTGCATCTAAAGCCAACATAATTTATGAATGGCACAATTTTAACTTAAAACGTGTAACTTCTATCATTTTTTTTTAATCGATCATACATATATATAATCGACATCAAGTCGATATATAATATATCGAATCAAATTTGAAAATCTGAATTTTTAAAAGATTTTTGAATAACACTTTAATAGGAGATTAATAGATATATACTTTGTTGATTAAAAATTCCAGAAGTGTTTTTCTTGTCAATTTAATATGGCATATATCATATGTGTTATTTAACATATGCTTGATCTTTTTTTTATTGCGTTGAATAAACAGAAGAAAAATAATAGTTTTGATTGATTTTAATTATATGTATATCGCATTCTTACTTTTTTCTTTACATTGCTATTCGAATCTAAAATTGTTTTTACATATTTTCGTAAGTTTAGACAAAAGAATAAAAAAATATTTAATACCATACATGTACACACAATTTGTGCGTGTTTATTTTTTCTAATTCTACATTTAATTTTTTCGTAGGGGACACATCTGTATATTTACGGTTGATGTTTATGCATCTTCCACTTTTTCGAGTGTATATAGAAAATATACGGAATGGCTAATTGGTCACCGGTGATTTCGCCTCTTATCGCATCGTCCTATGTGCAAGAAGACTCATAAAACGCAAAAGGAACGCATAGGGATATATCGAATTGGCTGCGACGCGGGCGCAGTAGCGAGAGCTGGCTGGTGGTTGGTCGTAGTGGTGGCTTGGGAAGAGTTTTGAGGTTATAACCGAGCGGGATTGTCCGGCGAAGCTCGTGTTTCCAGAGAGAATCGCGGAGGATCGAAAATCCGGTAGACAGGTTTTTCGTCGTCGCGAGGGAAGAACGCGCCGAGCCAGCTGACAGCTCGGGTGACAGGACAGGATTTTTGACAACAACGAGACAGCAGCAGGAGCCAACCCAGCCAGCCCCAGCGTTTCACGTGAATTCGACATTCACGGCGTTATCCGTACGGCAAAGTGGACTCGATGTCGATAATATGTCGGCTACAAACGACTTCAGGACGACGCGGATGCACAGGATGGCCCGTCGGGCCGTTTGACGATTATTTATGAATGCACGGAGGGGTCCGAAAAGAGGGTGTCCACGATACAACAACATGGTGAAGGAGAAGGCGAATTCGATCCGCATCTACGATTCCGAGGGCTACAGACGTAGAGCTGCCTGCATCTGCGTCAAAAATGATCTCGAGGACGAGGTGAGTCCCAGCCAGCAGATGGCACCTCCCGAGATTTTTGCCGGCACGTGTGTCTTATTTACGTACCGTGTGTTCTGGAACGAATTAATTTTTTTGAAAAAAAAAAAAATAGGAAAAGATGATCTGTCAATATCAGCTGATTTTGACATTTGTCGAGCGAAGATTTGCCTAAGGTTCTTGTTAATTGTCTTTGTAAATTGCAGGTACTATTAGTTACATCTAGTCGAAGACCCGACAGTTGGATAGTACCAGGAGGCGGTGTCGAACCCGAGGAGGAACCAGCGGTCACGGCTCTTCGCGAAGTCCGGGAAGAGGCTGGCGTTCTAGGACAATTAGGCCGTTGCCTTGGCACATTTGAGGTTATAACTCGTGATGTATGCCATACAGACAGATATTATTATTATGTTATGCTCCATCTTAATGTTATGATGATTCTTTTGTCATATACACTGCTATTCTGTGCATCTTGATCATGTATCATGTATAACGTATCTTGTAGGTCTGTTCTTTTCCGCTGAATTTGTTGTACTAGTTCAGAGTTCATCTCTTTTCTTCCAATGTGAAGTAAAAAAAAGATAAACTCTGAACTAATCGGTTCAGCTGAAAGAAACAGACCTATTGAATACATTGTCTGAGACACGCCAATGATCTCCCTTTACAGAACACAGAACACAAACACAGAACAGAAGTGTGGGTGATGCGGGTGACCGAGGAGCTGCCAGAGTGGGAAGACTCCCGCGCTATCGGTCGGAAGAGAAAGTGGTTCACCATAGCAGAGGCCCTGCTGCAACTTGGTCAGCACAAGCCCGTCCAGCGCTCTTACCTGCACAGCCTCCACAACACTAATCCTCGACATAATCCCACCTCTCAGCTGTCCAATCATTCTCACTCCACGATGGCATCTATTGAGCTGATGAATAACTCTAGTAACAATTCACGTTTAAGTGAACACAGCTAATATCATCGTGAATCATACATTTCTGTCGAAAATTTCGATCGCCATGAAGTCTCACTGTTACTCCTCCTTTCTCCCTTTAAGGGACCTTTACACGGTAACAACTTAATCCGCTGTGTTTTATACATATAAATTTATATATGTATACCTACACTTATCTTTATTATCATGATATTATTCTTAGGTTAACTATTACTACTATTACTATTGTATTTACGTTTACTTATATAGATTGTTGATGATGAACTGTTTCATAAAGGGACACATTTTTTTGTAGCAGGTTCTCATTTCTGATGTGATTTTTTTTATTGAAGAGAGAAGAATAATTAAGTCAATTGTTTTCATTATTATATTTAGTTTTGTGCCTAATATGTACGTAGAATGTCATACACACATGATCCTTTTCCACACATCTCATATCCTGGATACACAGTTGTATGAATATCTTGGTAACTTTTCTACATTTTCTCAAGGCAAGGAAAAAGTTACGTGTACTTGTTAGCATAAAAATGATAAATTATGTACTTTGTATATTAACTTCTTGAATAAATTTTGTAATGATTTCTGCGAAGTATATAAAGAAAATTGCACGCGAAAATATCACTTTATATCCTTTGTTAGAAAAAAAATATCAAAATTTTGTTATTTATGAGTTATTTTTTACATATAATGCAGTCATATAATAATATAACATTGTTTGCTTATAACTTTTATTTTAAATAAATGTAAGTATATATACATATAAAACGAACAAATCTTTAATTTTTTTAAGCTATATTTTTGTATTTGCTTTATTATTATTTTTTAAAGCATATTTATAAACATGTGCAGAAGTGTGAAAGGAATGCGGTGACGCGCATGCGCGAATATGTAAATCACACGTGGTTGTACTTTTTAATTGATGGTACTGTGTTTTATTTAATTTCGTAATTTAAGAAAGAAATAATATCAATAATAGATTTATCGTGATATTTCTTCAAGTGAGTACATATTTAATTTCAAAAATATGTTTAATTAATTCTTAATCAGTTATATAATTTATATTTACGATCGGCATTCTTTGATAAGGTTAGGATGTACATTTATTGTTATTTTATATATATTATTAAATATATATACATATTTGTTATAATACATATTATACATATATTGTATTATAATACTGTTGTATTAAAATACAATATTTCACTTTCAGTAGAATATATGAATTATTCCAAATATTTTATTATAATAATTATAAAATTTATCTTTGCAGTTAACGTCCGATATGCCAATATATTCTAACGATATGCACGAGGAAACGGAGGAACCGATGGAGGGTGTCGTGAACGAAAACGAGAGCAGTGATGACGAATCCATAGAAAACGAGGATTCTAAGGAGACTGAATCGAAGGTGTATCTTCCAGGAAAAACCTTGGAAGAAGGAGAGGAACTTATCGTCGATAAAACTGCGTACAAATTATTGCATCACGCACAATCTGGCGCACCGTGTCTCAGCTTTGACATAATACCAGATGGTTTAGGTGACTGCAGGGAGACCTATCCTTTGACCGCATACATAGTTGCTGGGACACAAGCTGCCAAGACGCATGTTAATAATCTTCTTGTCATGAAAATGTCCAATTTACATGGCACTGAACAGCACTCTGAAGATTCGGAAAGCGAATCGAGTGATTCAGAAGATGAGAGCGAGGAACGTAAGCCAGTAATGAATGTTGCGTCTATAAAACACCAGGGATGTGTTAACAGAGTGAGGTATTGTATAATATTTGATGTTATAAATAAGTAATTCTCGAGAAAGATTTGTGAGAAAAATGTATACTTATTGTTATTTATATATATTTTTCTAATTTGCAGATGTACAAAGCTTGGCGATACAATACTAGCTGCTAGTTGGAGTGAATTGGGACGTGTAAATATTTGGAACTTGCAAGAGCAGTTAAATGCAGTTGAAAATCCCAGCTTACTAACTGCATATCGTAACAAGTGTGCCAAAGCAGATAGTGGTATTAAACCATTGTATACATTCAAAGGCCATCTCTCTGAAGGCTTTGGTCTCGATTGGTGCCGTACAGAACCGGGTACTTTAGCATCTGGCGATTGCAAAGGTAACATTCACATATGGCGAATAGAGAGTAGCAGTGCATCCTGGCATGTAGATCAAAGACCATACAATTCACATGCTCCGCACAGTGTGGAAGATTTGCAGTGGTCGCCAAATGAAAAAAATGTACTGGCATCGTGTTCAGTAGATAAAAGGTTCGTATATTCTTATCAAATATACATATATTTTGTTTAACTTACAAATTATTTCATAAAAAATTTATTTGTTTCTCATAATAGCATAAAAATTTGGGACACTCGAGCGAGTCCACAGAATGCGTGCATGTTGACAGCGTCCGGGGCTCACACAGCCGATATCAATGTTATCTCGTGGAACCCGAAAGAAAGCCAGTTTCTGATATCAGGCGGAGACGACGGGCTGCTATGTGTATGGGATTTACGACAATTTGGAGTCAATGGTGCAAGTCCAGTCGCTACTTTCAAGCAACATATCGCACCAGTTACCACCGTGGAATGGCATCCAACGGAAGCCACGGTGTTTGCTTCCGGCGGAGCCGACGATGTAGTCGCTCAATGGGATTTATCAGTAGAAACGGATCGTACAGAGGAATCACAAGACAGTGAATTGGCCAAGTTGCCACCACAATTGTTATTTATACATCAAGGTCAGTCGGAAATCAAAGAATTACACTGGCACTCACAATGTCCAGGAACTATGATAACAACTGCACATTCAGGTTTCAATATATTCCGTACGATTAGCATATAATAGAGAATATCTCTATTTAAAAAAAAATAAAAACAAATATTTATATAAATGACAGTATATAAATATCTTATTTTGACAATATATTGTGTAAAATATATCCAACAAATTTTCCTTTTTTAAATCAGTTCCTAAAATAATTTATCTGATTCTTAAATTTTAATAATCAAAATTTTATATACAGACAAATTTGGATAAAAATTGCAGAATTGCTCATTTGTATGTATTTATACATTGTTTTCATAAAATATATTTATTAGGATATTATTTATTTATTAATAATATTGATAATAAGTGTCTTATGGTGGGCCTTCCATGTGGACAATTCCATGGATTTTGCATTTGTGCCATTTGCATTATTAGTTTGTACATCTCACTGGTATTCAGAGCTGTGCCGATCATTACTGCACTTCGACACGCTCTGGACGCCAGCATTTGTCTAACACGACTAGGACGATATATTTGCTTCTCCTTATTTTCATTACCTGCTTCTCTAATGAGAAATGCTAATTCCTCTATGTCCTCTTGACCAAATTGCCAATGACCACTGACAGGCATTCCTACTAATTCTATCTTCTTGCCAGATTCAGCTGAAACGATTATTACAGTATCATTTTAGTAAAATTACAGTAACATTTGATTAATATGACATTTCATATTTGATTAACTTTTTCACAGTCGAATAAATTGAATTATATCAAATTATATATTAGTTATAAATTGTCGTATATGAGAATTAAATACATGTACATACCTTGCTCATTGATATTGAAAGTAAACCCGTTATCCTCGAACATTTGTTGATGTTCTATAAGTATCATTTCGTTCAACGCAGAGAAATTTAGTGGCTTTGGCATGATGAGCTTTTGGGTTTTCAGCTTCGTTTCATTACTGAGCTTCTCGAAACGAAACTTTTCGTCAGTAGCATGTTGATCGATGATAAATAAGTCATCTTCCAATCGAGCTATTATAAAACCTAGATTAAATTGACCTATTACTTCCATCTATAAAAAATTTAGATTAAAAATATAAATGTACAATGTATTTTTCCAAATATTAATATTATATAGCATAAATATGTTTATATGTATTATAATATATAAACATATTTACTATTTATACATTTATTTATATATTATAATATATATATATATATATATATATATATATTATATATGTATATACAATATACATATATTCTATATAATATTAATAACACATTTCTTGCATATATTTTATTTGTAATTATATATCAGTTAATTATGCAGCAAAATCAGTTAAAAAATTGTATATATATATTTTACCAACCTTGCTAAACGAATCTTTTGTCAGTTCTCTTTGTAGTTCCTTTTCAGCTTCATTTTGATCGGCTTCCATTTGCATTCTATATTTTATCCTTTTTCCTGTACTAACAGATGCTTTAACAATATTTCTTTTTTCTTCTAATTTTTCTTTAATTATTCTAAAGCTTATCACCATTTCTACATCTGCAGGTTTTTTCATTGATTTAATATTAGTCTGAATATAATCATTTTTTTCTATATGTGATTCTGAAGATATTTGTAATTTTTTTGCTGGTGGATGAGTATAATTAATCGAAATCGTCCTTTTCAAACCAGACTTCAACTCCGTTAAAGGTTTGGCTGTAAAATTTCCTTGCAGTTTATCCCATTTTGTTGTTAAACTAAATTTTAATGTTGCTAATATAAGACGTTCTTGCGTGAAAAATATCGTCCTCTTGTCGGGAGTAACATTAACATCGGCGCACTGCCGATTCAATTTGATATTTAGAAAAACAAATGGATACTGCTTATTATTGTACTTATGATACACATTGTTCACCAGTTTACTGACTTTCGTGAGATCGCAAGGCCGACCGTTGACATAAAAAAATTGTCGATCAGGCGTAGAACGTCCGATCGCATGATCACAAGTGCTCACATAACATTCCCAGTCAAAGTCTATTGTAATGTTGTTAGGCAAATTATATTCTTGCAGCATTGTTTCGTCTGGAGGCTGTAATTCAAGTTTAATTATTCTATCTACAGACTTTTTGCCAAACACCGAATTTATATTATCCAATATGCTATCTGTATTTCTTGTGGTTACTATAAGTTGAGACGATTTGCTTGTTACCAAATTGGAACATGCAATCTTGACATTGGTGGAAACTAAGCAGTAACTATACAAGACTTGAATTGTGCGTGCATACTCCTTCTTCAGATTTTTCTGAAACTCCTTTGCCCTGACAGGTAGATTTTTGAATATGTTCTTTATGTGTACTGTGGTTCCATTTTCTCTGGCGCATGGTTCCTTTTTTGTAAGTATGCCATTGTGATCAAATTCCAATTTGAAGCCATGCTCACTGGTCGAATGCCTGGTGACAATACTCAATTCTGATAAGGCGCACAATGAACTCAGTGCTTCGCCACGAAAGCCAAATGTAATTACTTCAGTTAAGTCTGTGAATTCCCGCAGCTTTGATGTGTGATGTTTCAAGCCTGGAGTAAAGTAAAAAATTTGTTTAAAGAATAATTTTTAACTAAATTAAAAGACTACTAAATTAAAATATTAACAATTAAATTAAAATATTCTCCAATCAAAATAATTGTAACTTTTGTTTGTGAAAATCTAAATTGATTTTTAATTAGTAGTATTTTAATTTATAGATTTACCTAAACCTTCAAAGTCCTGTTCTAAAACACCACTACCGTTATCACTGACACTAATGCAGGTTTTCCCATAATCAATAAGTTTAACATCAATCACCGTAGCATTACTGTCCAAGCTATTCTCCACCAACTCTTTGACAGCGATTGCAAGATCGATCACTACCTAGTTAAGAGATTTATAATTAATATAATTTCAATTTTTTCTAAATAATATAAAAATAATAATAGCAAATTTAGATATTTTTAGATATAAAGACTTCATTTATAACAAAAAAAATAACAGAAATGACATCAAAATGTATCAATATATTTTGATATATTTATTGATAATACATTTTGATATATTTAGTGACAAAAAATTTATAATTGATTTACAACAAATTAATTTTTGATTGTTACAAACTTGTGTTTATATAAACTTAACCTTACCTGGCCAGAACAAATGTGATGAATAGTTTCTTTATTTATAGCTTCTATCTTTTTCGATTTTTCTGTCGTTGCGACAGGTTCCTCCATCGTTTCGCTCTTTTGTACTTTACATTACATTGAAATTAACGTTAATAATTTTAATATTTTTTACAATATCTCCGTTGCTCGATGTGTATTTACCGGCATAACCTTTTTACACTGGATAAAATCCTATCTCAGTCTCACACAGCAGATATAGATTGTATTCATTATTTGCTTCTACGTTCATTCTAAGAATAGACACGATATTTATTAACTATATTGAATTATACAATAGAAAAAAATAATGATTTAGATATAAAAAAAAAACTTCATTTATAACATGAAAAAATGACATATCAAAATGTGTCAATATATAATACATTTTGATATATTTATTGATAACTTTTTTTACATTCATTAATATACACACTAGTATCCTACCAAAAACAAATAATTTTACAAGTCTGATCTAACTCCAAATCCAGGACCTGGGGGTGGAGATGTTAAAGATGTAAGTCCACCTGCGGGATCAGCCGCGAATCTTGAAGAAATCTGTGGACCTGGTGGAGGTTTTTCGCCTTTCTTAAGAGCATTTATTACAGCTGTTGCAGTCTCTGGAGTCAAGTCCTCCTACAAAAGAGAAAGAGGAAACAAAAATGAATATAGAAAATGAATATAGAACATAGAAAATTAATATAGAATAATGAATACATTTTCATTACTGTCAAAGTTATCGTGTTTATATTTTTAAGATGATAATTATACATACATAATAATCATCGTTTACTTGGAACATTGGAGCATTCGCGCAAGCACCGAGACACTCCACTTCCGAAAGCGTGAACAGTTTATCTGCAGAGGTGCCTCCAATCTCGCAATTTGTAGCTGCTGTCACAGCCTTCACTATCGAATCTGAGTCTCTCAGCCAACACGGTGTGCAGGTACAGATCTGTACGTGATACTTGCCCATGGGCCTACGATTGAACATTGTATAGAATGTGGCTACCTCGTAAACTCTCATATTTGGTACGTTTAATATCTGTGCAACTTTGTGCATGGCAGAAATAGGTAGCCAGCCGTGTTGCCGCTGCGCCAGGTCCAATAAGGGTATCATGGCACCACGTTTGTGACCTTCCGGATATATCGCGAGAATAGCTTGGACTCGTTTCTTATTTGCCTCATCAAATTCAAATGGTATGTTGGGATTATCATGTTCACTATCTCTGTGCTAAAATTGGAATATAATATACATAAAATATATCTAATATATATGTGATATATCTAATATATATCTAATATATCTTATATATATATAATATATATATTAGAATATAATATATATAATTGGAATATAATATAGTATCTTCCGATTGAAATTGTTATTATTTATCATGCATACCACAAACAGCTGATCTGATGTGCGATTCACTGTTGTTTGCACTCCCCTAATGTTTCTTGGAGCCTGTTGAAAATAAAATTACTCTTAAATAGGAATCATGTAATCGAGCAAGGGGTCAAGTGACAGATGTCAGATAAGTAAAGAGGAAGAGAGAAATAATCTTCTCGTCAGATTTCAAATATTTTTATCTTGTACTTATTTTGCTTTTTATCAACTTGAAATATAAAAAAGATAAAAATATTTAAGAAATAGAAATTTTATCTATAAAATTATAGAAATAGAATCTTTTTAAATAAGATGCATATTTTATATCAAAAAAATATAGATTATCACTTTTTGTGCATGTATAAAAATATTAGAGGTAATTCACAAAAGTTTCGCGACGAAAAGCGAATCATCTAATTATACAAAGTCAATTTAGACAATTAACACAAATCTAAAAAATCGAAGATTATGTAAGGTTTTCGAGGTTATAGCAGAAAAATCAATTGCGGCGAATGTATAAAAATGACAAAGCTCCCGCAAAATATAATAAAATTAAAATATACTCACGAGGAGCCCACAAGCTCGACGTAGAGACATTAACATGTCAATACAGCTGAATGTCAGATATGAGAAAATTCTTTGTTCAGAACAGCTGTAACAAACGTCAAAAACTCGTATGCCGCTGTATTCATGAAAAAGCAGATGGACGCCATGTTTCTGTAGAAATTCATGCGGATAGGCCAATAGTGAGCAAATCAAAATAAATTTGAATTATATATATGTAATCGCGAGAAAAGTAAATTAATTTTATATGTAGAGAGAATGCAATTTATCTCTAGTATATTTATATATATGTATATTTGAAAAAAATTTGCATATTTGTAAATAAAAGTGAAGCAACAAGAGTGGAATGAGTGCAAGTATGAAGGAAACAATGCATAATTTGAGTAATATCGTGAACAACGAACATATTCATGGAAATGTAGAGGTAATTCTGCAAATTCTTTACCTTTTACTCTTTCATTAATTTTGTTTTCAACTTTTTTATTTATTATTTGTTTTAGGACTTACTCAACGTATCTTTCTTACAAGATCAATTTAAAAATTTCTATTTTTATTTTAGCTTATAGGTTATGTTATATTAATTTTTCTATAAATTTATTGATATATATATAAAATATGACCGATATTTTCTCATATATATATATCTTTGTTTACACTTTCTTGATATTTAAATTATTGTGATAATAGATTATTATATTTATGCAAAATATCCTTTTTCAAATGCAAATATTCTATATACATTTATCAAGTAATCTCATAAGTTATACAGTGTAATAAAAAAAATTATTAAAAACTTTGGTAGAACAAAATTTTCTTGGTAATATTTAAATTTTATTATACTTTTCTTGAATAAAATATCTTATCATGCTATGTAATTGTGGCAGGCAATTGTTCCTGAGGAGTCACCAGCAAAGCAGAAATTAAGAAGTTGGCTAAATCGACATTTGCGAATTGAAATGACTGACGGAAGAGTCTTAAGGGGAGCATTCTTGTGTACTGATCGTGATGCTAATGTTATTCTTGGGTCGTGCACTGAATATCTATCTACAGAACATACAGAAGCAAGAGTTTTAGGTTTGGTAATGGTGCCTGGTCGACATATTGTTTCCATACATCTAGATGTTTAAAGCAGCACTGCTCTTATAAGTCTGTAAATATATAATCCACTCTATGCTTATTTATTATTTATCTGACATAGATATTATATGAATATATTATATTTGTCTTTTTGACAGCTTAATTTTTGGTGACAAATAAGTAAAAATTAAAAGATATAAATACTGCTGTTAATTGTTAATACTGTTAATTGCTGATCCAACAAATATCACAACCATTATTTGATTAATTTTGTTTACAAAATATTAAATTATAAGTAATGCAAAAAATTTCTTTATTACAATTTTTTTCAGTATATAATTAGATTAGGCACACACACAGAATAGCAAGACATTTTAGTTACTTTTATCATGAAGGTAAATCCTAAATGGAAGATATATGAGAACAATTAAGCTCTACTACTTTAAATATCTTTGATTTAATAAATGCATCTTTATCTGAAAAATAGATAACAAGAATTGAGATAATCGAATGTGAGATCAGTATTAAATATGTACAGTACATCTCAATAAATGAGAGAAAAATATTTTATTAATACAATCTACCATAATATGTGATATAGATTTTTAATATTTTTATAAACATAAAACACATTCAAAATCATTTCCTAGAAGAATGTACTATTGTTTTTCAGTTGTTTCCTTACTGTCGTTGATACACTTTCCCTGTATACGCCAGTACGTGAGTTCTAATTCTTTATTGCTGTTAAGTTCTGCTTTTACTTTAGACATTGTATCATCTAATCTTTCTAAAAGTGTGTTGCACAAATTTTCCATTTCACACAAATAACTTAAATGTGAGGTACTTATTGCTATATTGTACACATGTTCCATAGAGTCAGATAATTTCTAAAAAGATTTGCACATATATAATTACATATAATTTATTTTTTTATGATGCTTAACAACATATTTTTAACATATTTGTATTCTGTGATATCAAATTACACAATATTATTTTATGTATAGTATAAAAGAATAAATTTTGATTAATTGCTTCAGAAATCGTTCTACTCATAATTTTGCCCTTAATGTAGGCTCTAAAAATTATTGACTCCAACATTTGTCAAAATTAAAGTTAGAATAAAGATGGCTCTTAAAATAATTATCAGAAGTTTTAGGCTTTTCAAACATTTTGCTATACGAAAGATATTTAAAATATGATGTTAAGCACAAATCATTATGTATTATTTTATGCAATAATATTACCACTAGTTGTTCCTTCTTATGGTGCATTTCATTTCGTACTTTTACAATCAAATCCCAATGCTCATCACTTACTTTGTACGTTAAAGTTTCTTCAAGAAGTGAAATAAGTTTGTTCAGTAATTTTCTATAAGAGAAAATTAAGTTTGTTTAATAATGTTCTATATAGCGTCATAGAAATGTTTCATTTTTTACACACATAAATCTATCTTATTTTTATAAATTTACCTATATTTAATACTCAAATCCGTTATTGCCATATAAGTAACAGTTAATGTCTGTGTTGCACTATTGACAGTATGCAATACAGATTGTTTTATCATATACTCGTGAGTTAGTTTCTTTAAATCCACTGGTTCAAACTGTATCTTCTTATCTGCACTAGGCTTTTCAAAAGAAGCACAATAGGTAAATAACACACTTGATGTATACTGTACAAACCAAACAATTTATTAATTTTTGCAATGCAAAAAGATATTAAAATATTAAATGGCAATGAATATAAAATATCCTTACCATAGCAGGACTAATATTTTTTAATAATTTTCTAAAAATCTGACGCATTGACATATTTGTTGACAATATATATAAAATTAACCTTATGGATAATCAAACCAACGTCTATAATGTTGGAATCGAGTAAATTCTGACAACTTATTTTTTCTTAATTATCTTTACTCAATTTAGAGTTTAATATATGTACAATACAAAATAAGAATGTCATTGCGCGTATCAAAATAAAGCAAGTAAACGACAGAAGACTTTATAACCTCACTTGTCAAAATGTCAAAATCAGACGGTAGTGGGAGACATGATGTAAATATATATATATATATATATATGTATCACAGTAATATATTACATCTTTTATTTTTTATTTAAATTACTAAATGCTCTAAGAGTAACATTCGAAATTATACAATTATCTTTATTTTATTAGGATAAAAATTTATTGAATCAAAATGTCAATTTGTAGAATATTATGCATGATTTTTATTATTAGAAAATTATTCTAGACATTGAAAGAGAGAGATTGAAAAAAGACGAAAAATCAAAATCTTATCATTATTTTTAAGTAATAAATTAGTATCTGTTTATATACTACAACGTGCAATTTTTATATTTAAAAAAATTAATTTTTTATAAAATGTGTTCATAAATAATAAAAAATAAAAGAGATTTATTTCATGTAAACTTACTCTTAGAAAAAAAATACAAATGTAATATAAGCATAAAATGTGGTATACTACAAAAAAAGATAATTATTCTTTAAGAAATACATGCAAAAATTTGTTTTCATTACTCACATTTTTACAAATATGTAGTATATCTTATATTTATGTAATTCTCTATGTGATAATATAAAAAAGATATACTTGCAGCAAAAGACATTTCATATGCAAGTTCAAAAATTTATATTAAGGATTGTGAGGATTTGAGGTTTTCATCGAACTGGCCTATTCTCTTTTTTATATCTAATAAATTATGTAATAAGTTTCAACAAATTTCATATCGAATAAATTAAATATTCGAATCTGCGTTTTTGTTTGGCACTGTAACATAATTAGTCTATAATTAGTTATCGCAAATAGTCTCAGATAAAATTAATATTTTTCAATAACTTTAATAATGAATGAATAGTAAAACTATGCATATCCAGGTATAAATACATATTATTAATTAAATGGGAGGGAACAACTTGTATTCACATTTTCGCAGAATAATTTATCCAACCACAGCACACAAGAATTTTTGTTCTTAAATGATTTTAAATGCACTGGATGAAGATAATCTACAGAAATTGCCTAAATCGACAAATATCGTCGATTAATAACAAATAGAATCACACACCCTTTTTAAATAAATTATTTTTTATAGTTCTTGATGTATTTCTTCTTCATTGTCACTTAATCGTGGTTCTTCACTTTCTGATAAAACTAATGGATCTTGTGTAGTATCTATTGGTTTCCATAGTGGTTCTTGTTGTTCTTCCTCATTATCTGATGCAGTTGTTTGTTCTTCAGTAAATTTGTCACTTTCACTTTCAGGATTCTCAGATTTCTCTTCATTTTTCTCTGTTTTACTTTCAGTCGTTTGATTCGTCGCAGTTTCCTGTTTCGGCCTCCAAATCTTTACTTTATTCAAAAGATATTTAATTTCTCTATCAAGTAGCTCCATTTTATTTACGATATGGCGGACTTTGTATTTCACTGGTTCGTTTAACGATGCTTCCGCGAAATAGTTCAAAATTGTCTTGTAATAATCCTGAAAAATATAATTTTTTAAATATATCATACACTAGAATTCTAAAGATTGTTATTTTATATGTGATAATAACATAATGCATTATCAGTTTATGAAAATATCATCAAAGTTACATAATTACCTGCGTCTCGTTAATCGCTTTTTCTAACGTCTCGACTTCAACTTGCGTAATAATTTCAGTCGTTGAACTCAAGTTACGCATATTCTCTAAGAACGTTTTACTGCCGTTGAGTAACGAGACCATTCCTTTCAGAACTTCCGGACGGTCTCGGTGTTCGGAAACTCTCTCGTAGACGTCGTTGGTGAGCTTTTGCAATTTCGTCAATTTCTCCTCGTATATTTCCGCAGTCGCGGTGAATCCATCTTCGTACAACCACTCGGAGATCTCGGCGCAGGCTTTGCGGATTTCTTCAGCCTCTTTGTCAGTAGCTGCAACCGAATATTCTTCGGACTCGAGCTTCTGCTGCGCGTCGATTACAAACGACTCCAGATTGTTTAACGCGGTCTCTCGACGCATCTTTTCGGAATCATGCACATCCAAACGATGTATTCTAAAGAGAAGTAATACAAATTATTATTTAAATATTTATATATTTTTATCAATATTTTTAATATAGTTTTTTAACATTACATTATATATTTTTTATCAAATATAAATATAATTATGCTAAATATTAAATTTGCTCTTTCAAATAAAGTAATACAAATATTAATTATGTCAACATTTGTGTCGATACAATATATATAATGTTTCAAAGATGTAAGAATAATTTTTACTTATATAACATATATGTTGTGAATATATTTAAACATATTTTTGCTTACTTTTCTCGAGATTCCGTCAATTTTTGCCGGATAAGATTTGCGATCCTAATTTAATCTCGTCTGAACTGATAGGTTCTTTGATTTGAATAATGGTAGATTTCTTTTCTTTATCCGCTTTCTCGGTCTTATTTGGAGCTTTATCATCGTCTATTTTCGTCTCATTTTTCTTCTTTTCCTTCTCTTCGGCATCCTTTGGTGGCTCTGATTCCGGTTCTTCATGTACTGGTTTTATATCCTCTTTTGGTACTTCCTCTGCTTTTTCTGGTGGTTCTTGTTCTGTCTGAGAACCTAACAAATCAAGATTTTAGTTGTAATTTTTGTATAATATAAACTTGAATAATATATAATTAGTAGTTAAAACATATCATTGATACATGAATGCAGGTCTTCTAAACGTTTAAAATAACATAATTATGAGACCTATTCTAGTTAAAATATATATATATATATATATATATATATAAAATTAAACATAATTATTATTAAATCAAGTTATATTATTGCAGTGATAATTCAATACTAATTAACTGTAAATTATTATATTATTAAAAATATATTTAATTTATCATTTTCATTATTCCTGGCGATAAGAACTATAGAATTTTACTATTAAAAATATATATATATACATATAAACTTTCAAAAAATTATATTGTTACAAGCACATTTACAGTTAATTAATATTTAATTTGAATTTAATTATATATATTAATTATATTTAATTATATATATTCACTGCAACAATATAATTCCAATAATAATTCTATGCTTTGTGTGACACATTTATTGTACAAATCTACTATCACTATAAAAATATCTGCAAAAAATGATATCAAAATATGACATAATATTTTTACATATTCATGCAAATGTGACATATTTTTGTTTTCTTTACACATACAAATAAAACATTTTTTAAAGAAATAAATAAGTTCTTTAATATACACAAAGTATAAAAAAGAACTATAATCAAAATTGAGATACATGCAACAAAATTAATAGCATCATTTTTTGCATTGCCTTAAGCACAAACCTGCAAAAAATTTACTTATAGTTGAGCCAAGTATTGAAGAGAAAGTACCCTCTTCTTCATCAACAACAGTGCTTGATTTTTCCGATACTAATTCTACATTCAATAAATTCAATATGCCACTTTCGTCTATATTAAAATGCACTTTGATTCCTTTACTTTCGGCACCTTCCTTAGCATGTTTTTCTAAAGCTTCAGCTACACCATTCAACAATATAGTGGATATATTTAAATCTCCAATAGACCTGTAAAAAAAATTTAGACATTGTAGTTTTAAACATAATAATATCGATACTTGAAATTTATTTCCAATTAAAAGTAAATATAAAAACTACAGATACTTACTTTATCTCTGTTGGAGGTAAATAATCTAATTCAGCATAATTCACATGAAAGTCAAAATCTTGTGTATGTTTGTTAAATGTAATAATCTTCTTTTGTGGGAAAGGATTCATTTTGCCAAACAACATCTTTTTCACCTGTACATAAAAATAATTTTGGAAAATTTGTTGTTATATATATATATAGTTATTATAATACAAAAAATACATAATAGATAATTCAATCAGCTTATACCTTTCTAACTTTATTATCGATATTTCTATTAAAAATTATTTGAATTGGGAACAGTATAGCATCTCTTGTGACAAATTTCTTGACTTTGAAACCCTGACTAAGATCAGCTGCTTTGTATGCGGCTCCTAAAGCAGCTGCTTCATCAGTATTTACATTCTTTGACAATTCTGTCTTTACATATTGGGACAATGTCTCTTGTACTTTTGGCATACGAGTACCTGCCCCTACCAGTACAACATGTGATATAACATCCATTGTCAAAGCTGAAACAATTTTATATTTAATACATCTTATATTTATAATATGTACATAAATATCTGGCTATTAAAAGAATCACAATTTTGTGTTTTACTTATATGAAAATATATTCACCTGAAGTTTCTAAAGCAATCTTCACAGGATTTGTTATACGTTCAAATAAATCGGCACATATTTCCTCCAGTTTTTCCCTTGTAACTTGCAATCTGAAGTCAATGTCATCTATTAAGCCTTCTATCTGGGCATAATGATCTGCGTTAGCGCTGAGGACAGTTTTGACGCGTCCGGCTTCTTTGAAAAGTTTTGCCATCGCTCTCGGGCTTGCAAATACTGAATTAGATGTCTTTTTTAGCGCGTCAAATTCTTTGGCTAAATAATTCTGCAATCTAATTTGCATTTCTAGTCCACCAAGTGTACGATCATATCCCACACCTATTACATTAACGTGAGGATTTGTTTCGACAAAACCTCTCTCTTTCGTTTTCACGTTTTGATAGCTGACAACCGTCGCGGTAGTGCTGCTGGCTCCCATATCGTAAAACATAATGTAATGTGCAGAATCATTTATTTCAGTTCTGCCGAATACACCGTAGTTCAAAGCGACTGCTGTGTAATCGTTTATGAGCTGTAATACTTTCAATCCGGCAAGTTCTGCCGCTTGAGTCAAGGCTCTCCTCTCGGCTTGATTAAAAAATCCTGGCACGGTGATAACTGCTTCGTTTATCTTTTGATGAGCCGAAGATTCCGCCATCTCTTTACCCTTGTGCAGTATTTGTGCGAGCAATTCTTCTGGAGTATACGTTGTATTTGTATTTAATCTAAATAATATGGTTTTCCTCTCATCATCGGCAATGATGTCGTAGTAAGGAAATCTTTTCAAATAAAGTTGTACTAATGGATTGTCTATAGGCTTTCCTAAAAGATCTAGAATATAAGAAAAAGTGTTCTGAGGGAATCTCACTCCAACCACTTGGGCATCCTCGCCGAAAGATCTTTCCCCATCTCTGAATGCGATCGCAACTGGCGTTTTCCTCTTGGATTCCTTATTTAAAGCTATCTCCATAGGAACACCAGGCTAGAAAGCAAAACAAAACAAACAAAGTTTATTTAACATAGATATAATCGATTTTTCATACAAAAAGTAGATCAATCATGTCCGATTAAGTTTTCTAATACAAGACTCATCAGTCTATAAACTAAATACATATTCACTACAAAAACCAAATTATTTATATTACATACCGAAACAATAGCGACCTTCATCCATTCGCTACCAAGGTCAATGCTCATAACGGCAATTTCTTCACTAATACCGATGAAATTAGCAATGATGAGTAAGGCTAGCGACGCCATCGACATACTTCTTGGTGAAAACTCCATCTGGAAACGAAATGGAAATCCAAACTGTATCTTTTCGGCGAGAAAAATATCGTAAAAATTCGGGGACATGTATACGTGTTCGTTGATGTGTCAATTGATACACGAGGGACCTAGCTGTCAATTTTGGTTATGAATACCGGCACCGTAAAGTATGTCAAATCGCAAAATAATGATTGCAAATTAATGACGCGTACTCACCCTGTATCCACGTTTTCGACAACACGTTACTCGAGGACGATTCTCAGCTGTAGACCATTTAGAATACACGTATGTGCATCGCCAATCTTTTATTTAAATCAACAAATGTCTAAGCGTAATCTTTCTCTGCCACCGCTCTCCGTGAAATTCCGCATCGCAGACACATGTGTCGGTGTGGCACATCGCGATTGGTAAAAGGACGAGTGAAACCTGAACTCGTCATTGGTCCGCGTTGGCAAATCAGAGCCAATTATTCTCGTGCGACTGCGCAATTCCCAAGAGTGTTGCAGTCAAAAAAATTTTTTTAATATTAAAATATATTTATTTAATAAATAAATAAATATATAATAAAATATTTTTTCACATTTAATTTTTATTAAAAATATTAGTTGATAAACTAATCAATAATTGTTTTAATATTTTATTTATTTAATTTCGATATCAGATACTTATAATTATCTTCTTTATAAAAATTTTAAAACAAGATGTACATCTTACAACAAAATGAATAAATATATAAAGATAGAAATGCAAAGACTGAAAGGTGTATAATTATCTGATATAGTTGAGATAATATTAGTGGAATATAACTAGCATATAATGCTATCACACAGAGAAGACACTATAATCTAATCTTCTTACTTTTTAGATTATCATAAGTCGCATACATACATGTAATCACTCTCAATTTCAATGAATATAAAACAAAATTATTATATAATTTATAGCAATAGTTTGACGACACTGTAATTAGATTTTGTTTGAAGCAGTACAGGATATTAATTTTAAGATTTTTTTTCTCAGTCAAGTTTCGCGTGCTGTGCTTAATTTGATCCTATAGTAGTAAAAAATATTTTCAATCAATGGTACGTCTCTATTAACCCCATTGATCCTCAGATCGTCCAAATTTATATGTGAGCGAACCCAAGAAGATAAACACATTTTGCAGAAACAATCCTACACCTGGCCAATGATGTGGCACACCTATAAAAATAATAATACATATCTACATACATATGACTACATACATACGTATGACTATACATGTATAACATTTTATATAAAATTACCTGCAGCCACAAAATCAGCAAATAAGATCCAACAAGCTGCTATTACTGCTGCAAATCCCATAACAAATCCAATAAATAACCAACTTCTTGCACCTCTTGCCCCTAAACAACCACCGTTATAAGCTTCTCCTCTTATCTGTGCATTTGTCACTGAATTGACCCTACAAGAATACAAAATTATTTCTCCAGTCAGCAACAGATAATATCCTATTACCATTTAAAAATCTAATTAACAATGTTATTAATCTATTACTTACATAAAAAGTGATATGGTACCAAACACTCCGCATACATGATACGCATTTGACATTTCATTTGGATATTTTGCATGCGCGTCTATTATAAACCACCATCCTACGAAAAACTAAAACAATACCTCAGTAAATTATATATGATATTTATACTATATTACCTGTAAAAAAATAACAAAAAAAACAGTATTTTTATAGTGAATAAACATTTTTAATAAATAGGATGCAATAAAAAAAAATATCTACGTTCTTATAAATATTATGATTCGTATTCATAACATGTATATTTATTAAACGTAGATGTGTAAATATATATATATGTATATATATATATGTAAACTTAAATATAGATTTTTTTTTTACCAGTGTTCCTGCGAGCATAGAAACAAGCGCATTTCTCTTCTCGCCGCCCTCGAACCAAACGCAGGACGGAATTTGCATGCTTTCAAAGCAGGATGTCATTTTTCTCGCGGCTTCTTATCGGAAATATCAAGAACGTTGGATTCCGCGATTAGACAGCTAACCTTAAACGCAATGACAGATATCAACATATACAACTGCATATACAATACTGAGAAGCGCGAATTGCAAGATTTCTCGATGCAGACACTAGCGCCAGGAATATAAAGTGGCGATTGATATAAATTAATCAAAATAGTAATTAGCTCTGTTAAACTTAATGATTGTAAACAAAGAAGGGCTATAAGAGCTATTAAACAAAATACAGTTGTCAGATGATATTAATAAAATTCATTTAAAACGAAATAATAAATACATAAGAAATAAACATTTATGCGAACGTTTCGGCTGACATTTCAAGCCTTCTTCAGCGCAATACAAATATTTTAATTATAAATTGAATTGTAATATTAAACATTATAGACGGAAAATGGAACAGGAATGCCACACTGCCTCTGAATCCCGGTGGCCACTCTCTTGTTTCTCTCTGCATCCAATAGAAGAGCCTGCCTTTTAGTTACTTTAATTAGTTTTTTTCTGAAAATAGAAAAAAGATTACAGAAGTATGAAAAGAACATATTTCACAATGGCGATAAAGTATTTAATTGGTGTATGCACTGTCCGACTCAACCAATCAGATTGAAATCTTTTTTATGTATGTGGGTATGTGTGATGATGTCCAGTTGAGTCTGAGGCGAGCACGTGTTCGAGGTTGTCAAATCTTTCATGCATTTGGAAATATTAAAAAAAATTCGTCCTGAAAAATATATTTATTTTCTGTAGCAATTTCAGTTCAATTTTATTATTATATGTCTTAAATATGGCAATTGATTTAGGATTCGTAGAGAAATGCGAATCGTGGCGACTGACAAGCAGATTCTTTCCTAGTAAAGTGGGCGGTAAACCGGCCTGGCTCGAGCTGAAAAATATTCCCGGTAAAAGTGATTTGGAATGCGAGTATTGCAACGAGGTTTGCGTATTTCTGTGCCAGATTTACGCACCGTACGAGGAAAACGTCGATGCTTTTCACAGGACTATATATATTTTTATATGCAAGAACGTAGATTGCTGTAGACCGAATCAAAATGGAAACTTGAAAGTTTTTCGATCGCAATTGAGTAGAGTCAATAGTTTTTATCCGTCTGAACCGCCTGTCGAGCAGAAAAATTGGAGAACAGACATTGGTAAGTCTATTGTAACATGACAAATTTTGTATATAATATGACATTTTTCTTCCAATGACTTTTGTGAACACATGCATGGAATAATGTAGAATAATATCGTGTATTTCTCTGCTTTTAGATGTGTCGCAATGGACAAAAACATGTTGTATTTGTGGGATTGCAGCACCGAGTCATTGTGCTAAATGTAAAGTTGTCAATTATTGTTGTCGTGTGCATCAAGTATATGACTGGAAGAATGGACATAAGCATACGTGTGGCGCTGAAGCAAATAGTGACAATAATTTCTTGTTTCCTGAATATGAGATTGTAGTAGAGAGCGATGATTCTGTGAAAGATAATATGGAGCAAGACGATTTTGAAAGGGAACAGAGGGAGATTAAAAAGTATAATGCAATGATAAAAAATGGCAAAGCTGGAAGTCTTCAGCATGAAGACGTTAATGATGATTTATTACAGATGGCTAGCGACGAAAAAGATGAAATATTTGTAGAATTTCGTATGGGAATAGATAATTATCCAGATCAGATCTTAAGGTATCTTTTCTTTGTAAAAAAATTTGTAGAGTAACAATCTGTATTCTAATCTGTATTCATTTAATAGATATGACAGAGGAGGAAAAGTTTTATACATATCGCAACAAAACAAAATAGCAGATGTTCCAAAATGCCCAGAATGCAATAGTGATAGACAGTTTGAATTTCAAGTATGTAAGAGTTTATTTATATAATACATACTGGAATACAAAATAATTCAAATTTAAAAAAATTTACATTGATATTTGAAAGACAAATTGCGCATCAATTTTTGCATGTTACGTATTTTTTGTTTATGTTATATAAAATTATTTGCAGATAATGCCACAGCTATTAAATTACTTAGGCTTGAATGATATTGTCAAGTGTCTTGACTGGGGAATATTAGCTGTTTTCACATGCAAACAATCTTGTGCACCTAATGATACATACATAAGAGAATATATATGGAAGCAAGATATTGTAACTGACTCGAGAATAAACCAAGATGCATGATATTTGCCTTGTTTTTTTTGTATACATTAAACAAAATTTTGTTTTAATATACTTACAAATTTATACTTTAGTTATGGAACAATAAATTAAATATGATTAAGTACATTAAAATTTCTTATTTATCATATGGAATTATGACAACAGAAATCATATAAAGTTTTACTACTTTGCAAAATATATCGAAATAATAAGTTTTTTAAATGCATACATTTTCGTATTAAATAATATGGATTAATAAAGTATACCGAAAACTCTCTCTCTCTCTCTCTTCTCGATTTGTGAATTAATAAATAAATCTGTATATCTTGATTGCCATAAGATTGATTTAAAAAAAGGATTATTCCTTTCAATGTATTTTACAAGAATAAAATATTTATGATTTTATTATGTTATAATTAAATATGTCTGCAATAAGGACACAGGAATCTTAAAGTGCACAATATTACAATAAAAAGTTTATAATCTTTATAAAAATACAGTATAAAGATATATAGTTTAATGAGAAATAGGTGTCTCTTGAAACAAATTGCATTCTAAGAATCTTGTTACTTTCAATGATAATACATATTCTCTAAATCGATAAAAGTTTTGTTGAAACATCTTCAATTACACATAATATCTACAAATAAAATAAATTAATTTTTCGCGCTTGGGCTCTATTGGCCGATTTAAAATTCATATACTATTATTATTATTATTAATATTGAGAGCCGACATATATTTCTTATCTGAAATAAAAAATAAAATTATACTAAAATAAAAAATAAAAACATATTTCAATGTTACTAAATATTTTGTTTTCATGAAAATGTAAAATGACAATAAATATATTATTAAGAATATTAAGTCGGCTCCTTAATTTTAAAAACACAATATACACTTTCTTCATCTCGGCCAATAGAGCCACACGCGATGTTATTGCGACAATTAATAAAGAAAATTTGGAAACTAAGGAATTTGTATCCTATGGTTGGGATCTCAGTTTCCAAATTTTCTTTATTAATTGTCGCAATAACATCGCGTGTAGCTCTATTGGCCGAGATGAAGTGTATATTGTGTTTTTAAATATATTATTGACTATATCACTGAAAGTTTTCTTAGGCAACATTTTGTGTTGACAATAAAAATTCTTAAATGTATATTAAATATGAAAAATAAAAAAAAGTATTACAATTATCGTTATTTTACAATTATTGAATCAAGATTTGTAATCTTTTAAAAATATAAACTGCAATAGTATTAAAATATATTGCGTATTGTACTTTATATAATACTTTATCACCATCAGAATAGACATTACAAGAAATATATGTAATTACAAAATAGTTGAAATTGTCATTATCTAATGTAAAATATTTTTAATGTCATTAATCCTATAGTCCAATTATAAAAATACATTGATCTCTATCATATTAATTAATTAAAAAGATGGTGATTCTTTATAATTAAGTATCTTTTTTTCGACAAACTTGTCCATTAATATTATATAACATCGATGCACTTTCTTTACAATATTGTTTAAAATGTTTAAGCGTTAAAATTGACACAGCCTTTGTTAAATTGTGCGAAAGATCTAACGGATCTTGCACACACATAGGTGAATCAATACGAAAATATTGCGGTTTTGTAGTCTGCAATTGCATAATGTAGAGTTTCATAGTATCGGGTAAAGACGATGGATCTTCTGTAAAAATTTCTTTATGGCATGTCTTGCCTAACAATGGACATATAACATTGTCCATGTAATTAAAGCGTTCATAATATTCAAAAAATCCTAATAACAATGTACATATTGGTGCATTTAATAATTCAAGTACATTTTTTGTAGGAACATCGACTCCAGTTTCCCAGCCTAAAATATAAAATATTATGTACTATATTATGTATTATATTATGTATTATATTATATACTATATTATACACTATATTACATACTATAAATATTGAAAAAAATATATAGAATTATAATTTATTATTTTAAAACAAATAGATGATCTCTCTTTTTCAATCATATAGATTTCATGTAAAAATTATACAGATATATTTCTGAATAAATTATTCAACTTACCGCATACAATTTTCGAATGATTATGGCTTTTAATCAAAGCAGCAATAGTCGGTATTTTATATTCAACTTGTAAATAAAAGATGACTAGCCAGCTGAGAGAATAGCTCGTTATTCCGTCAGAACCAGTTAAATTTCCTAATAAGATCCAGTTTTTCAAAAACAATATTAATTTTCGGCAATTCGGATATGCCGTATTGAAAGACCTAAAAAAATAATATATTTTATCAAATATATCTTACAAACACTCTCTTAAAATATGCTCTTCAAAATACATTTCTCATACTTGATAAGTTTAGAATTTTCCACTGAAAGACCATTTGTATATGAAATATCACATTGTAATCTTGTCAATCTGTGCTTTACTTTTATCAGAGGTGTCCTGCTCTCGTCCAAAATTAATTCTATTTCCCAATTTTCACCATCAATCTGTAAATACTTTTGAATTTGTTTACTCCTTTTCTGAAGTATTAATGCAGTCTCCTTACGGTATATATTAATATAGTTCACTGAAGTACACTCAATTTTACCTAAAACAGAAAATTTTTTTTATAATTTCTTTTTTCTTTTATATTATTATATAAATAAAAAAGTTTTACTTATGTTTTATGTGTGTGTGTGTGTGTGTAAAACAAATTATATAGAATATATATTTACTGAAATCAAGATATATGTCGATATCACTGTTTGGCAATGCTAAACCAGTGACTCTAGAACCAAACATGTACACTTCTACATAAAACGATTGATCTTCGAAAGTATGCTTTAAAGCATCCACGAGTTGAGTTGTTCTTGAATCCTTTAATGTATCGTCCGATAGTTTAAGTAGATTAACGACAGTTTCGTTAATATTTTTCAATAATTCTTGCAGAGATTGTGGTAGCGGCCTGATTACAAAGTCATTACTTCTTGTTAAATACCTATGGGTCCGTTTTTTACAGTGTAGTTTATAAACTGAATCCCCCCCTTTGTTATACCACAAAGTGGCACACAGAAGGCAAAAATCAAATTTTGTATTATCCTTTGTACGTAGAAGTTCATTATGACTTTTGTCAAGATGTTCCATAAACTTTATCTTCATTCGGAATCTTCTCTTACACTCGACGCAAGCAAAGTATTGGATGCTGTACCATAATACAGTATCGAAGTCTTGTAATACACACATAGCTTTCTGAAGTACCTTGTTACGATTTTGCTTGTGTAAAGGATAATGCATATGTTCCTCGATTTTGGATGTATCATGCATTAACTTTCCATTTTGATTGCAAGCATAACATTTTCTAAACTCTATCTTAATTAATTCTCTTAATAGTTTTAGTTTCTGCTTTTCACTGCTTTCTTTCAGCTGTGTTTGCATAATATGTTGTTCACAATGAATATGTTCGTACAATGTATCTATATTGTATAAATGTGTAACATTACATGCAAGACAGCGCATATTTCTGTATTCAACAGCATACAGTTGTAAATTACATTCAATATCATTCTTCTTCCTCAAACTGCAAGTAAACATAATTTTCTCAAAATCTAGAAATCTTTTCTGATACATTCTATTATAACGATCCAAGGCATTGGTCTTTTTTTGTCCTGTTTGTAACTTATCCCCATTTCTTTTTACTGGTCTTGTAATCAATTGATTCTTAATTTCTGAAATTATATTAGGAGGCATGAATAAACCAGAATTACTTTCTCCACTTTGAGACATTGTATTAGCTGCTTTACTATCAGTATTTGTAAGCTCTATTGCTCGTGGTTTATTTATATTAAGTTCTTTTGTTGCACTTATACCATATATTATATCATTATAAGTGAGCAAAATATTTTGAAAGTCTTTCAAATGTTCTGTCGTTGTACGTAAATGAACATCTACTTTTTCAATTTTAGAAAATTTACATTTGCAGGCAATGCAAATATAAGTAAAATTTTAGTGTGTGGTGGTGTGCTGCCCACTTTATTCTTACGCATTATGCGCATGGAATGACAAAAAATGTATACTTTGCTCTGATTGGTCAATCCGCGAGTGTTAATGGTGAACTACACGTGCTCGTAATTTTTAGCGTAAAAACTTAAAATAAGCCTTTTTTAATTTTCTTTTCACATTTTCTTCCTAATATTTATTCCTATATATATTAATTATTTGAAATGCAAAAAGTATATAAGTTACAAAACTAAATAAGAAATATATATAAAATCACACATCATAAATAAAATTAATAAAATTTTTCTTTTAACAAATAAGAATATATTAATCTTTTACATTGAAAAACAATAATAATTTTAGTAGCAACTTTCATTATAATAAATTGATTAAAAAATTCAGGCTATAATAATTGAAATTAATATATACATTTTATAACTTTTCGATTTTTTTATTTCTTCTACAATCATGACTTTTTACAAAACAATACAGATGTAATAACATCACAGCACAAGATTATATTTAAAATTAATTAGCAATAAAACTAATTATATACTAATCAAACTAAAAAATTTGACACTTTTTAATCAATTAATAAAAGTATCTCGTTAAAAAAAATATATATATATTTATTGAATTATTGATATATCCAGTAGAAATAGGAATGAAAAATACCGCTTATATATCAGTATTTTTCGACCGAGAGAATATCGAAATAATTTCGTCAATAATTATATATCGGTATTGTGTATATACCTCTACCGTTAAAAAATCGTAATTCTAAAAATCTTCAATTTATATCGATATTTGAACGTTTAATATCAGTATAATAACCGAAACTTTTATATAAATATCGGTATGTACATAATACCGATATAATATAATATCGATATTATATTGATATTACAAGTATATTATTATATTTTATTAATTTTTATTAAATGTTACAGTAAATCAATCAGATTAATGATAATTTGAGATGTTTAATATCATTAATATTGTCACTGTATATAGTATATATGTTATACTTTATATCCCAATAGATATTAATATTCAATATATTAGCATCGTTTATATTAGGATATTACTATTAGGATATTATCATTAGAATCTTGATAAATAATATTTTTTAATAGAGGTTTAAACGATATGATATATAATCGTTAACGAAATTATTTCGGTATTCAATCTCTAAATCAAGATATATCAATATTATATCAATTTATGAATATAATATATCTAAATATAAGTAACTATCATATCAGTTTAAAAAAAAATTAGTTCAATGATTTCACTGTAAATTGTCAATTATCAATAGTTATTATATTTATTATAGATAGACATAAAACAAATAAAATTATCAAGTTATCAAATTATTATCAAGAAAAATACAGACATTTTCTGTACAGATATTGATTAAATTACGATAACAATGGTGGCTTCAGGTACATAAAAGTCTTCTTCAGTAAATTTGCACTATAATTGCAATTGCTCTGAAAGTTGTTCAACTTACGATTATTAACTGCCTTCGTGAGATTATGTGATAAATCGAATGGATCTTGTACACATAATGGTGATAAGAAAAAAGCTTGAGGTTTCTCTTTCGTATAAGCATCATGCATATAAGCAACATATGGTGCCATATCTTGCGGTAAACTTGATAGATTTGTAAATGCATTTTTTTCTATCGGCTGGCCCAACAATGGACAAATCACATGACTTTTATATTTAAAATCTGCATAAAACTTAAAAAATCCTAATAAAAGCTCCTCAAATGTGTGATTTATTTTCTTAACAGGGAAATTGTAGCTTACACCAACTTCCCAACCTAAATAAAAAAAATATATATAAATTAAGAAGTACATACATAATAAGAGTATATAATACATGTAAATCAAACATTAATTAGTAAAATAATGTACAATAAATATACAATTTGTTTAATAATTTATTTATTTAATAATACTTTTATTTATATATATAAAATATCGCAAATTAAATTTTGAAAAAATTTATTGTAGTCTATTATATGCATGCATATATATATATATATATATATATATATATATACAGGGTTGGGAAAGTTACTTTGTAAAAGTAACTAGTTACAGTTACAGTTATTTCATTGAAAAAGTAATTAGTTACAGTTACAAGTTACCGATTTTAAAAAATTACTTGTTACAGTTACAGTTACTCTAGTACAGTTACTACTCTACAGTTACTAAATTTACGTCATTTTTTGGTCAATATTTAGTTAATATAATGTTAAATTGACATAATTTTGACCTTCTGTTCTCCTTGAGGAATGACCTTCATATACAACAGTAACAATAGTTAGTAACTTACTAAATGATAATCGCAAAGTCACAAAGTCGCAAATCGACTAATTATTACATTTAAGAATTTTTTTAAATACTTGACTGTGATTAGTCGATCTTAATTATGTGTTATATTATTTTATGTACACTAAATATATATGAGAATTGTAGGTAAAAGATTAAATCATATAAAGATCCATATGTTACTGTTATCAGAATTTAATAACAATATAATGGCTACCATATTTGAACGATACTTTTAGCGCATGTTTCCAAAAAAGTAACTCATAAAGTAACTGTTAAAATAGTTACTAGTTACTAAAAAAATGTAACTAAGTTACAGTTACAGATGGAGAAAAGTAATGAAGTTAAGTTATAGTTACCGAAAAAAAGTAACTGTAACTGTAACTTTGTTACAAGTAACTTGTTATTTCCCAACCCTGTATATATATATATATATATATATATATATATATATATATATATATATATGTATGTATGTATAATGATATCACTTACCACTGATTCGCCATGAACTATTTCTCAATTTTATCAGTTGTGAGATACTGGGAAAGATTAACAGAGTTTGCAGATAAAAAATAACGCACCATGTGAGAGCATAGCTTGTTATAACATGTGACCCTAATAAACCACTGTTATGCATCCAATGTTTAAGAAACAAAATCATTTTTCGACATAGTGGAAAAGTATGATTAAAACACCTAAAACAAAAATTTTTAAATTTATAATGCATAAATATGATATTCAAAATATTTCTACTGCATTATATGTCAGGAGGAAGCAAAAGACTTACTTAATTATTTTGGTATTTTCCACTGCTAGCCCATTTGTAACTGAAATGTCACATATAAATCCTGAGGGATTATGTTGTACTTTTATAATTGGCGTTCTACTACGTAATATCATTTCCTGAACCATCCAAATTGTTTTATTAAGGGATAGATAATACACAATGTGTGTAATAAGATTCTGACAATGATTATATGATGAATTCCTCCCTTCATACATATTACCTGCATAAAATAATAGAACAAAAGTTAATGTTAATATATAATTTATAACAAAAAAAAAAAACTCGATAAAAGTTGCTAAAAAAATCATTTTCAAGTTATTATATATGTTGCATGTTACACACACACACACACACATTACACACACACACACACACACACACACACACACATGTTTTTTACACACACACTTGAAATAAATAAAGTTTTCTTTGTAAATTTTTTTCTTACTCATGTTATTTTTAATATTTCAAAATTGTGTAAATATATATATGTATAATTTGTACATATGTAACTGTATTAAAATGATTCAGATAATCATTGCTATAGTTAATAATTTATAAAAAAAATATATATCTAAGAAATTAATAGAATTATATTAAAATGTTAATATTCTTAAGAGTTATGGCAAATGTAATAGTACTTATATAGTTTGTTTTAAATTTTAATATTAATAAACATTTTGATGCAAACCATACACTTATATAGATAAAGATATATAGACAATTGATACATGACAAAATATAATAGACAAAAATATATATAGTTCAGTAAAATTAGGATTTCATTAGAACATTGAAATAAAAATCTCCACAAAAATTCAGTTTGCTTCGAATTTTTATGAAATCTTGCCCTTTTCAAGTCTAATTTTACTGGATAAATTATATCATAGATTAAAATTGCACTTACCACAATCAAGGAAGATGTCAATATCACTGTCAGCAAAACCCAAGTCTGAAATCCTGGATCCAAAAGGATGAGCTTTTATATTTGGAATATATTTTTGCAGCTCAGTTATCAAATCGCGCAATATGTAATTAATTATCGTTTTATTATAACATATGCTATTGGATTGCATAAGCAATACTTCAGCATTCTGGTTGGCCATAATTAAGAGTTGTATTACTTGTTCTGGCAAATGATCGAGATCAGAACCGTATGTTAGCCTGCGTATGTGTTCAGTTTTCTCAGAATGTCGATCAAACATATCAGAATTTCCAAACCACAAGAGTAGACATGCAGCGCAATAATAGAACTTAAATTTCTCTACATAATCAGGAACTGCAACTAATCGTGTCGTATGATGAGGTACACGCAGATGTTTTGCGAAATAAATCTCCGATGTGCTTTCATAATTACAAAATTCGCAACAATATTTCCTGACGTTGTATACGCTTCGGAATTTATTATGAACGTCTCGCAGTATATTCTTTACCGACGATGTCCAAGACAACTTGAAATTTTGATGCTTGCTACTTAATATATGATCGTGTAAAGATACATCATCATTCTGTACCTCGCTGGAGAAACTCTTGCTATTACATAACAAACATTCAACAATACCATTTTTGCTTCTCATGTATTCTCGTGCCAATCCTAGTTTGCTAAAGAGTCTTCCAGCCTTCAAACATTCCTTATCATCCTCTATCATCTGGGACAATAGTTTTATATGCTTCTTTGATTGAATGTGTCCACAAAGATTTTCCCGGAAATTATTTTGAATTTGAAGAATCTTATCGCACACTAAGCAATAAGTTTCTCTGTCATCGGCACACAGAGAAAAATATATATTGAGAGCAAACGTCTCGATTATGGCATGATTTGCTTCATGGAACTCGTAATCTATATTAGAAAAAATAAGTTTCGGATTTTGCAAACCAGAGACACTTTTGTTATTTGTATCTTCTCTGCTCTTCCTACATTTAACAGTATTAGTATTCAGTGAATTAGCAGCTTTTGATGAAACATTGTTACAATTATTAAATTGCAAAATAGTCTGCTCTTTGTCCTTCAAATTTTCTGTGTTTAGATCAATTTGCTTGCAGTTTTTTTGCCAAAAATTGCTTGCTCTCTTCTTCTTTCTTACGCTAGGAGGATTTTCTGGAATATTTTCTGTCGATGAGCTTTGCAGAGTAGAGATATTTGTTTTATTTACATTGTGTTTTGCAGTACTTAGTAAATCAGCTGTTTTTGATGAAACAGAAACAGTGTCGTTGTCTTTTTTATTATTAAACTGTAAAATGTGAACTTCAGCTACCAAATGATTTATGTCGATTTGTTTATTTCCTAGTTCGTCCTGTTGCAAAAAATTGAATGTCTCTCTATCTTCCCTCCTGCCAGAAGCTTCTCCATTTTCATTTAATAAATTTTTCAGGATATTTATGTCAATTGTATTACCTGCTCTCTTATCCTCCTCGATGCTGGTACTTGATAAATCTGTTGTTTTTGGCAAAATAGAATTATTATTAGCAAGATGTAAATTGCGAGATTTATCAGAATCAATTGTTTCTATACCGATTTGAGTGTTATTCTCTTGCAAAGAAATAGATGTCACGTTTTTCTTTTGCTTTCTCTTCTTCTTTCTCTTGAAAACAATTCCCTGAGTTCTATGTTCCGCTTCATTATTTATTGCGCCGTTTTGATTATTGCGCAAATCTAATGCTGTTAAATTTTGTTCTCTGGATATATTTGGTGAAATTTTACTAAACATAATGTTTGATTGAGTTTTCGGAAACACATAACCTTTATGTTAAATAAACATAAATGTTTCTTTCCAAATATTTTTTTTTCTTTTTTTCGTGATATCCGAAATTATAATAGGTTCTCCTTAATAGGTATTCGTTTTTTGCGAATTTTACCTGTTTTATCAATGTATATATACATATATCAACTTTTTCTTATCCCACACATTTGACAAAAAAATAAAAAAAAGGTTCTACCTGAACGATATATGATATACATGATCCTCCCCGCAAATAAATTTTCGTACACCTGCGCAATAGCGCTGAATAATTAGGCTTGTTTACATGAATATTTTATTTATTATATTTATTTATTTATTTATTATACTTGTTATATTTATTACATTTATTTATTATATTTATTATATAATTTATTGCTTTAAATTTGCAATAACAGATCGGAAGAATTCGTCTGATATAAAAATTAACGAAAAAAATATATATTCTTTAATATACTGATAAATATGGATAGATCATTAAAAATATAAAAAATATAAATATAGATAAATGGATAAATAATGAATAAATAATAAATATAATGTGGATAAATTGAGAATAAGGGGAAGAAAGGCGCGCAAGTGTCCGTTTTTCGAACACACTTGACGCGATCACCTGTGCGTACGGAAGTGACAGCCCAGCTGGTGGTGCTTCTTCGTGCCAACTGTCTTGCTACGTGTCATGTACGCAAATCTCATTTGTACGAGCGAAATTGACGTTCGGTGCGGCATTTCCGGACTTGTTTCTCGTATCTGTTCGCGTTGCGAGTGAAGTACAAGGTACCGGTATCTCGATGCTTCTCGATTAATTCGGCGGGATGAAGAATCGCTTACCACGCAATTTTCAATTATTTATTTCATAAAGTCAAAGTAATATTATAAAACATATGTGTGACAAATGTACACGTTCTCCAATAAAAATACACACTTTATATGTTTGTTTATTGAAATTTTAAAAATCTATGCTCTAATATTTTATAAAATTTTATTTTTTTATTATTTTTTTTAGTTATTATAGATTAGTTAAAAGATTAAAAAACATAATTTTGATATTTACATACATTCTTTTCATTGATTTATTAATATATAATAATATAAGAGGAGAGAAAATGTATATATAACTAAACTTTTATTTTAATACAATTTTATTGTGATTTACAGTGGGAAAAACATGCGGCAGTTAAAGGGAAAGACGAAAGAGACAAACAAACAGAAGAAAGAACGAAAAAAGGAATTTCTGGAGAATAAGCAGAGAGTGTTCACAATTGTATTGCCCACTATAGCTGCAATATTTGTGATAATAGCAGCGTACATTTATGTTAAAACCCGTCCAAAACTGGTTGAATACTAGTGATACATGCATATTTGTCATTCATTTATTAAAAACAAGATATGTGCTATATTTGAACAATGCATTATAACAATGCTATATTTGGATAATTTCTCATTACATTTTTATGGATCTATAAAAGTTTTTCTAAAAAGAGGCACATTCCACTGTTCTCTTTAAATCTTATACCTAAATCATATTGGAAACAAGATATGTTTTGCAAATATCAATTTGATTTGATAAGGAGATTTATAAAGCTGAGAATATTACATAATATTAAGATGTAATTATGGAATAAGGTATAAGAGGGGCAATATTTTTTACAAAAGTATTATATGAGAAGAATTAGTTAATTTATACATTGCATTTTTCTAATAAATAATAAAATTGATTAACGTCGAATAATATAAGTTCTTTATATTAATTTATGTCTTCCTTAATTCTTTCATGTGCATGTTTTTTAAATATAATGTTAGATGAAAAAGTATATATAAGTATAATATTATATATTTCAATTTATAATATATATTTTGTTAATTAGTTTATCTCTTATATGTAAGAAAAACCAAGAAAAGTCCATATCTATCAAATATAAATTCTAATGTTAAATTAAATTGGGGGGACATTATAGTCTGTAAAGCATTTAAATAATGAATATGGGTCCAATGTGCAGTATAAAAATATATTTATTATATATAAATTTTGTCGCCTTATATACATTTTTACCTCTCTTCCAATTTAACAATTATTTTGTGCATTATATATTCTGTCACTTGCTGTGATAGAATATATAACGTAATACAAATATTTTTTCTGTGTATACTGTTTCAATTGAGTAAAATTAAAAAATTTAATAAATTTTCGAACTTAAATGTAATTTACATATTGATGCTTCAGTGAAAGAATAAAAATCTAATATTTTATTATATATATATATATATATATATATATATATATGTATATACATTAATTTCAGTAATGAGAGAAAAAAGTAGATTTTTTTTATATTATAATTTGAAAGAATCTTATTTATAAAAAAACATAAATCTCTAATACAAAGATTAGTTTTATTTATAATCTTTGAAAAAAAAAAAAATATTCAATATTTTTTTCAATTTAATTACTCTTTGCTCGTCTTCTTTCATTAACAATAATGTATAAATAATTTTTCACTGTTTCAAATTATATTTCTATAAATATATATTTGTTAATTAAGAGAAGAAACAGAAATAAAAAAAATGAAAGAAAAACTTTAGAGGAGGTTTATCTTTTTTTTCGAATATATATCCTTATCGTAAATATTTAATAAAGTTCTTTATTTTCAGTTATATTTCAATTTAATTAATATTCATATTAAAATTTTATAAGTTTTTTGAATTATATATACAAAATAATATAAAGAAGAGAGGAAAAAAATTGCCTAATGCCAGTGTCAAGTGTCAACTTAGGCACGTGGAACGTGAATTGTGACCAATGAAAAGCTAACACGTCTTTACGCCCCTATTGGGGCTGTGATTGGAGGCTGTCGTCGTGCCTGTATCGCTTTTTCGCTCAAATTTTCTTTGTTCAATTATTGTCAAGAAACACGGTCATGATGGATTATTCGATGCGTCTGCTTCTTTCAAGTTTCGCAGTACTTTCATTTTATATAAGTTGCATTCAAGGTACTCTTCATGTTTTTATTTATAAGGATCTAATTATCAATAAGTCTACTTATGGGTTATGTTATTACTTATCATCTCTGTATCTGTTATCTAATTATATTTCAATTTTTTATCACCGATTTGTTTTTTGATGTATTTTTATACAATTGATCGTATATTTGTTATAATTAAAAATATATTCAATTGTATATAAATATCTTTAATATGTAAAATTGAATAGGTTAATATTTGACATAACATATATAAAATGTGAAATGTTAATTTGTGTATGTAATTTTTATTTACATATGCTAATTTTATTAAAATATTGTATAGGTAGAGGAACACAACATGTAACTTGTGGGTCTGTAGTGAAACTAGTGAATGTAGACTATAATGTCAGGCTACATTCCCACGAAATCAAATATGGAAGTGGCAGTGGACAGCAATCAGTAACAGGTACAAATGTCAAAGAAGATGGTAATTCTTATTGGCTTGTTAAAGCGGAATCAGGAAAACAATGCATACGAGGGTAAGACATAATTTATAGTTACAATTTTTTGCCAATTTATGTGTATATGTATATATGATGTATGATATATGAGCAAATTTATGGAAATTTTGTTAGGAAACCAATCAGATGTGGAGAAATTATTAGATTGGAACACACTACAACAAAGAAAAATCTTCATTCACATCTCGTTAGTTCACCCTTGAGTGGAAAACAGGAAGTATCAGCATACGGAGATCACAGAGGAGAGGGTGATACTGGCGATAACTGGATGTTAATGTGCAATAATGATTTTTGGGAGAGAGATGATACAATTAAATTGAAGCATATTGACACTGAAACGTAAGTATACACTATGAATTTAAATCCAAATTAAAAAAATACTAAATCTGCGGAGCAATTATGTACATTACATATTTATTGTTGTTTCTCATAGTGAGACTAAATGGCACAGAGCTTTAATTTTTTAAATGTTATATATTTAGATATTTAGCTGTCAGTGGCAGAGCTTATAGTTCTCCAATAAATGGACAACTCGAAGTGATGAGTGAATATTCTCCAAATAGTGCTCACATACAATGGATGACAATGGAAGGATTATTTATTCATCCCAATGACTTCAAGGCACAGCATCATCGACACACGGAATTATAAAGGCAATTTTTCTATAATAATTTTTTTAGTAGTCTATAAGAAAATGCATAAATAAATTGGGTAAAATGTTGTAATTTATATTATCCTATTGAGAAAATCATTATTCAATTATTAGTTATTTTCATATTGATATTTTTTTGAGACTTTAACTGAGTTTAATCCCTTATAAAATTACACTTTCAAGAATTTCATAAAATTAGCTTATTTAAAAAAAGACGGAATTTGCACATAATTATTTAAAATTCACGAAGCAATATAATAATTATATAAAAAGTTAAAAATGTATTCCCAGCCTCTGTTATCACATTTTTATTATTGCAGCAATTTTATCAATTTTGTCATTTTGAGACAGTGTCATTTATTTCTTAATAGAGATTAGATTACATGTATTTAATAATTTAATTCATATTACGATTTAGTACAAACAATTCTCTTTTTTGAAACCTTCCGTCAATCGCATTAAGGAGCGCTATTTGTGTTCTATTATGTGTAAGAATGCGTTGTATATATTATTATTATATTTATTACAATACAAGTACATAATAAAAAAAATATGTGTAGACTTAATCTCCATCCATTGTCTATCTGACTAGTTTCATACTTCCTTTAATTCATATTTGCCATTAATATCTCTTGTGCCTATGAGACCATTATATGGAAAAATAATATTTGATAGGCCATAGTTTCCAAAGATTTCCTTTAGATTCTGCTTTCCTGTTACGTTCACGTAACGTTGCTTGCCAGTTAAACAACTGTGCAGTTTCCAAATGCCAAGCACTAAACAAATACATAAAATCGACATTAATATGTCGAATATCGTGACTAGAAGTATACTCGAACTGTCTTTGGAGTGCAGCAGTCTTGCCAGGGCAATGGGGAAGCAAAAGTTGAGGAATATGTTGAAGTAATCCGCGTCGCTCTTCACTATGTGATTAATGTTCTCGTACATGTATGGTCCCAGTACAGATAGGGAATATAAACATGTCAATGAAGTGTAAAAGCAAAATAATATGAAATTGCCCATATTCTGGCGCAGTACACAAGCACCTAGGAAGAAGCAGTGATGATCCTTGAAGTGAAAACATTTGTGGCAGAAGGTGCAATGCTGAGTAGGCTTGCACATGTAACTCTGACATCTCTCGCAATGCCAGAATCTGTAGGCTGTATTGTGAGCCGGTGGCTGCTGCACATTAGGCAGTGGTTGTTCAAATTTACGCTGTTGGATAATCACACTATACAAGTTATCTTGTACCTCTTTAACTTTCATTGGATTTGATTTGTAACTGATGCTATATATAGAGTACCAATTCAGGTACACTTGTATACAAAGAAAGACAAAGATTGGAGAGATCTTTTGATTGATATAGATTGTAATCACAATAACAAATATAGTGCATATTAACGTCACTAACGGACATAATGTTTTACCAATCTTCATACAAGTTTTTATATACTGAATCTGAGACATTGTCTCACAGTGAATATGTAAATCTCTATATTTAGAATACACATAAATCTAATTTTTACACGTACACATGATACATAAATCCGATTTTTAGATGTAATGTATGAGTTTGTCTATTTTATAAGAAAACTTCTATGAAATATTATATATACATTTTTTTTTAATTTATCAGACATATATTCTCTTGATTCTTATCCTGATTTATTTTGTGCTGAAAGAAAATAAATAAATTATTATACAATTCAGCATAAATTATTATTATCAATAAATATTATATTATTATTTCTTAACTTTATAAAATTGATTTATATTTACTAACCTTGATTATAACCTCAATGATTCTATTTTACAAGTTTTACTAACTTTAGTCAACTTGATATGTCGAAACTTCTTCAAAATAATCATAATAACTTATAATTTATCAACTAGATGATCATGATTCAATTTCCTTTAAATTATTATTGCGTATTCTCATAGTAGTAGTGCATGCCAGGCATATGTTCACTGTTATCACACTATAAAGCATATTGTGTGTGTATATATATATATATATATGTGTGTGTGGTACATACATTGATATTAAAAATGATTTAGCATTAGTTAATATTATAATTAGGATATAAATATTAATAATTAGAATATTCAGAAAATACTCTTACAAATAAAAATGATAAAAACTAGATTTTACAGAGAATAAAATAAAATAGATTACAGGATTGAATAAGATGATCTGATTGATAATTGAACAGTTGTATAACAGTTATATGCTATTTATTCTCACTATAAAAACACGGGTATACTTTACAATTATAGTTATGCATTACTATAAATGAATTGCATTACAAAAAAAAAGATAACAGATCTATATTAAAAATATAAGATAAATCATGATTTAAAATATAGAACTTATAATTATTATGTATAAATATAAGCTAATATTAAAAACTACTCAGCAAAAAATACATGATGAACTTTTTTCTAAACAAATAGTGGAATAATTAAAAGCATTATATAAATTTGCATAAAACATATAGTCAATAAAAGATTGATTTTTGAATTTGCTCACAGTTATTAATTACCAGATATTAATTTGAGGTATAATACATTCTTCTCCTTTTCTTCCTCTTTTTTCTTTCATCTGGTACATAATTTTTTCTATTAATAAACTTTTATACATATTATACACGCATGTAAAATTATAAATATGTATAATAATTATGCTTGCACTTTTTTATATATTTGAGTAAACAATGTTAAATAATCGAATGTATCACTCTTATACGAGAATATCTTTAAAGCAGTCTCTACTAATAAAAATGTGACAACAAATAAAACAAATTGTTCACAAAAAAAAAAAAAAAAACAACAATGTAACAATAAAATTGAAATAAAGAAATAAGGAAATATAATTAAATGATAATGCTACTTTACATTGCAATTTTTTGCAGTATTTTAATTGTGTATATATATATATATATATATATATATATATATATATATATATATAGATTAATTTTCGAAAGTTAATTATTTTAAAACTCTAGAATCTTGAGTTGTGCATATCTAAAATCACGCACACATGTACTATTTTGTACTTTTCTTAATAACAAAAGAACAAAGAGAAACAAGTACATGTGTGTGTTTGTGACAGAAAATATAGATTATAAATAGATTTCTGTAACGAAATAATTCGTTCTATATAAATTGTGTAAACCTATATAAATATGTTTTATATTCTGATTTGCGAAAAATTTACCAAAATATATTGCGATAATAATATAATTCGAATTTTTCAACAATGGAAATTGTAAAAAATATGTTTCTAGGACCCTTGTTCTCTCGTGATATATTCTACAGCGCAATCATATCAACTCACGATGCGCGTACATATGCTCAATCGCAATGATAAATTATCATTGCTTTTAGTGAAGGATTTATTATATATTTTATCTATAAATCCTGATTCTGTGTTATCACTTATATAATTGCTAGAGACTAGTTTAACAATACTCTTGTATAAGAGTAGTATGCTTCACCGTAGTTCTCCAATCGGCGCATTTTGAGACCATAACTCATCTATAAATCTATATAAAGTATCACTGACAGCAACCTGTAACAAATATCAAGAAAAGAATATATGAATAATCTCCTGTAAACTTTCAAAATTTTCCAATAAATAATACGAATCCTAATTTATAATAATACATATACAATTGAAAATAATTTTAAAATATTATAGGAGAAAAATAATTGTTTGTTGTATAATTGTATACATTGTTGGACTTCTTTGTTTCAAACAATTTTAAATCTGGTTCAATTGCAAAAAATATCCTTTATTTAATAATTTGTCTATAGAAAATAACTACCAAAATATCAAATATTTATTCTTACCTTATATGGTGTTGGATTCAAGTTCCTTTTATGATCATTACGCAACGTATTGAGAGATTCTTGTACTCTGTTGCGAATTCCTTGTAATGCTGGTAATGGTTGACATAGTTTGCCATCTTTCCAGTATATCTGTGTATACATTTTTACTTATATTACAAATTATGTAAATATTATTACTATGTATGTTGATAACACCAATAATATACATATAAAGCTATTTATAAAATAACATTTCTACTATGTATCTCATATTGCCATTAATTTAAAAAAGCCAGAGAAATAAACATTATTCCAGAATTTCAAATTAATCACAGAATGCAAATACAGTGCATAGTATTTCTTGATATATTCATAATATAGTATTATACAGGGTGTCCCATAATTCGCGAACCATCGCGAATGGGCAGATAGAGCGTATTAAACTGAATAGAAAAGTCCTGTATCATTTTGCGATATTCGCAATAATTATTGAGTTATTTATTAAAATATCTAAACGAATAAGCAGGTAGAAAGCATTATTTGATCGAGAGGCGTCATGCAGCGAGCAGCGACCAATGTAATGGCGCCGAAAAGTAAGATGATACTTTTGATACTAAGCGGCATATAACAAATAAGTCATCCGACATGCACACCAAGTCCGGCCTACCGCTTTCTACCCGCTCATTCGTTTAGATATTTTAGTTAATAACTCAATAATTATTGCGAATATCGCAAAATGATACAGGACTTTTCTATTCAGTTTAACACGCTCTATCTGCCCATTCGCGGTGGTTCGCGAATTATGGGACACCCTGTATAATATTATTTAAAAATCTATTCTTTTAATTAAATTATACCTTGTGCAAAGGTTCTACTCGGGACGGCGTAACGTTAGCCCTTTTCGTTTGTTGAAATGGATGCCTGCAAAGAACCTTTTGCATTTCCTGCGGTGGCTCTTCTGTCGTTTTTTGTAAGAGATCTATCAATGCATAACCGTCAGAGCCGTATAATCTATAAGCGTCCTTCCTGCCTGGTATCGTGACTTTCCCGACCTCTTGACTGAGTTTGATCCTCGGCTCGTCGTTGATCTCTACCATTTTATAAACGCAGCCCAGCGCTGGTTGTCTCTGACACGTAACGAGATGCGTTCCGATACCAAAACAATCGATTTTGTGGCTCTAAAAAAACAATATTCATATCTCCATGTTATATTTAATCTACGTTAGTACATTCGCGATTCGCAAATCTACTCGCACCTTTACCTGCTCGTTTAAGCTTATGATAGTCTCTTCGTTGATATCGTTCGATGCACAAATCATCAGTTTTGCGAACCAAGGTATATTATACTTGACGGCAATTTTCTCGAAGATGTCCCTCGCTACGTTACTGAGATACGCCAGGTCGCCGCTGTCGATCCGAATCCCGACGGCTCTGTATCCCAAGTCGTTCAGAGCTAGTGCTACCGCGCAGAAGTTTAACAGTCCGCTCCTATTTGTAAAATATGTATCCATGAAACGTCACTGTGATAAGCTCTATTTGATGATTAAATGTGTTGAAAATAAATCATCTAATCATGCACATTACATACTTTGTGTATATTATAATATAATACATTTATTATTATTAACGCTAAATTTAATGTGTATTATATAAAAGTATAGTCTTGTTTCTCTTTGCTTGTTTAATATTAAAAGATTTGAAAAGTATATGTTTATATATAAAAGATATATATACTTTCTTTTTTTTAAACTTAAAAAAAGTTCTTTTACCATACATACTTGTTCAAGACAATTAAAAAATAAATTTGTTGGATTTTTTTATCGTATTATCTTTATATTTTTCACAATATCAGATTCACTTTTTTAGAATCAATTTAGCATTAAAACAGGAAATATCTCGTACATGAAAGATTAATAAAATAGCTAGAAGACTACCTAAATGTGCATATTTATTATTAATTAATATAAATAAGACAGTAAATGTTTTAATCAATTATTGTTCTCAATATCTTTAAAAATATTGTAAAAAGATTTACAATATTTTAACAAACGTACGCAAGTATAGCCAATTGAGATTATATGTATGAAAAAAAGAGATTAGAGTCAAAATTTTATTCACTTTCAAATCATAAATTTGATTTGAAAAAACTTGTCTTTTGTAGTATATTTCTTTTTATATAGGATCTTGTTAGAATTAAAATTTTCTGAAATTTGTTCGAATAAGAGTCAAAATACATCAGAATTCGTGTAACATTCGTGTAATGAAATGTCCATTATTGAGAGAATAAAGGGCAGAATTGGGAGGGGCACTATATAAGATCACAAATGTGTAAAAATTAACAACTAAATTGTAATGAAAAATGAAATTCTTATAGTTTTACTTCTAACTGGCATATTATGAAAGTAACATGATGTGATAATATAAACAGTTTGCAATTTGCCTGTTTTACAGAATAAATTTTTCTAAAAGAAAACAGTAGAGAATTAAATATTGTTTCAATCTATTAAAGAATTCAAAAAGCTTAAATAAAAAAAGAAAGAGTAGAGAGAAAGAAAGAGAAGAGTTGATTTATGAAAGTATATAAAAATTAGCTTTCTCTGTATGCTATGTAAAAAAATGAGATTTAAATCTTTCTAAAGCATATATCAGAAGAAGTGTTAATAAGTTTTGGTATTACAAAAAATAACGTATCGCTCATGAAGCGTAAACTTGACTTGAGACTCGAGGCAAGAAAAAAAGAAATCTGCATTTTGCAAAACAGGCAAATGGAGCAATATCGTACCTCACATAGAGCTCACCCAATTCGCCTCGTCTTAAAAAGCCATTCTTGTGAAGTTGCGTAGTTGACTCTGATATAAATGGGTTGTTTCTCACACTGTTTTGTGCGTGTGTATTGGACCCATTAGTTAGAAGTTTATTCTTTACATTTAGGCTGGCTACTTGTGCCTGCCCCTTGGCCGACGCCTCAACGCTATAAACACACTCCTATTAGGCTACCGTGTGTACATGTGTGTTGTTATAGCTGTTCGCGACGCGCTGGCAAAAATTAAATTACATAGCCGCCAACGAGATCAAATTACGAGAAAATATATTTCCGTCTTATTAAAATATGGATTTACTTTAAGGGTACGCCAATTATTTTTTATTTATCTATCTGGGAAATGAGTAATGAGATAAAACTAAGAGAGACTTTGTACAGTCGCAATATGTAGTTGAGCTTTGAACTCACAATGAAACATATATTGACATATAAGCATAGATAACATATATTATCTATGTAAGTAACCGTTGCATATGTGTGCAAGAACTATCACACATATAAAATATATAAACTATATTTTAACATACATACATATCAACAGCAATTAATACATTTATGTGATGCATATGTAATTTTAACTTTGCAATTTACATATTTTTTTAAATCCCCAATTTTGAATTAAATAGATCAATTGTAAACTTATTAAAGAATTAAAGAATTTATCCTTGAAATATATATTATAAATTTGTGCATTTTTATGTGTAATTTTAATATTTTATATAATCAATAAATTTTAGGCGTACTGTTACACACTAGTAATACTAGTCAATGTGACAAAAACGTAACGCCAAAATTATAAAATAAAAAAATAATATAAAGTATATAAATATAAAACAAAAGCAAAATAAGATCTTGTATATAATAATAATCACAAAAGCATAGTGTATATTATGAGATAATATACTATAATAAACACTAATATAAAAATAAATAGTTCATGCAAAAGAATATAAAAGAAGCTACGAAGTTGATACGTTTTACATACATAAAAAACAATATAATTAAACAATATTTTATAAATTTTAAACAAATAACGAGTTGTTCTATTTCAATAAAAAGCACTATAAATAAATGATTAACGCAAGTATACGTACCTTTTAACATCATACGTGTCCACGAGTGCAGTAAATCTTTCCGGGAAAGCGACGGCGTAACTGATCAAAGCCGCCAATTCTCCACCAGATGCCTGTGAGGCTAAAGCCCCTAAATCCTCGGCTATAGCTTCACGATGCTTGCAGGCGAGCTCCAGTAGATCTAGAATGTCACCCGTTTGCTTGTGTGCCAATGTCTATAAGAGAAATAATTTTTCTTTTTGCTATATTTGTCGAAAAATTTGTCAACAATTTGTTTTAATCGATAACCAGATTTCTTATCAAATATGCTTACTTTTCCATGTAGATCATCCATGCTGGTGAAGGATGTTATGTATGCATGTGCATGCGTACCACATACAGGTATATTGAACAATTTTCCAGCCAAAACGTTACTAGTACCATCAAATCCACCTGTAACGCACACAAAAATTTAATTTAATTTATATATGTATGCAAATATATGACTATTTTATCTAGATCTATTATTCATATACATATATATATATATATATATATATATGTATGTGTGTGTGTGTGTATATATGATGTGTGTGTGTATTTGTATAAAACTCATATACACATTTAACTTGACCTCCTAAACTGTTACTCATCACCTAGGCAGTACCAACTGGTACTGAGTGGAACAATGTATTGATTTCACTTTTCATGAAATTGTTAAGTATAGTGTACGAGTGTGTGGCAGAGTGGTACCAGACACCTCCATCATTCATTATATAGTGCTGGCAATTAAATTGCAACTTTATATATGTATATATGTACAATATTTAAACCAGCCAAATTATAATTATAAATAACTATATGGTAATTATAAATATAATATATAAATAGTCAATATAAAAACAATTACTTTTCAGAGCATTTAAAATCTTTTGATTTTTATAATTTTGAAATATGTTATATGTGCCAAGGAATGCTAAAACTGAGCTGTGAAGAAATTGCACTGAATACTTTAACAATTTAGAAATATAATTGTGATTTTTTAATGAAAAATATATCTTGCGAAAATATTGCAAATTTTGCAAAGTGTTCAGTAAATTAAAATCGAACTGAATTAAATAAATTAAAATAGAAATCTTAGAATTTTTTAACATATTTCAAAATGATGAATATTTTATGACAAACTATTTCAAGAGTTCCGAAAAGTAATTTGTATAACTACAAAGAAAGTGTAGATAAGGTATTTACCAACATAGCTGTATTTAGATGCGCTCAATCCTCCATCGGGTCCCTGCGCTCTTCGGAGACCAAATTCTAGTAATGTTATATTTTTTCCAGCTACCATGCGATACCTCGCCGCATTAGTCGCCATTAAACTTGCATAATTCACCAACGTTAATAAAGTTGTTTCAAGAAGCTGCACCATTATCAATGGTCCTTCAACTCTTATTAATGGAACTCTATAAACATTTAAATCATGTTAGATTTGAAAATTTTAATCTGTTCAATCAATTTATAGAAAAGCGGAAGTAAAACTTATTTGCTAAGAAAAATATAATTAAAAATATTCTTTTAGTTATTATTTTTACAAATTCAACTAAATTTAAAACTAATTTGTTATGATACTCTACTTTGCTGAGATATCACAATTTTTATGAATAATATAACAGATACGATCTTCGTTTAAACTCACCTTGGAAATACAACAGAGCCTTCATCTATAGCATATATTGTGACATCTTTTGCAGTAAGACTTTGTAAATAATCGAAGAATCTTTGATCTACTGTAGCAGGCATAGTTGATTTCAGGTACTTGATATCTGTAATATAAAATTATTTAATGTAATTCACAGAAAAATAGAATACACAACAACTAAAGTTTACGAATACATACCACTGGAGGAATAATGAAATTTATTCAAGAATTTTATGCACTCCTCAAGACCAGCAAAGATTGTAAATTCCCCCTGGAAAGGATTTTTGCGAAAGAACAAATCAAACACAGCATGATCATTCATTTTGCCACTCTTCCAATAAGCATATGCCATGGTAATCTGATACAAATCTGAAAAAATATTCTTTTTATTTTTCCTCCCTGTAATTTCTTCTTCAAATATAAAAATAAATATAAAAAATATAAACTTAAATATAAAAGCGACTAAAACATTTAATGATTTTAGCTATTCAAAAGAACTTATATAAAACAAACTGTGACTTATTACTAATAAGATTTTCCTATCAATAAAAAAATTACTAATAAAAAAGTCGTACAAGAAATAATGACTTGAAAAATTTAGATCACACGTTTGATATTTTTATGACAATTTACATATTACAGACTGCGTAATATATACATTGCATTTTTTGCTGGCAGAAAAAGTTGCACAATCATTTTCTATTAGAAATTATATGTGCAGTAAAAATAGTAAATAAAATATGCACTTGTAAAGGAGTTATAAGGAATTTTATGTCGCATGTTAAGTAGTCTTACAAGTAGTCATTGATAAATGGATCTTTGTAAGATATGCCAATATCTTTCTCTCTCTCTCTCTCTTGTTGAAATGCGCGGGACTGACATCATCGTGACGATCAGTCATATTTACAAACATAATTCCTCTTACATCACGCATTCGGGCAAGGATGCATAAGTGCTCTTTCCGGTGTCGCGGTCATAAATAAATTAACCTAATTTCGCGTATGCAGACTTATCGCGAACATTGTTTAGATTTTTCGACTCGCTTCACGAAGAGATCACGTTTTCTACGACCTCGTGTATTATCTCCAAATCCATCAAAGATACGCAAACATGTTTACGAAATTATTCTCCGTGCATTGAATGAAACATGCCGATTTCTAATTCATATTTGAAAACAAATTTCCATTCTTTTCTTACGGTTTTTATCGCTTTTACTTAAAATAATTTTTAATCTTCAGAAAATATGCAGTGAACCAACGTTGAAGTTAGCTCGACGCGTACGACGCTGTCAACGAGTTCCTGGGCAAAGGGGGGTCTTGCGATGTCTCTGTACCTGTCAGCAGCGGCTGAACGACGCCGTTCTGCCGCGAATTGCAACACGTCGTCCCGCCGTCGTCGTCCGCTGACATTTTGCGGGGCCGCTTCGCGTGCGTGTTTTGCTCCGGAAAAAAGACAGCTCCCTTGACGTCTCTCTCCGTTCCCTCTGGGTTCCCCGACTCGGTTGCACTCTTCACTCGCCGCACTTTCTGCATCAAAAAACGAGACAGATATATATATATATATATATATATATACATACGTTACATGTCGTAACTCGTCCTGTCGCGCGCATATAACCTCTAAAAATTGATCTCTACATTGAAATCAAAGATGACACATAATTATCGAGACATTAATTTACAAAACTTCCTGCCAGTTTAAGTTAAGCGTCTCGTTATCGATGTAAAATTTTCCTTCCCCGATTCTCACGTAAAAATCATGAAAACTCGCTCGACCCGATGTAGGTCAATTAGGTGCAACTCGCGCGTTCGGTGAAAGCGGAGAGAAAAAAAGGACACGAGAAAGTGCAAGAAGTATTGAAAACAAATATAAATAAATAAATGAAAAAGGAGTCGATCTAACTCCAACTCGGACAAACCTCGCTACCGATCCGGCGAAGATCGCACCGTCACCATCAACGATGCACGACGTGATGGCAACTAACATGCTTCGGCGTGAGCCGCGATGTAATATATGTCCTACGGGCGCGCGGGAATCGATAGGGAACGTTTGAAGGACGTTTGACGCGCGGCCTGTCACACCGCGCCGGAGCCCGCCAATCGCCACGTCGCCCGCGTAGAAAATCACTAGACGCCCGAGACGAAGCGCAAGCTTAGATCCCTTATCTATTTTCCCGCGCGCGAGTATATAGTTAATGCTCGACGAGATTAGGAGGAGGCGAAGCATCGATTTCGCACACGCGAATCGCTTGCTTTTTTTATCCTTTTATTCGGAGAAGGAAAGAAAATATAGACAAATGTGTAAGTATAAATCATTCACACGGAATAATATGAGAATCTATAATTTTTTTGCTCATTTTCTATTGTTTTTTTTTCAGTGTAATTTTTTGAAAGATGGATGAAAATTTCGAAGAGCGGTATAATTTTTAATTCATGATGATTGCAAGAGGAAAGATCGCACTTATAAGAGAGAAGAATAATGTTTTATAAATTATTTGCCTGACACAGATAAAGAATGAAAAATTCATTCGAGAAAATGTGTTTACATCAGGTTTTTATATCTTTTTCCTTTCAAAGCTCACATATATATATATACATATATAGGACACACACTCATCTATTTGATTTTATCTTTGATAAATATGCAAAACTATATTTTTAAATATTCAAATTAATTTATGCAATGATAATAGATTAGAGACATTTAAATGGACGATAATTATATATGTTACAACGCATAATGACAAAAAATGCTTACATGCGTGTGTATATAATTTCCATGTTTTCCTCAAATGCATATCTATCAAAATTACTTTAATTGTTCTTTTAATCACTGTTATTAAAATTGAAGAAAATTTATATATTCTAACGTTTTGATTACGAATTTTTTACTAAAAAATACAGAAAAAATTAAAATTATCGCGTTTACTATATTTTATTTATATTATTTTCTAATTATATTATATTAAAATTTCCTTCAAATTAGAAGAATACAATTACGTCAGAGAAAGATTGATTGAAATATCGAATATATGCATATAGAATGTCTTTATAAAAAAACTCGCGATTTATATAATCAATTTTTTTAATAGGGCATTCTAATCGTAATTAAAAATTAGATTTAGACACGTGGACTATCTAATAAATTCCCTCTATTTCATATGTACGAGTATATATATATATATAGATGTATAAAATCGTTAATTTCGCGATGCCTCCTATAAATACCGCGCTCTTCTCCAATAAAGATCGAATTACGTCAATCCGAAAATCGTGGTAAGGGAAGTGGAATAATATGTGCGCACGCTTAATAATGGCAATTAGACAGTTCGATTAAACATATTGTATCGTTAGGGGCAACAACGTTTTGTTGATGAACCGACCTTGCGATCGACGTCGTGCATTGCAGCAATATCTCATCGTCTGTCTTAAGGAGAATAAAAAAAAAGCTTTCCTACCTCGGTCGAAGTTCGTCTGCAGAAAGTAAAAGATAATTGCTGCATATAACGCGAAATTTTACTTGACGAATCATCTCGTTCTCACAACGGGAAGTCGGGGGGCCTCGAGACTTACTGACACTGACATAATAAATGTTTTCGTAATATATCGCAATGTTGATAATTGCAGTATTTACATTATAAACGAGTTTATACTTTACTCGTTATAAATATTAATCAAAAGTGTTTTATTTTTATTTCATCAGAATTATATATGGATTAGAGAATATCTACGAATCTTTCTCCGCAGTGTTTTTTTTTATTTTGTTTCACGAAAAGCTCCCTACTTTGATATTATATATATTTGATAATTAAATCATTTCAGTCATTTCCTCATAAATTCATAGAATTCTAATTTAAAAATTCTTTACAGTTTTATCTCATATATATAAGTATGATATTTATTCTTCTTCTATTATTAGAGAATTAATTTAGCGATTTTTGTCCAGCAATTCTCTAAATAAATTTTCTTTCTATGTATGATGATTACAGTGAATTTTAAAAACGATTACAAAATTATTTTACGCGACTTACATTATCATCATTTGTATTTTTAGTTGTTTGCTGCATCGTTGAATACTGATAAGTTTTTAGATGATGATACAATTATTATATCTTATCAGTCGTGTGCGTAACACGACACGACTTTTCTATCTATCAGATGAATTTCTCAGAGTTGAATCATTTGAAACTTTGATTATTAGGTCCATTTGCGTATTACGCATTCGAGACTATATATATACATCTTTATCGAGTTCGCCGATATAATGCAAAAGTAATATAATTGAATGATATTTTAATTGTTGATATGCGATATCAGCATTTGGACCATTGAACTTGTAATTCGATCTACAATTTAGTTTCGGTTTTTAATTTTTTTGTGGAACACAAATCAATGAACTCTTCTTCTGAGTCCAAAGGGCAATAATTTCTCGCTATTTGTGTTATAATAATTTCTTCTTATTAGAGAGAAGAATAATCGAATATTTAAAATATGCGCGTAGAGGTTTAAATTGATAAATAAAAAATATATTAACACAATATAAAATTTTAAAAAATTATAATAAAGTTAATATGAATTTTTTAATATTATTATTTGTGATGATTGTTGAAGAAATGTGTCTGTGTACTCTATAGAAATTGAAACAGACAATATCTGCCTGTAATAATTTATACCCGCAATGCGCATATATTTTGCACGTATATAAACACACATATATGTCAATTTTCTTGACGGAATTATTTACTGGTAACCAGTAGTAACTCCGCAGCGAGTAGAGGAAGGATTCCAAATTTATCGCGATCAATATTTCTTAATGTTACTATGTATAATTCCACGTGTCAAAAAATATATTAATGACGCATAATACGTTATATCTTATTTGTTCTTCATAGAAATTCCATTGCACAAAAATTATGACCATATATAATTCTATTGTCACGACTTCTATATAAATTAAATTTTCTTGTAAATGATACAGATATTTTGTTTTCTTTTTATATAATTTTTCATAAGTAAAAGAAAATCTATTAAATAATATACTTGTGACTTTTGTAATTAAACATCACTTGTTAATAATAATTAAAATAAATCAATAGTTAATGTGTTATATATCATTAGTTCTGCGCGTTATTGATATTCGATTGTTCATTATGTAATTAAGCATCATAAGAAACAAAATAAATTTCTGAAATATATATATTGCGGCAATCCGGAAAATGCTACACTAATAAATCAGGTGTATTCAAATATATGACTAAGTATCTGAGATTATAATCGCGTGTAAATAAAACACTTATTCTAGAATCCTAGAAAAAAGTATATTAATTTTTCCTTAAACGATCATTAATACTAATAGTCATGTTGTTTCTTATCAATTTAAAGCGTAGTAGACTGGAGCAAACTGAAATGGTTGCGTATATCTCTGTATCTATATGTATGTCACGTGGAAATATAAACTTTATATGTATATCTTGAGCCCGATATAGATTCTTGTTAATCTTTGCCAAGTTTGAAGTAATATCATGTAATATGCGGAAATTTACTTGTTATGTTAAACTTAATTGCTCATTCCATCTTGTCGCGATTTTCCGGCTATCATTCCCGAAATTTAATAAATATCCGTGATATCATTTAATATCAATCATTTTAAGTTAAAAATGGAAATTACAATTATCATATATCTATAAATTTGCATATTTGTTGCAAATTAGAATATTTACAAACTTGAAATTTTGAAAAAATAAAATGTATAAATAGAAATATATAATATATATATCTTAATTCAACATAATTAACTCTATTTGGAAATTTACAATATTCATTCATTAGAAGATTTTATAGATGAATAAATTTAAAGAAACAATAAGTGAGATAAGCTGGAATGGAAAAGCAAGTTATCTTAAAGGATATATGAAGCATTTACTCTGATAAGATTTTAACGTCTATCTGCTTGAAGTAAAACGATAAATATTGTAAAGCTTATAAGAACAAAATTTTTCTGAGATATGTCCATAGCTACAATACGTTTCATATATGTTACTTATTTATGCACGCGTCGATAAAATATCATAAAATTTTTACTTCATCTCAGATCAATGACACGTTGTTTGAAATCGCTTTTATTCGTAATTACATAGTCGTCGTTTTAATTATCGATAATACACGTATTAATTTTGAAGAGACACGTGCGTCTTTCTTTTCGTGCGAATGTGAATGCAATTCGACTCATTGTTTTATACAACGAATTTATTTATATATATATATTTATATATATATGTCACAGATGGTGTGTATTCCGTTCGCTAACTAACTCTACAAAATGTTCCTTCAGTATTTGTCTGCTGCTGAATACACTACTTTAATTTTTTTGCATTACAACTGGCACTTCTGAAGTATTGTTAATCACTAGTCCCGATTACTAGGGCTTTGGTGTGTCTTGGCGCTTTAGAAAAATACTCAATTTTTGATTCTCTAAGATCTAAGATGCAAGTATGATGACGATTGAGCCGCGAGCATTAGATCACCTCGGATACTCTCCTTTTATCAAAAATTGATTATTTTTGTATACATATACATATTTATTGTTGCCTATTTCTATAAGTATGTATATATAACATACGTCGGCAAGCATCCAGAAAAACGTAATCGCAAAATACACGCTTGAATCTCTATGAGCTAATAATGCTGCATTAATAATGTGATTACACGTGTCTTTTTTTCTTCATTTCTGCGATATATAGTACACTACTTATTACTGTTTATGTGTGTGTATGCGTGTGTACTGTTGTATGTGTATTTCTTTCTTGGGCATATGTATACTCTTTATTTCTGCCTTCTGCGGTGTTTCAGCATGTGTGCGGATGTTTACATTATACGGAAGCACGGACTATTATCTACGTTACACGAACTAATAATTAACTTAATTATGCCTCCCTATAAAACTACTCAGACTTCTGTTTAACATTTATCTTATATATCTTGCTTATAAGAATAACGTCACGATCGTATTTGTATAATATCGACTATGGCTTCTACGTCTTGCTTATCGATAATTAATACTGCGACGACTAGATTTGTTTCATATGACTGAAACGTTGGGTCTTGTGTGTTGATCCTTAAAATTACTACCTAATTTGACACATAATTTTCGTATACAGTCTTAATATTTATGATGATGTTCGTATTGTGCTAAAAATATGTCACAGACTACAAAATTTTTTTTCTTTCCACAAATTTTCTCTTTTTTTCTCTTTTTGGTCGATATATGTCCCGTATAAAGTTCCCTGTGAAATTCCCTTCTCGATTGTTGTGAATAAAATAACTGTCTTTCTTTAGAATCTTCACTGTTTGAATAATGCTGCAATCATGTATAATCTATATGCTCATAGAGAATAATATTCCTATTATATATATATATATATATATATATATCAGCCGATGAGTTGTCAATTTCATAACCAGATAAAAAAACGATCAGTACCAATACAATTATCACAGAGCAGTTAAGATAATGTATGTACGCATAGAGTATAAAACTAGTTTTACAATATACTTTGCTACATATATAAATTCCTTTTTTATAAAAATAAATTATAAATAATAATTTTTATCATCTATGCCAATACTGTTTTAAGAGTGTCAAAAAAATATTAAAACTAAAGTATATGCGTAAAATGGCAGTGTGGAGAGAATATTTTTATCACAAAAATAAAATATGCTGCTAAATTAATTTCTGATAACAAATAACATCTGTCAACTTTAAATAATACTTATATTTCTAAAAACATTTAACAATTATTATTTGCTATTATTAAAGTAATATATATAATTGCATTAATATGCTTTAAAAATAAGACTAGAAGTATCAATACTTAAAATCTGGTTATGAAATTTCAAACTTACATTCTCTGCTAATGTAGTAAAGTACTTCATCGCTAGGTTCACTAACAACGCTGGAAGTTCACCAATATCTCATATTAACAAACACCCTCCTATTAGACAGTAGAAAGACATATCCATTAAATAACTAACAAAGTATATAATACCAACAACAACATACTTAATGCTAAATGTATATAAATAAGTTAAAAACAATAAAGTATACAAAATTTTTTCTTTTCGTACATTAGCACCGTTACTTTTTGGAAATAAAGTTTACGACAGATACTGATACGTGATCATCACTCGACAGAATATTTATTTAAGATTCTAAGACCAGTCTTCGTACTGACTACCCATGGTTCATCTCATTAAATCCGCTGCTCTTTGTCGATCCCGATGGACCTCCCGAGGATGCATTCTTTTACGATGTGAAAAACAGTTGCCGGAGCTCGCGAAAGCTTTCGGACAGTAAGGACACTGATAAGGCCTCGCACCCGTATGCTGATTTATGTGGAATTTTAGATCCTGATTTCGCTTGAACGTCTTATCACAAAGTGGGCATGCGTGCGGTCTTAAATCCGAATGCGTTATACTATGGGCACGTAACGTTGAATTTGTTGGATATACTCTTCCGCATACATTACATGGAAACTGTATGCCGCCGTGATATTCCTTGTGTCTGAAGAGATTCGATTGCGTTTTAAAACTGTAAGAAATTACATTATCTTTAGTGATACACTTATGGAAATCTTTTGAAAATAATTAACAGATAATATAATTAGCATATATTATGGAATTAAAAACTTTGAATATTAAAAGTATTAATAATAAATATGCAAATTGTGCAAAATAATTTTAATTACAATTTTAATATTATATATGTTTTTGATAAAATTCTAAGAAATTAATTGTTATGATCATTATTATATATATATATATATATATATATATATATATAAAGAATACAAACGCACATTCTGCCACATATGTCACATCCATATTTTCCCTTAGGCCTGTGGGTCTCTAAATGCACCTTCAAATTTCCCTTTGTAGAAATCTTTTTACTGCAGATTGGACAGATGAAATTGCTGGACGAATTGTTATCACTATTCGTGTGAAGTACACCATTTGTGGAATAAACATGTTGAGATTGTGAAATAGGCTTTCCGTCAAATCTTCTTTCTCTGGGTAAGTGTGACCACAAGTGATTTTGCAAACTGATTTGCGATATAAAAGATCGGGTACATATTGTACATTCATGTGGTTTGGTTGATGCGTTAGACGTAATTTTTTCACTGTCCTCTTGTAATTTAGACTCGCCTTCATCTTTTTTCTCTTCGTCTTCTTCTTCCACTTCAATATTTCTAGAATAGATAAGGAACTTGCATTAAATAAGTTCAGCTGTTGAGTTCTCATCAGATAAACAACATTATATATATATATTATATTATGTTTTATACTAATAGTAAACAAATTTTACTTGTTTGTTAAAGGTAGTGGCTCAGGTGAATGTGTCTCTGTTATTTCTTCCTCGTTGTCCGAGGAATCCGAAGCTTCCGATGCAGACTGTTCCATACCGCATTGTAAAAATAACATTGGATCTACTTTTACTTCCATTTCCTCCATGCTTGGAGTATGTCGTTTGTCTTCTTGGGAATTTAATTCTGATGGTCCCAATGGCTCATCTTCAGTTAAAATTTCTATCACACCCTGCAGAACACAATGATAACAATTTGTTATATATAAAAATGTGTAATATGTAGAAACAAAACTACACTATATAATACATACCTTTGTTAATATTGAATGCAACAACCCTCGATCTTCTGTCTTTTTAGCAGTATCTTTAATATTCTGCATTTCATCATCTTGTACAGGATTTGTATTGTCAACGTTACTATAGAGCTGTGATCTCAACTTTTCTTGGGTACGGTATGCCATCATTGCAAAGCGATGGACACCCTCCAGTCTCTTAATGCATATAGAACAGACCATTTTTGAAAATTTGTCCTCCAATGACACCTAAAAAATATTTAAAAAAATAAATATACAATTCTAAAACATGTTATGTATATCTTAAATAAAATAAGGAAACAATATTGCAAAATTTTTAATTATTATTTATATTTGCTTCTAATTCAAATATATTTCATTTTTTTGCAACTGTATATTTTATTATTTTCATTATTGTTTTAATTCTTTTTTATTTTTCGTTATATTTATCTATTTCTTTTCTCGCATTGTAATTTTTTCATCTTATCCTGCAATTAACCTAGCTTTCGGCTCGCAATAAGCGCCGAGAATTTCGATTCGTCTAGAAAAAAGGTCTGTTGCTTATTTTAAGAAGAAGCCGCCGTATTTTTTTTTACACAATGCCATTTGATTGACGCATTTTCCGTAATTTATTCCGTCTGACGCCGCTTCCCCGACGCGCGGCCCTCATTTCCGATTATATTTATAGATGTAGTACTTATATAGTGCACATATATACAGAACACGGTATACTTATTGCAATCAATAAAATGCTAATTTTTAACACTTTTGTAGCTCCGCACAAAATGGTCGCTTTCGACAGACAATATTTGGCACGTATGATTACTCTTGCGTTCATCGCATTATTCTGCATACGATAAGTTCATTGACATTTCGCGACTGATTAGGATTAAAGATCGGTAAATAATTATAATTTTCGCGAAACGAAACGACACGTCACTGCGCACCTTAAACATCTATAAATTCCGAAAATGTCGGCGTTATTTTTAGACGAATGAGTCGATTTATTCGCGACTCGTGAAATGTCATTAATCGCCCTAAAAAAATAGAACATTAATTATTTCGGATTAATTTCGAAATTTCATATAATCGAGCCCAAGGAATTTATTTCGCGCGATCGCGAAAGATCGGCACACGATACTACGATTTTCGCATCAAAAAATAATCGCGCGTACCGATATATCTCTCGTTTATTATCGATATCGGCAGAAATCGGCACTTCCGGAATTGACACGCGAGCAAAGATTTCTCGAAATCCGAAATCCGATCGAAATTTATCGCGACCGGCACGTGATCGTGACAGCACGCACACATATACACACATACGCATGCCGTGTATAGAGGGAGACGAATTTTGAAAAAAAAAAAAAATAAAAAAAAAATAATAAAAGGCAAAGAGGGGAGAAACGAAAAAATGCGCGCGAGACTCGCTCGCGGACTCACCAGGATATGCAGATATTTCCGTATCTTGGTCTGCAGGTAGTGACGGCGGCCGTCCTCGGAGAAGATGTGCATCCCGTCGTCGAGGGCGATGTCGGCCGCACAGATCCGGCACTGAGTCGCACCGGATCGCCGGTCCTCGTCCGCTCGCCGATCGAGATCGCGTGCCGCCGTGCCCATATTTAAAAAAAAAAAAAAAAAACGGGAGCGAAGGGAAAAAAAGGAGGGAAAAAAAGACGGCAGGAAGTCAGACGGGAGCGAGAGAGGCGAGAAAAAAAATGAGAAAAAAATAGTACGCCGGGGGAAGGGAGGACCAAGTTTTTTCTTCTCGTTCCACGGTTGGAAGACTTATTTGGAGCCTCGCGATTTTTTTCTTAAATTTTTTTTCCCTCCCACGATCGAATTTTTAATACCAGACGCGAATGATTAATCTCAACGGGCAACGGCGACGCATCCTCGGTTCCGAGGAGAAGGAAGGCGCGCGCGTGTCTATATGTCTCCCGGCGCCGAAACGTACGAACGAACGAGCGAAACGAAGCGAGCGGCCCTCGTTGATTATTCTATAACGATTTTCCCTCTTTTTTTGTTCTGCCGTATACTTTATATGAGTGGAGCCGCGGATTGGGCGAGATTATAAGCCGCGCGGCCACGGCACGGCGCGTCGCGACGCGAGACGTCGTGCCACTCTTGAATAAAAACAGACGCGCGAGATAGTCGTCGGGCGTCGGCGTGCCTTCGTCCGTCCGCGTCCTTCTCCCCCCGAGTGAGTGAGAGAGAGTGCTCAATACAAAATATATAATAGCATTCGTCGATTTGAAAAACATATGTATATAACCAATTGTTTTATTTATGGATTCCGCCGGCGCTCCGCGTCGCGGCGCGGCGCGCGGCGTTCTCCGCTTTTATATATGTATATATATTACATACATATACATGTATAAATATATATATATATATATATATCTGCGGCGGCGCCGTTCGCCGCCGCTGGCATCCGAAAATCCCATATTATTACATCGATGACAAGGACGCGGCCATGCGGCGCGCAAAGAATAAAATGCATCGGCGCGCGTCCCTTAATTAGACCGCCATCTTGTCGGGCTCGAATTTTTTCCGGTCCGATCGCGATCGTCCGCACGTGTAGCGACCACGTGACCGCATCGCCGATCGCTCACCTGTCAAACCGCGCGTCGCCGGCGAGCGAATCGCGCGCGCTTTTCCACACGTCAATTTTATCGCACGCCCGTAATTTTCGTCTCGCGATCCCGCGCTTTCCCGCCATTTCTCGCCTCGCGTCGTCAGCAGTCACTGCGCATGCGCGCGCGTAGTTTTTGCACGCCGCGGAAAATAGTCCGCGGATACGCTTGACGCGGACTACCCCCTTTTCTCCACTTCCGGAGGGGAGGGAGGAACGGGGAGTTGGCGGTACGCGTCCCCATTTAAAAAAATCAATACTTAATAATTAGCAATTAATACGCGCGCGGAGTTTATGTGTGCGCGTGTGTCTGTCGCGATTACCATTCTCCGTATATATTTTCCGCCCCGCCCTTAATCACATATTTCGCGTTCGTGTATAATTATACAATCATTATTTCGTTAATTATTCGTATCGACGTTTATTTTATATTCTCCCTTTTTGTTCTCCGGCAATATATATATATATATATATATATATATATATTATATATATCATCGTTTTTCATTAGTACGAAATATGTAAAAATAAGAGAAAATATTGCTTTTTGCGAGATACAGATGCGTAGAATTATGAAAATATATAATAAAATGTAATAAAATAATGATAATGATGACTGATAATTGATAGATAAAGATATCTATACCTAGTTATGCATCTTATCTCATTGGCTTAATGTTTTTTAAATTGAATTTATTGTAATGTATAATTATTACAAAATGTAATAAATTGAACAAAAGTTTGAAAAATTAATAGAAATATATCTCCATAATTGTATTAATAAAATTATTTTTGAAAAAATATGAATAGCATATATTAAATTTTTCTTTTATAATTTTAATTTAAAAAATTATAATTTTCGAAAAATTTATGAAAATTAAAATATACATATTGTGTGTTACTGCATTTGTTACTTATTATAATTGTGAGGAGAATTTATATATTTATAAAATTTATTATTTTTTATTAAACAGTTTTTGTTGAAAAATTGATATCAATTTTAATATCAAAAATATTTATTGTTAGAGTATTTTTAACAAATTGTATGAAAAGAACGAATAAAAAAAGCAAATGCAGATACATGAGAGAAGACTATAACCTCTAATATTTCCTTCTAGAATAATTAATGGAAATAATTAACAAAATTTTTAAGCATCAAAACAAAATATAAATCGAGGACAATCGATTTATAAAGACAGTCATCAATATACGAAATGTTTTATTTTAATAAATTTAAATAAGTTTTAAAAAGAATTGAACAATACTTTCCTTTTATTAAAAACGCATATTTCTTCAGTAGATCCTAACATTTTGCCTTGTTTTGAATGGGTAGGAATAATTTAAATTCCGCTGGCAATTCATCCTCCGAATACAACCGATCTGAGAAGTAAACTCGTCGTATCCTACAATTAGCGTGAATTTGGACCCTCAATGTCTCTACATAATTTGTTCCATAAGCTCGACGTGTAAAATCAGCCAAATTGAATTGTATTTGATTCCACCCATCGTCCAGTCTCATCGGCATGGTACAGATAAATGGTTTTACTCTTGTCGTAGATTGATAGTTGCTAGCACGAAATCTACGACGTACGTTTTTATCATCAATTATCTGTAACATAAACATTATTAGATCAAGATAGATTGATGAATCAGATCTTGTTACAAATTAGTACAAAAAGAGAAATTACCTGAACCTCGAATGTAAAATATTTTTTTAGATTTTTAATGATCATCACCAAGAAAGGTAACTTTATACCCAAGGTTTTTCTTGGATCTGCGGGACATGTAATGTACGTTGTACTAACATTGCTGCCCAATATTTCTAGAACAAGGCTCTGAATGTCGTTGTCGGTGATCCTCTTGATATGTCCATTTCTCACCTTTTTATCCCAGATTTGCAACGGCTTGCTGCCAATGCTGTACAAAATGGATAAAAATCCACTTTGAAAGGTATTTTTGAACATTTTTTTATTTCAATTTTCGCTGCTATGGTAATTTTCTCTGCTTTCTCTATCAAAATAAAGTTATTTGCCGTATTATTTTCTTCTCAAATCTGTAATACATATTTTAATAATGGAATTAGATTGATGTCGTTATTATTTTTTGTGTTCAAAATCGTGAACGTAAAATCGTGAAGACCTAACCTTTTTCCATCTTGACGAAAAGTTGAGTTGAAAACTTATAATTAAACAAGGCATTAGAAATACATGCTTATATTTGAGATGATAAATTTTCTGTTCTTCATGTATCGATTTTCATTTTATGTTAATTTATCATCTCAATAAAGTGTCGTCTCACAAAATATTTAACGACGACTCTAACCTAATCAAACGTTTGATCGATACGCCATTTTCTATTTTACACTAGTTGCTAATAATATTAAGGCTGATTTTCATGCGTGATAAATTTGTCCAATATGCTGATTGGGTATCGGCTAGGGAATTTTTTTTTGAGATCCAACAATTTCTCCCAATAGTAGCTAATCAGTACATTTCACAAATAAGACAAATTTGATAAGTACAAATGAAATATACATTAAGCTCTTTTTAGATATTAAATTAGTAGAAAAATTTTTAGAATTGCACATCGCATATTTACGAGACATTTCAAATTTTTGTAACAAGAATCTATCACACAAATCTTTTTCTTAAATCTTAACATTTGTAAAAATATGTCATTTTTTTATAATACTAATAAATTTTATAAATATAATATAAAGTATAATAAATTTTACAAATTAAATAACCCAATTAATAAATTAAATCGCAAACAAATTAATACATAAGAACGTTACATTTGAACAAAATTTTTAATAGAGGTAAATAAAATATATTCTGAGAATCGTGTGCCACCTTGTCATGCGTATATTTGAAACGCATAGTAAAAAGGCCATATACATATATGTGAAACCTTTCTACAATTGTTTATCAACGTCAAATACAAACTGATGTTGATGAAGGAAAGCAGTAGATTCCTATACATTGTATAATTCATTTTCAAAATGCAATTAAAGCTTTGTCGGTATTTAGAATCTTTTCGATTCTTAGGACTTACGTATTCAAGAAGCAATTATTTTTAATACGGAGGCTGCTGAAAAAACACGCCTTATGTAACTGTATTTTGTTACAGCATACATTACAGCATGCGAGAACAAATCGCTTTACTTAGATATAAAGCTAACATAATTAAACTATAGTACAATATCGAGTGTATTCCTTTTTCTTGCGCTCGGTTGCACTCATTCAGTCAATTAAGTGAAAAATTGCGAGAACATAACATATTTTACCAAAGGAGATAACAAATTTTTTAAAAATAGTTTTCTCGTTAGTTTTACCCAAAAGTAAGCAATGTTTCGCAGCAGTTTATGTATGTGTGACTGTATATAAAATGAAATTACAGAACGCAATATAAATAATGCATGAAACTAACGTTTCACAATTATTTTTCTCCTTTTTTCATCGACCTGACATATCGATGCATTGGCTAGTACTTCTTTAACACTTTATGAATCAAACCCGACAATGTGCTAAGTCGATCTCTTAGTATTAGCGGGCTCTCCTTCCCTTTCTCGGTATCTCGGTAAATTGATACCTTATTCCCTTATCTATTATTAATATTAACTATATGGTATTACAGTTTATATGCATAAAATTGTTCTTCTTGCAGCGTACATGACGCAAGTTATTCAATTGGTTTCTCCTTTCTGTTCATCTCTCTTTCTCTCTCTTTCTCTCTCTCTCTCGAAAAATTATACATAATGGAATCTACTACTATATCTCGTAATACTGAATCGTGACATGAACAAGAAAGGCCCACTTATAAAAGCGATCAGACAAAAAATCCAACTAGCGTCTCGAAAAATCAATAAATAATTTTTAGCGTATGTCTTTTTAAATAATCTTCGAATTAATCGAATGTAACTCGCGTTAATTTCGGTAGATGAATCGTCGCAAACACTTGTTACATATTTTCAATATATCGAGCATCGAGTATTACGAATAAAATGCGTACAAATTTAATGAACAATAATACAATTTACTTAATCGTTTGTATTTGTTGTTCAATAAATTGTATTTAATACGAATAATGAATAGAAGATAACAAGATACTTAATTGAGAACGTTGGTACAAAACTCTGTATCATTATATCGTCAAAATTACAAAAAGCCAGCATTGTATTTTGAGCAAAGAATATACAGAATTTAAACAAAACTTAAATAAAAATTATAGACGGATATTCAAAGTTTGTACCGTTTCTCAATGTTTATCTTCACTCATTAAGTTTCTTGAATTCTACTATTTTTATTCGGCAATAACGCAAAATTTGCCATTATTTCAGAATTATTTCTTAGCAAAATTAACATAATTTTGTAATATAATCCTGATGCGTAATGGGACAAGTTTTGGATTATCTTCTCTTTTTTTTTCTCTTTAGATTCAGAAATTTCCTATACAGCTTATCATTTATCTGCGAACGATAGATGTGTATATGGAAATTTCTTTATTCCCTTTGTTTCTTAACCAGACAAAATTCGCAGCTGTTTTCGGATTATTTCTTAGCGAGATTAAAACAATTTTGTAATGGTCTTGACGCAATGGGACAGATTTTTAATTATTATCATTTTACGCTCTCTGAAATTTTCGATGCAGCCTATCATTATCCTGTATCTTTGAATGATAGGTACATGGAAAATTTCTATTCTCTTTACTTCTCAATATTTCACGATACATGAATATGTAACCCCAGGATGCTTCTGGCCCCTATAATAAAGCAAATTGGGGCATAGGGACAGTATATATCCCATTACCTATGTTTTACCAATTCAAATTTAGATACTTAATAATTCACAAAAATTATTTAATCAGTACATAACCAGAGTTTGCTCTGGAAAAAGACGTGATTTTATGTATAATTTTCATATGCACCTCTGCCGCACATAGCTAGAGTTTGCTCTGGAAAAAGACGTGATTTTATATATAATTTTTATATGCGACTCAATAAAAAGTTTTAATTTGTTTTGTGTTCCATAAAACAATAAAAAATAAACACTATAAAATAATTAATTTTGGATAAAAGTTGAGGATAGAAAAAAAAAGAAAAAAAACTTTTATATATAAGATTGTTAATTTATGTATTAGGTAACAAGACATAGCTCTCTTTATTCATGATAATGAGAAAGCCAAGGAATTTGATTGAGAAATTAAGAGATGGTCGCATTTCATCTCCAGGTCGTAACTTTGTTTCTCTACGGTGTTCATATGATCATAGACCAAAATTGGAGAATGACCATTTTGAATTATCATAGATAAGTATATCGCAATTGTGATCCTGTCAATGAAAAATGTTACAATAAATATAGCAGTTATAGCTGTCACTGCTAGGATCGCAATCATGATCAAGCACCAATATCTCTTGTGATTCCACAGTACGTATTAATTTTGCAAGAGTCATTGTAATATACGATTCGTTCAACGATTGTACTAACATTTTTTATAATAAATTTCTAATAGTCACAGATGTTCTTTTAGTTTCGCTTACCCTGTAACTGATCAGACATTCTTATACATTAAAATAAAAACATTTTCTTGCATAATTATTAAATACTCATTTATTGGTGCTTGAACAACGTTTCAATACAGTTAAGACACTGCAAAAGATTAGGAAGGTTATACATAATACATGCTGGTAATTATTAACTTATATATTGTAGATTGTATATAAATTGATTAAAATTTCTGTTTGATTTTTTATCATATTTCAACAATATGAATAAAATAAAGCATTTCAGCGATATAAATGCATAAAATAAAAATAAAATATAAATCATGCAATGTGCTTTAAATTTTTAACCAATTTCTTGCATCAATAGATAAATGCGTTTTTACAATTACAAATTATTATACAGAGTAATATAGATTCAATATAAAAAAAAACTCACAAGAATAGATAAAAATCGACATGAAGCAGCAACATATTTTCTGTATATGAAAATTAATGAAGAATGATGATGGAAGCAATAAATGAGGAATATCAAACAATTTTGTGGAAAATTTTATAACCGATATGATAGTTAATTTTCTTCTGCAATGTCTTAAAGAAGCAGAAATATAACTCAACATCATATATAAGTCTTAAGCTATTTGGTTACTTATCAATAGCTCCATCCATGTTATTTTTAACTTGAATGCTAATGTGTATTCCATCACCAGACGCACCTTTGTCTTTCTTCACTTGTGCTGCGTTCGAGGCATTGTCGAGTCCCAATTTACTGAGGGTGCGAAGTGCCCTTAGCGCTGCCTGATTGCGGCTCGCGGCTATTGTCGCCCCATTTCCGTGACAAACTTGTGGTGGATCAGTACTTAATGACACAAGTGATAAATATTCCCTGTTTATGGAGACTCCCTGGAACATTAATTTGAGAAAATAATTGTCTGTTTGCACAATACATTAATATTGTACTTATTATCTTAGTTTGATTAATTAAAACTTTAATTTTTTGTTTTTTCTATTACAGATTAAATAATCATGATAGATTACCTTCGGAAAATCGCTGAATTCTACGGTAAAATTAAATAATTGAGATAAATAATGTAATTGATCCTTAGCTGAGACACCAGCCGCATTTTGTTGTTGTCCGCGTAATTCTTCAGCAACTATTTGTACACTGGGTCCATTTCCTAATTTAGATTCTTGACCTCCATCCACCAGTAAAAGACCAGGTACTAGTTGACGGCCTATGGTACCTAATAAATAAAAATAATTTTTTGAAATTTATCGTATCTAGTCAGACAACCCTACGTTCTTTTCTCTTACCTCCTACCGAGTGAGGAGTATCGTTTACTTGTTCGTCTTCAAGAAATGTCACTTTTCTGGGTTTCGATTCCGTGTTCTCGCTCTCTCCTGTCTTTATAGATGGTTTCGCGGGTTGCGGAGACGGTTTGCTGTATCCTAATTGCGTTAAGAGAGCCTCAGCTGCGGCTCTCTTAGCCAATTTCTTGTTAGGTCCAATTCCCTGCGCGGAGTTTTGACCCATCGTTACCTCCATGACGAACTCTCTGCGCCTTGGCGCGCCTTTCTCATCTATCAAATTGTACACCGGTTCTCTTTCACGTTTCGCCTGCTGAATTTGAACTAGCCGGGAGACCGGATTAACTTCCTCCGAGGCTTCGCTCTCCGAACGGGGCTCCTGATAAACCTTGATTAAATTACGAGATTTCTTTTTTGTTGCTGGTGGTTTACGTTTTACTCGCATCGTTCGATTCTGTATTGTAGCCGGTAAAGGAGGAAGACGTTTCAATTCATCTAACATCATCTCAGCAGCGCGTTTCTTTGACACCTGACGAAATAAAGAAAGCATATTATTAAATTAAAAAAATTAAATATACTTGTTTTTCTGTTTGGGAAAACACACAAAAATGATTACTTTTTTTGAAGATCCTTCTCCCACAGTGACTTTTTCGCCAACGGTGCATTTCGTCATAAAGGTCCTTATGTGAGGTTTACCACTCTCGGATACAACTTCGAAGCTGACCGACAACCCACGTTTCAGTGCAGTCTCGTGAACAAGTGATACCGGACTCTTCAACTCAGCATTTGGATCGTCGATACCATTCAGCGTACCATTCTCATTACTATTGTTGACGCTTGCAATTTCTTCCGGTAAGGGTAATTGTCGCAGTTGTTCCAAAGCTCTGCTGGCTGCATCATGTCGTGCCGCTTGACCTGTCAGACCTCTGCCCATGAATTCGCGTTCACCAACCTTCAGCGTAACAAGATACAATCCTTGAATGTCCGTGTGAACTCCGCGATTATACGCAATTCTAGGATTGTACATTCGCTGAAAGTTGTTAAAATTGTGCGGCATAAACTGATGTTGCATTGTAGCTGGTGGAGCTTGTCGAAACGTATAAACGGTTGGTTCACCCCGTTTCATCGCTAAAGCGTTCAGTTCAACAGTGGGTGGTAAATGTCCTGTAACATAAAATAGTACAAAATAATATTGTATACTAACACTGATTACAACAAAATTAAAATTGAAATGAAGAAAAAGATCAATCACTTTATAAATAAATATTATACACATATACACACGTTTTATAGCATGCATAGAATTAATGTGAAATTACCAGAACCTGTCGGGCATTTGCCCAGATGGCCGATTCTCATGGCCTTGGTAGGTTTAGGCGGAGGTTGACGATACCACGTCTTCGTTAAGGCTTCGGTTGCCGCGCTGTGTTGAGCCTTCTTTATGCTGGGACCTTCCGCGACGTATTCCTCCTCGCCGAGTTTCAATGTCACCGTGAATCTCTTCTTGTGCGCCGGTCCCTGCTCGTTGGTCAACCTATACTGATGTTGAATCCTATTGAATCTCGCTAACTCATTCAACAAGCACATGGGTGTTTTTTCTTTCATGTTTGCCAAGGCTGGATTAGTTGCGTTTGCATGATTTTGATTGGACGAATTGTCGTCTCTGGACTCTCCATTGGTATCGTTTATTATCGCCTTTGATTGTTCTATATTCGATTGCTGCTGCATGTGTTGTGACTGTTGCTGCTGCGATTGTTGCACTTGCTGCTGCGATGGTGGCTGTTGAACAGACTGATTCTGTTGGTTATTCGATTGCTGCTGTTGTTGCGACTGTTGATGTTGATACTGAGGTTGTTGCACATTCTGAAGAGTCACAGAAACTGTGTTTGTTTGGTCCTTCATGCTAACGCTAACCATGGTATCTAAAGTAAACGTTTTTAAATTAAATTTTACCTTAATAATTGAGAATAAAGATTAATTCCTTCACAATTTATCTATGCTTACTATTTGTATTGTGCGCATTCATGCCCATCAACATCGGCTGCCTCGGATTTCCATGCGGCGGGCCAGGGTGCTGCATGTGATGCATATGCTGTTGATGGGGGGGCATGGACAGTATCGGTTGATGAGGATTCCGATGCGGCAGCAGATGCTGCGGCTGATGTAACTGGGTCATGTTAGCCTGCTGCATAGGCCGCATCGGTCCTGCCATTCTGAAAACATTATTTGTTTTATTGTAATTAAATTTCAGTAAATCTTATTAAATACACTCTTAATATTCAATATTGATTCTCCCTACATTAATAAATAAGTAATCACTGTTTGTATCTATAATTTATAAAGATATTTAATCTTTTCAAATCAAAAAGACAATGTAGTTTCCATCATACATTTATTATATACAAAAAATCAATACTGGCCTGTCAAAAATTATTTAATCATTAAATACACTTGTTGAGACGTTTTTCAGTTAATTCATGATAATTAACATAAAATGTTATTTATGTTTTATTGAAATAAATATAATATAAAAATTAACTTGATATTAACCTATTATGATCCCGTAGCTGATTCTGCATTGCGTGATGTTGGTGGCGTAACATCTTATGAAATTACACAGAAAAATCTGTAAAACGAATAAACTTATCAACCTATAATTTCAACATATATTACAGACAAGTAACATAATCACATTGCATATATAAATTTTTGCATTCGTTACATCGCTACACAATCATCTGATAAAAAAAATTACAAGACTTTTCATCAAGCATATTAAAGTACATTTGTCTTCTACAAATGAGTACTTCACATACAGCAATCAGCAGACTATAAACAATTCTTCTGCTATCTTGCCAATTAGTGAAGAAGACAAATTCGTCAATTCTCTTTCTTAAAGCATTACCAGGGAATAAATAATTGACAAATAATCCACGAATTGCATCGCTCGTGTCAAAGGAGGACGCAAGTTCTTTAATCTACAAAAATGGAGCTTTGTTCCGAAACGAATTTACACGTAGAAGTAGCACAATTCTTTTTCGCGCGGACGATCGCGTTTTTCGAAGATTTGAGGCAAAATCTCACAAAGTGATTGACGGTTGGGCGTGGATAATCCGATCGACTTCGATATATAGGAAGATAACCTTCTCGCGCGAAGGGCGAGCCGGCTAGGACGGGAAGCGCGACTTCATAATTCGCCGCATCGAGGAATGTCCATGCACGAGGGAAATTCGACGGTGAATAAAATGGGCTCGGTCCAACGGCGACGACGACGACGTGCGAGCTGCACGGAACTCGCGGCGAACGCCGCGAACACGCTTCTCCTCGCACACGCACTCGAGAGCCTTACCCTGGTTAACGTTCGTTCTATTTCACGGAAATTTGCTGCGCCCTAGCCACGATACGGCGAAATTTCGGCAAAACAGATCGGCCACGACGTTAAGGGAAACACCGCCAGGCACCCACGGCACGGCTATTGGCAAACAGTAAAGAAAAGTGTTCTGTAGACTAAAATGCGGCCATTTTGATGTGAGGGCTGGCGGCGGCGCGTGACGTCACGCCGATGCCTCCTCGGGTGCGTTCAAAAATCCGACGCGCGAGCGAGCGACCAATCGGATTGCGTGACATTTCTCGTTCCTTCGTTCCGATTGGTCGAGCAAAAATTACTGGTGGCTCGCGAACGGAGGATTTTTGAACGCACACTTGGCTTCTTGAGAGGGGAGGTACGAATCAAACCGTGGGAACTTGGGAAGTAGTAACGGACGGACTGCACGGAGGAGTTTTCAGAGATTTATTCCAGATTTTAGGGAGACACTATTCTTTCCTTCGATGGCGAATTCTTTATCGATGTTTATTGTCTTCGCGTATTTCGATAAGGTACACGCACTTTCGTAGGTATATATATCATATGCCATCATATTTGGACATCGGATCGTGAGTCCTTTGCGGAATGTAAATGAAATTTTTTTTTTTAATTACTGTTAATTATTGTATAATCTGTGATTTCATCTTTTGCGTTCAATCTATCGAGTTAAATACTTGTAGCTATCAAAATTATTGGACAGTTTTTGATTACAATGAACGAATATTTATAGATATTCTATTGCATACATATATGTATATGTATACATATATACATATATATATACATATATATCTCAAATTAACATTTATATTGTGCCCAGGTAAAACATAAAACTCATACTGACATCATGATAATGTTACTTAAAAGTCATTTTGGGAGGAAACTTTTATATATATTAACAATATTATTTATTTATTCTATTGTTCACACATATTCCAACAATATTCAAGCAATAAATTTTTTAAAAATTATATAAAGCGATTGTCTTTTATATTAGGGAGCTTTAAATTTGTGATTCCTTTTGCTATTTCTAAATCATTTTTTAATCATATTTTGTTTATATAACTTGTAAGTGGTAAATAAAATTATGACATTATATATATATTAATTACATCATTATGAATTTTATGTTTTACTTGGGTGTGTATTTTATTATAACGTATCTCAAATTTATACTTATACAATATTAATCAATTATAATTATTTGATTTGTTGTTAATTTTGTTAGAATTAAAGAAATAACATAAGAGTTGGAATATTAATTTTTTATTAAATAATATATATAGATATATGTCTATTATTAGCTGTTAGTCTTTTCTAGTTAAATATTCAAATACTTATATTATAATTACAATTGTTACAGAAGTTTCTATTTTTAAATATTTATCTACTGCTAATTTAAGCTTTGACAAAGTGCAAGCGATAAGAGTTTGCTTTTATTTTATTTTTCAAAAGAACAAAGTTCTACTATAATACACACATATAGAAAAGAATTAATAATTTTAATTTAAAAAAAAAATTAATGCAATGCAAATTAATTTTGAATAATTGAAAATTTTTTACAAGTAATTTTGTCACAATGAGAAAAAATACAAATTTGTACTACTATTTCAACAAGAATTAATCATTATTATAAATTATAAATCATGAAAAATTATGACGTCAAATATCTGTGTACCAAACATGATTTGCAGTAAATTACAATTTACACTGAAACTTTCAGATCGGTGTAAGACGGTAATTGCACAGCATATGCAGGTTGATTGTTTTCGCTGACGAAGACTGCACCGTTCTCTCCCTTTTCGATCAACTCCACAATAGCATTTGCCACATGCTCAGGTCTGTTAAACGAAAAAAATATTACATATAAAAAGATTTTTGAATATAGTTAAAATAAAATAAATATATAGTTAAAATATAAAGAAAGAAGAAAAGACTGCGTTTTTCATAATTTATCTTGAATATGTTTTATAAAAAAGATATGCACTAACTCATAGTTTAATTTATATAATTTAGATTTAATCTATTTTAAAATTTAAATAATTATATACATATAAAATGAGAATATATATTTATGTAAATTCTAATTTATCTTATATATTTTTGATTTATTATTTTTAGTTTATTGTAAGTTTATTTTAATTATTTGTTAAAATTAGATAAGTAATTTTGAAAGTAAATTTTATTGTATAAAATGCAGAACTCTCTAGGCATACAGTTTTGTGACTTACGGCTGACTCTCCATCGTTGTCATTTCCTTGGCAGCAATCTCGTCGTCAAGAATGTCCATTGAATAAACTTTGCTCGACATGAATTTGGAAGCCATGGCAGTATTCGTGAGACCGGGACATATTACTAAAATACGTATGCCGGTCTTTTCATAGAAAGTCTGCGAAGAAAATATGCAAAACTTTATTAAAATTGTAACATTTTAAGCGTGTCGCAGCGTACGCAAAAGTTATTAAAATAACAATAGCGTAGTTTAAATAATTTGATGGGAAAAAGCGAATGGATAGATAAATTTTCAGATTCTTTATTTATTAAAAAATCGTATTTTTACCTGTAATGATAAAGTAAAACCGACGATGGCAAACTGCGTCCCGGCATAAATCGGTGCGAGCGGATTACTTTGCAAGCCAACTATAGATGACATATTAATGATAGTACCGCCTTTTCCACCCTTGTGCTTTCCCATGTGATTCAAACCCAATTTTGTGCCGCGTACAATCCCGTTCTGATTATAAAGATAACATGTTAAGAATTTAAAGATAACAGATTTTTAATTGGATATAATAAAAAAAGCATGGCTCACATAATTAATATCAACCATCGGCTCCCATTCCGCGTCGTTCATGATGCCGGCACTATTAATAACAATGTCCAGGGTACCAAATGACTCTATAGCTTTGTCGAAGCAAGCTGCAAATTATAAATGTTGATGAAATTAGTTAATCGACGAGAAAGAATATTTCTTTATTTTATTTTAAAATATAATTTACAGATAAACAATCGTAATGTCATAATAATTTGCAATATTATTGATATTATTTATGATGCATCTCACATTGTTGATTATGAATATAATTAAATTAAAATATAAAAATATAAAGAAGGGAGATAGACTGCTTTTATAATTGATCTTGAATATGATTTATAATTTTATAAGACATATGCATTAATTTGTAGTTTACTTTAATTTACATTTTTAATAATATATATTTTTGAATTACAGATGCGAATATGTTGAACAATCGACTGATACAATACCCGAGAGTTCTTCGACACTCGCCACATTTCCGACGAGAAAAATGGCCCGATCTGCGCCGAATTCTTTCTTCAATTCCGCAACAGCAGTTTCGCCGTTCGAATCTGGCAAATCTACGATTGTGACAGCCTGTAAAATATAGTGAGTATTAAATTAATTGATAATGCATTCTTTCTCTGCTTTAAACTATTTAAAATATTATCTTTTCATTTACGCTTATATTCGCGCCGCGCACAATTTACTTTATTATTATTCCAATATGACACAATTTAATCACATATTGCGTATTATATTATATTCCATTACATTTGAAATTTGGCTAAATCACCTTTGCTCCTCTTCGAAGTAGTTCTTGAGCGGTGCAATAACCGATCCCGTTGGCTCCGCCAGTGATAAGCACGGTTTTCTGCTGAATCTCCATCATAGACGTGTCTTGCTCTTCTCGAGACGATGAATACTGATCGCAATTTTCGGATCTCGGCTCGATCTCATTAGGCACTGATCAGCAAATGAATCTGTCAGATATCGCTGAAGAGTAGCAGATATGTTGACATTTGAGATGTCGACGATATGTGATAGAATTTCAGATGCGGATATATAATTTGAACCTGTTCTCGAGGTAAACAAGATCGGATTTGCACCGATAGGTAAGAAGCAGCGAGAACAAATAATTTGATGCTGCACGAGAAATCTGAATGTGAGAGAAATAGCGTAAATCTATTTCGTATAAGATGTCATTGTAGATATAGGATTATCATTACAAGCATATTAAATGTACAAAAAATATCGTATTAGCAGTAATAGGATTGGATTGATAGAAAAGAATTTTATTATTTTATTTTGAAACTTTAGTTAGCATTGTTTCGTAATCTTTCAACTATAACTTAAATATTACAATTCATCTTTTTTATATTAAATAGATTTTGCGGGGAAGAGATAGGAAAATAGACTTTTTTCTCATATAAAACAATACAAATTCGGTCCGCTGATTTTATTAAAAGGCAATGCATTTTATTGGCAGGCTAGCAACATACATACTGTATAACACTTAACAAAAACAATCAACAATCGCCACTAATCGCGTCGTCGATTGAAATAAGCTACAAAGAATTTTACGGGCAATATCTCGAACAAAACCCATTAGCTACCTAAGATATCTAACTGATGTATCGAATTTTGTATTTGAGTTTTGTAACTCGATGCAATCGCGCATCATACATCTTCTCATGAGTCGTAATATCTAATATCAAGAAACATGATCGCGTCGTGTTTGCACTTAGGCTTTTCGCATAGATCCTAACTCTATCGCTACATCATATTTCTAAGTATTTTTTTGTTTTTCTCAAAAAGACTGTAGAAAAATTATAGACACACGATTGTTGAAGTATATGTTTTTTGTTTCGCTTTTGGAGTAATCGTCTGACGGATTTCGGTTTAATTGCATTCCCGATTACACTGATGCAAATAACCCTCGATACACGAGGATTATCGAACTTCGAAGTGGAAATTGGCACAAGTAAAATAATTTTAATTTTTATATAAATTTTAAAAAGGCGTAAAAAATTGTGGACCATTTATTTACTTTTTTTTTTAAATAAAATTGCTTGAGTTCTTTAGACATCATATTTTTGTAAAATGGTCGAATTTTCCAAGTCATGCTTCTAATTAATAGGTATATTTAAATCAATACATAAATATATTTTTAATGTGAAAGACTGTGTCTGATGTTCTACATTGTTACTTGATTTTACTTTTATTTAATTATTGATTACGCCTTTTCTCGCTCTTAATAGATACAATAAATATAAAGATTTGTGACGACATTCCGTAAAAGGAATTTCCATCGAATCAGAGTTATTTACATCAGTCAAATGTAAGGGACGTAATCTGTCTCTCTTTTATTATTTTTTATATACTTCGAGAGCGTAAAATAAATGTTTATCTTTCACTCTATTTCTTTCACACGCGCTTTTTCTCTGCTTTTCTCATACAAGCAATAAATACAAAGAGTCATTATTATATTCGACCTAGTGAAATGTGATTACATTACATTTAGCGCTATTAAACGGAATGGATTAAACGGAATCGTCGACATTATATTAGATGCGTTAGAAAAATGAATAATTATACGGGACGATTACAAAGAGTGCGGCAGGATTCAGATATCATTGCGATAATATTTCATCAGTATATAATACGCAAATGTCCGCGCAGCATTTAGAAATTATTTTTCAAGATCGAGATTTTTCAGGGCCAATAAGCAAGTGCGTTGTTAAAGCCCGTACAAAAAAATCGACGCAAATTTGCATTTGTGAGTGCGGGACGGAAGCGAAAGCCATTTATGTTTTTACATTGTTTCTTTTTTTCTTTTTTGTAATAAATGTCCTCGTTATTACAATTATTGCGCGGATTCTTCTGCCTCTTTACAAATATCGCGATTATCCTTCTCTCTCATAATTTATTAAATCCGAGTATTCACATCCACGTTCTGGCTTGCGGATTCTGTTATAATATATAAGTCAGTATAAAATATACCAAAAGTATTCTAAAGTTTTCTATCAAAAATCGGAAGTGACGTTAGCTTTGAATAATTATTATACTTGTTTTGTATTTTTCCTTACTAAAAAACGTACTTGTTCTCCAAAATATACATCGTACGAAAGTGTGAGTATATATGTATGTTTCGCTCGCGTCCGCTTATTTCTTGATAACGACGATAACGATGATGCTCTGGCAGGTGATGGGATATATTTCGATACAAATTACAGTTAGTATTGTGCGGTACGGCATAGATATTTGCAGCGAAGCGAGAAAGAATCGTGTGGATTCTATCTTAGTGCTTCGCAAAGCTGATCTCGTGAGGTGGCTGGTCCTTCTCCACCATCCACACACTTCCGCTTTTGCCAGTGTTTAACACTTGTACCAATGCCTTCGCCACGTGTTCCGCCCTATATTTAAATTAAATATAATATTGTTAAATATAATATTATATATTATTATATATTATATTATATAATATTGTTAATAATAATATAATAAATATAATATTGTTTATTACACTAAAATTATTTACGTATTTTTATTAGATAGAGACAGGAGAGAAATCTTATAATTGCGAAGAAGAAATTTTTATAAAATATAGTTATTAGTATACTTAAAGTAATATATACTTTTATTATCATATTTATAATTAACAAACTATGTATACATACACTGCAAAAAATTATTAAATTAATAAATATGTATTTCAATACTACTTCAATAAATGATTACCTACATTTATTTGAAACAAATAAATATTTATCTGTTTTTAAAAGAATTTTCTTATATTAAATAAATATTTTTCACATCAATATTAGTTTCAAATAAATTTTAATAAATGCTTAATTTATTAGGCAGTATTGAAATAAATATTTGAATTCAATAAATTTTTTTTCAGTGTATAATTATGAAGTTAGTTCAGAGAGAAATTTAATAATTGATAGTATACCTTTGAGGATTTGATGAGGCTGTATCTCTTTGCCAGGCATCTTCGTATCGAGCCAATAGAAGCTTCCTATTGACATCTCGTACTAATTTAGTGTCCGTGGCACTTGGGCAAAGTGCCATCACTTTAACACCCGTCAAATCTACATGATATTGATCCTATTCAAAATTGAGAAAAAAATTTATTCTTCTCTAAATGTGCATTTAATTTAATTGAAATTTTAAATATAATTCAAAAATTTTCTAAATAATTTGTAAGTGAAAATTTCGTTGTTTATTGTCTAATGAGTATATTATTTAATCTCTGCAGATATCAAATGCTAACTTTGAATATATATATATAATATATATATATATATATATATATATATATATATATATATACACACTGTACTTCTATTCTCTGCGTTATATAAAATAAAATCTTTATATAAAATATTATTTTTATTAAAAAAGATTTTAATTGCAAATTCATATATTATACTCATTGAAAATTAATAGAATAATATAAATGTAGATAAATTGCTGCTCTATATCTTTGTTGTTTAGAGTCAGTTTTATCGATAATATATAAGATTAATATTTAAGTATAGACATCTTTTACCCCAAAAGCTCTGGTGAAGCTGACGATAGCCGCTTTTGTTGCGGAATAAATTGGCACGCTGACGTAAGGATTGATGCTGACGTTGCTTCCGGTATTAATAACGACTCCACCCTGACCACCCCTGTCCGTACCCATAAATCGTTGAGCAAGCAAAGTACCGCGTATCACTCCGTTCTGTAAATTTTGTATTTGCAACAACGTTAAATTTTTAACACAGATATCGTCACAGATGTTAAAATTATTTTATTGAAAGTTTATTTTGACAATGCTATCATCAATATATTCTTTTTCTATATTTTTAGAAACTTGTATTTTATTTTCTATTAACTAATAACACTTACAGTTCTTTAAATAGGAGATGAATGAACTTAAATTATTTTATAAACATATCAAACTTAAGAATAAATTTTTACGAATTTATATGCAATATGCACATATAGAATCATAAAGTATAAGATACAAATATAAAAGAAAGGCAGGTAGATCGCTATATCGTTTCAATTTAATGTAAACAATAATAGATTAAAGTCTTCAAAAACACACTATAACATAAAATAAAACATGCAAGCATATTGAAAGGGATCTATCAGATATTTGCTTACAAGATTAATGTCTACTTCAAGCTCCCAAAATCGGTCATTCATGATACCAGCATTGTTGATAACGATATCGATATGACCGAACTCTGCGATTGTTGTTTGAAACGATTCTGTAAATTGAATCGTATGCTACATAAGAATTGCATTAAAAATAAAAGCAAAATATGTATATAAGTATGCGTTAGTCGCTTATGCAAATAAAAATAAATCTGCAATAAAGCAAAAATCACGTGAATCATCATACCTTCGAATTGCGGATAATCCGTGACATCGCATTGTGAGAAAATTACACGATCTTTGCCATATTTAGCAGCTAATGTCTCTACCAATTTCTCCCCTTCTTCGGTGTTAATATCACACACAGCCACCTGCACGTAATAAAATATTTTTATATTATTAATAGTAATTATTTATAGAGGCTAATTATTTTTAAATATTTTTAATGAAAATAAATTGCAAGAAATAATTGCAAAAAAGAAAGATAGAGATTATTAAATTTATTTATCAAAGTCATAAAAATTTGTTGTTTAATTTGATGTTTATAAAATAATTTAAGCTTATTTATCTCCTTTTTAAAAAACTTTAAGTGTTATTTTCGTCGAGATTAATAGAAAATAAAATAAAAATTTCTAAATTGAAGGGAAAATATTAAAATAAATTTATTAGAATATTAAATAAATATAATTCAAAATAGAATAAATAAATGAAATATGTATATTACATCAATCGTCAAAAAATGATTTGTTTTTATCTTGAGTGCGCGATAAGTTTTTTCTCCGTTTGAGAGCAATCTAAATTTAAATCAGTTGTTTTGAAGAAAAACACGAAGCATTCTTGAGTTATTTTTTTCATGAAAGCATACTAAATACACTCATTGTTCAGAAAGAAAATTGAATAGACGTATTAATAACTATATTTTTCTTAAAAGAAAAATTACATACAAAAAGTATAGAAAATTTAATATATATATATATATATGTAATATATATTCTCTCTTAAAAAATAATACATACCTTGGCACCCTGACTCAACAATTCCATGGCATATGCTTTGCCGATGCCAGATGCGGCACCTGTCACTAGGGCAACTCGCCCTTTTATTTCCATCTTTTCCTTAAATTCTTGTCGACACTTGTGCCTGCAAAATAAAAAAAAATTAAAATATAAAAAATTATAAAGTGTAACAATTTTTAAATATCATAGCTATATGTATAAAAGTATACTTAATGTTTTTATAATTATTAGAGAAAGTATAACACTATTTTTAACATTCTCTCTTTGCATAAAAAATATTTTATTTATTTAACGTCATTAAAATCAATTAATTAAATTGAATCGCTATTTTGTCACGATTAAAATGTAATATAGATTCTTAAATTTCTTCATTTATTTACCACTTTTGACACTTGTCTGATTAATTTATATATTTCTCAGAAAGAATTATTTATTTATTTTGAATTCGTATGTTTTAAATTTTTTGCGCCAACTGCTGCTGAAAATAATTTAAAGAAAGAACCGGATCATTCAAAATAATTAAAGGAAAATTTAAAAACAAGTTCGTTATACGCCTAATACCTGCGCTTAGGTTTGTTACACCTTTTTACCTAATTTTGTATTTGTATATTAGAGCTTTTTAAAAAATATTTTTCAATAACACTATATATATCTGTGAATTTTTACACATCACCCTTGGTTTTTTTTCTTATGAGAAATTAATTCATTACGTGTTTCATTGTCAGTGGAATTTACGCGGGCATTCGCACTTAGCTCACCACCTTTTCATCTGTCACTTTGATCAGTATATCTCGAAATCAGTGAGAGATCAAAATTCAGGCATCAAAATCTCAAATAAATTAAACGCACAATTTGCATTCCAAAAAATTATAAAATTCATGTGAAATATCCAAATCGATACCAAGCACCCGCGAATAAAACATCTCCACAACAAAAAATCATATATATTATGTATCGTCTAGTCTGGATGCCCTTTCCGTCTGTCTCGTCGAGATTAAGTTTGTTTCACTGATTTCAGTTCTTTTCACTATATGTACCTTTTGGACTCTTCCGCCTGCGTTGACTTTTCGCGACTGGCGAACTGGATAACTTGCGGGTTCAATACAATCCAGGTCCAGATCCAGACGATGCTTTGCTTCTGTCGAGGAGATGCAATTGACAGTACGGAAGCAGCGGAAGGTGTGGTTGGTGGTTGATAGTGCACTAGCTGACTGACGATCAGGACAGTCGGGGTGCACACCCGGTATAGTCCGATATTGATTGGTGCGTCTGCGTGCCATGCGGGTGTGCGCGACGTCGACCGGTGCGTACCCTTCACGCACGTGCGTAAATGCGTGTGATTCTCCGAGACAGACTATTCGGCGGTCTTGCATATCATCGTCGGTCCCGTGGTCCCTTTTATTTTTAGAACGGCACCGAAAAAAAAGACCGCGCTCCGAAAGCAAAAGTTCGAAATCTTCTATAAGTACTGACGTTTTGTCGATTCTTATATTTACAAATGTAAAATGTAAAGGATATCATTGAGTATATTACGAAAATATGTTTTCCGCGCTTGCCACATAAGATACTATTCTATATATTAAACTCACGTTTTTAATGCTGCGCATATATAAGGACGTTTTATTTAGCATATTACAGTTAATTAGTGGCAATTAATTATATAAGAATATGTTCCGCTTTTATTTTCGTATCTTCAGTTGTAATATGTTAGGTCTTGATCAGTTTTATTTGAGAGTTTATAATATTTTTCAAATGAACTGTTCGAACTAAAAGATTCTTGCAATTATCTAATTGCATAATTATAATATATACTTTTGCATTTTTGCTAAGAATTATAAAAAAGATTCTAATTCAAGAAATATACAATTTTCTTTCTTTTTATTATTAGTATTTCTTTAATATTAATTAAATTTAATATTTTTTAACTTTCTTAAAATATATTTTTTTTAATTATTAGGCAATGCAATATCTTAATCTACAATTTTCGACACTTTATTTTCTTGGTTTCATATAATCAGTTATTTCCCTTAATGATAAAATAATGATTCAAGTTTTTTTATCGATTTTATCACTATATGTTTTCACCAAGTATTTCATAATTACAAAGAGATTTGAATAAAAAATCGATTTTAAAAGTTTTCTGGAAGAAGGAGCAGAGGGTAAAGTCAAATTGAATATTTATTTTCACAAAAAGCATTATTACAATATGATATTAAAAATTAATACATTAAATGTGCACATTATCTCATTTCACATCAAAGTATCAGCTATTCAATTTTATTTTCTAACTTTTTCTTATTTTTTCATAAAAGTATATATTTAAAATTTAATTAACACAATTGAGTTATTAATCTTGAAGAATCTTAAAAAATCTTTAAAAAATATGCTCAAATGCCATGTAAAATATAATAATAGAAATCTTAATTAGATAATCAAGAGATGACGCTTATTAAGACGATATTGCTTTTGCAGATAATGCATCTCGCGCGAGGAGAAGAGACCCTGATAAATCGAACGTCACACACAGATCGCGAGGTCAAAGGTCATCAAACGAAAACACTGGGTTCTTCTATATCAGTTCAAGGAGGTTCTCAAGACCGGTCGAAGATCCACATCGCAACTGGTGATCACAGCATCCAAAGAAACGTATTTGCTTGTCGATTACGTGCAATTTCGCATGAAATTCATTCGACATAAAATTCGCAAACAAAAGTCGATGGTTTTAAGTGTTGATCGGGTCCTTTTATAAGTGAAGAGTAAATTCAGGAAAGAACAGTAGCTGGTAAAATTGACAGGAAATATGCAGATCAAGGATAAACGAGTTATAATGACAGGAGCAGCAACTGATTTGGGTCTGACATTTAGCAGAGAGCTGCTGCGGAATGGTGCCTCGGTACGTTATTATTTCATATATCACGAGATTATACATTTAATAATTAATGTATTCGCATTGAATGTTATTAATAATTCCTTACACACACATACACGCACATCACATACATTATTCTAAAAAAATATTCGTTAAATAAATCGCAACGCGATTTTATATATTCTTGTTTAATCTTTTTTTCATCACTGAGAATAATCAGTTCTCGTAATAGTTAAATACAACAAAGTTTTTCAACCTATACTATCTGATATTATATTCTATGGCTTTGATTGATGAATGATGTTTTTATCTTTGATTATAAATGGAAAAATATGAAAATTTTTTGCTTGTGTGTTCGATAAGTATTATTTATTTAATTTTATATTTTATTACATTTCATTTTTAATATAGTGCAATGTTTATAAATTAATATACTTATAGTTAGACTAATTTTATATATTATAATAAAAATTATTATATAAAGAAATAATTCTTTACATACAAATAATTACACACAAACAAAATTAAATTCTTTATATTACACTTAATAAAGTGATTAGTATATCATTAGTTTTGAAATAAATCTTAAATACATCAAAAGCACAAAAATACGAATAAATAAAAAGTTTTATTATATTGCAATATTTACATACGTAAATTAAATAAAAATAAACGATAATGTCTATCATTTGAAAATACAGATAATGTTATTTGCGTTTACAAGATAAAGTTACTATTAATAAGTAAAAAGAACAAGATTTCTTTAATCAGCGAAATATAAATCACGTGACATATAATAATTCTGAAATATACATGAATTGCAGTAAATTATTTTATACAATAGGAATAACGTAAACATTTTTAGATTATAGTTTTAATCGATGCTCAGCAATCTTCCGGAGAACAAGCTGTAGAGAATTTAAATAACGAGTTTGGCCGCAAACGTGCTGTATTTTTGCATTGCGATGTGACGAATAATTCCGAATTTGACGGTAAGTATACATATACATATCAGCAAAAATAAAATATTTGCCGGAAAGAATACATGCTTAGCAAATGTTTTATATCTAGTAGCGTACCTTAATATTTTAAATTACGCAAATTATGATTATTTGCGCTTGATGAATTAAATTTATTTACGCTGATAAATTTGTTACGTTTGACAGATGTATGTGATGGATGTCTATTTAAAATCGAAACTTTTTTATTGCAGCCACCTTTAAAGAGGCGATCAAGATTCTCAATGGATTGGATATTTTAATAAATAATGCTGGCGTGATAAACGAAATTGATTTTTCCAAAGCTATTGATGTTAATGTGGTAAGTTTTATTTTTAATATTTTGTTTCTCAATTTTGTATTTATCAATTATTGTATTGAGTTTAAGAAATAAAATTACTTTAGATTTAGGGTTCACGAAAGCTTTTTGGTAAAATAATTTTTTTTATATATAGGTAATTGTAAAAATATTGTGAACGTATGATCACACATATAAGTAAGTTTTTACACAGTTACATTAAATATTTAACTAAAAGAAAAATTGATTAATATGAAATGTTACTAATTGTACCTTTTAATTATAAATAAAATCACGTAATAAGGGACTTAATCTTAAGTAAAAGAAAATGTTTTGAAATATAATTATATATAATCTTATTATTATAGACATCTGTAATTCGTGGAACCCTCCTGGGAATTCAACAAATGCGAAAGGACTCTGGAGGCAAAGGTGGCGTTATCGTAAATATTTCGTCCATTGCCGGATTACAAGCAGTATCTCAGCTTCCGGTATATTCTGCTACGAAACACGCTGTAGTTAGTTTCAGCCGGTCTTTTGCAGTGAGTATTTACATGAAAAAATAAACTATAAAAAATTTTGTATTTTTAACAAAAAAATTAAAAAATAAGAAATTAATGGAGAAAGAATAAACATTAGATTTTTTAAATATATAAAATTTTTTTTTCGAAAGCCAAAATATGTATATTTTAACAATGTGAGAATTATTTTTTATTTTATTCTCTATTATTGGTCTAATAGCAAGAAATCTCTTCTTTAAATTAAAATTTCGGTAATAATATGATCTCTAGAGTATTTTATGTAAAAAAACGCTCAAAAAGAGATTCTCGTCTAATGAATTCTAATTTAATATTTTCATCTGGCAGCAACCTTATCACTATGACAGAACCAATGTAAAAGTAATCGTTCTGTGTCCTGGTTTGACCGGCACACCAGTTTTCGAAGGTCTGCCGGAAGATATTTCAAGCACTGACATTTTGCAGAAGTATCAACCTCAGAGGTAAGATTATTAGAAAAGATATGGATTAATTCACCATTAATCCACATTTTTCTAATGAGTGCGAAAGTTTTATAGAATAAGATAATAAAATTAAAATCTGTCAATAGGGTGGATAGCGTTGCTCATGGATTGATATATGTAATTCGTTGCGCGCAAAATGGTAGCGTGTGGATTAGCGAGGATGGAAAACCAGTTTACGAAGTGCAGCTTCCCGACACTCTACCGCAGAAGAAAACCGAGATCGACGTAAAGGAAGATTAATACGAAGTTGATCGAAAATTAAATATTTCACATCGATCATATAACAAATAATATCGATTATAGTTTATATTTTATAAAGTATTTTGTTCAATAAATCAATTATTGATTAATAGAAATTTTAATATGATGTAAAATATTTGTAAGTATTTGTAAAAAATACTTATATACATATAACAATAAAATGAAAATAACTTTGAAATTAGAAAGGAATAAAATAAAAATTTGTTATATATCTCTTTATCTCGATCACTTGTAATGTTTTTTATTGTTATATGTATCTTTTCCATTTTTTGAGAACCAGATATGTTGTATAATAATGTTTTGTAATAAATAATTTATCCACAAAATCGGGAGAACGAGTTAATTAAAAGCCAGGCGCGATTATTTATTGTTAGATAAATTTGCGATTATCTAAGTAATCAGTAATAAATTTCTTTAGAAGAAAAAGAATCCGTACGTCTGGCTTTTAATTAGTTCGTTTTCTTGATTTTATGGATATTTATTACCAGAGCCTTTGACTGCGTTTTTAAATGATTTATATTAATTATAAAAGGCGATTTGCAGAAAAATGCATATATATATATATATATATATATATATACACATAATACACAAACATTGAATCTATATAATATCTAAAACTATACATAGATAAAATATATACTTACGTGCGCGTATATGTAGAATAATCTGCCACTGGTAAAAAAAATTACGTTTAATGATAATAATACATAAATAATAACCCACAAACTGCAGTCGTGGAGCCAGATATTAACTGCATAGCAATTAAACAATAATCTTATGTAGATGTACGTGAATGTATTGGTAAACTGTTGCACCTCCGAATCTGATGCAGATAAATGCATAAACGCATACAAAGGAGAGAGAGTCTCGCATTTTTACCATGCGTAATATGACGTGATAATTAAGCAAATATGATAATTAAGCAAAAATCATAAAAGAGCAATTACTTTTCTTTCGATTCGGAGTAAAGTTCGATTTAATCCGACTCATGCCGGTTTCTATCATCTGCTCGAGGCTGATTCCTCCTCGTGGATTCCTTCTTTGCTGATTTATCGTCGGCACGACGCCGACCGGACGTTAAGTGCATTTTTTCTATTGATAAGACGTAGCGAGCGCGAGCTGTGCGCACGTCAAGCTGTTATCACTGCTTTGTGCCACACGACTGCACCGAGTGCGTTATTTCTAATTAAGTTTGCCGATGCACGAGCAATCGGTGATAAGCGCCAGATAATTTGAAAATATTGCAGGAATGCAGCGATTATCAGCTTCTTTTTTCGCGTTGTCTCTCTTCTGGTCTTGAACTCTTATGCATACATATTTAATAAATTGACCAAAAAAAGAGATAAAAAGAAGACTTCGATCCAGTGACTTTAACAAATATCAAACCTATACATATATTAATATATAGATTCAATGTATAAATATATATAGAAGTATAATTATGTAAAAATTAGATAAAAGCTCACCCTTATTCGGCAACTGTTTATAACATCGATTTTTCTGAATTTTCTCGTTATCTGTATATCTGTATTCGCGAACTCGAGAATGCAAAAAGAATGCACTAAATGGTAAGGTCACGGAAGGTCAGCTACATTTGATTAGTCGACTGACGACGATAAGGCGATCGATGATTTTTTATTGCGCACTGCTCTTCATGTTCATTGCGGCAATGCAATTATGCGAACGCAGTTCGGATTCGTCAATCAAAAGTTATCACACAAGATGATCATCGCATATTAAATACCCGGAACAGATAGTTAGCTTTGGGTTTGACCTTTACGAACTATATATGCTATATTATATAAATATATAGTATTTTATAAATATATAGTATGCAATTTGCGTCATATATGACATTACTCTATCATTTTTCAATAAAACACGCTGTTTAAGCTTGTTTCTTTAATTGATATAAAGATATCGAATGCAATCATTTCTTATAAGATCTGTTTTAGTTGAAGTTTCTTGTATTTTTTTATTTAAAATATGATGTACGTATGTTTATATTTTATAGAAAACGAAAGAAGATATTGCAATTGTGTCAAAGATGAATGGAGAACTATTAAGGGGTCAAGAACGAGAAGTAATTTAAAAGTATTATGAAGATACACATTGTTTATGAGAGCTATTTATCTGCACAAGACTGGAAAAAGGGAAAATATTTCTCCTCATCACACCTCGTGCTGCGAATATAATGTATGATCTACCAGCCAGCTCTGCGTCCCGTAGCTGTCATAAATTTTTATTAATAGAAGCTCGCAGGGGTGAGATAAAATATACAAAACAAATATTTCGTGAAAAAAATTTTTTAAATGCACGTAGTTGGGGTGCGTTTTAATAAATTTTAATTTTACTCTTGGCTAGAACATTTGACCGCATTTCTAGTATATTTTATGCTGACATTTTTTATTATATTATTTTAAAAATATTTAATAGCCTTTTCTTAAATATCGCTTGTATAATGCTAAAACTAAACAAGAATAATAGCATTTATAAGTAATGAATGGACTAGAGAACTGCTGATATATCCCTTTAAAGGATGAATTAATGATTAGAAATTTTATGGATTTCGCATTATAGACATTTTAATCGCTAAATTAATATTCTCTTATACTCTTATAGTGAAACGTACTGCTAATAATGCAACGAAATGAAAAGCAAACACATAATTGTAGAGAACACAATCACCTAATGCGACGCATTACTTGGATCACGACCTGCTGCGATATAATGACTATACCGCTATTATCCTCAAGTAAAAGGAAAAGTATAACTGCTTAAAAAAGTTTCTCGATTTATGTTCAGTATCGGAAAGCGGGTTGCCGACGCGACGCGATTAATTAGAAGGGGTTAATTAGGGGAAGCGTTATCAAGAGCGCGGCGCGAAAAGAGAAAGACGTAGAAAGTATCTGGCTAGTCTAGCAAAAGAGAAGATAAGCAAGAGACAATGAAAAAGCGTAGAATCGTGATTAATGTTAATGATTAAAAATCGTAAAACATAACTATCGAAAATAATAATCTTCAATATTTCAATATTTTGGTCTATTTTATATAAAATAAGTTTATTAAGTATTACTGAATTATTTGTCATGATAAAATCTAAAAAAGGTTTTTCGTAGAAAAATTAAATTATTAATTTAATGAATCTAACAACATTTCTTATTTAATCAATCTAATGTATTTGTTCGAACATTTTTGTTGAATAAGTACATCAGATAAATGCAGAGCAATAGTCAATTTTTAAGTTTCTGAAATTATTGATATTAATTTTTTACAGGAAAGTTAATAAAAAATCTTCTTTTTGAGAGATCTTAATCATTCGATCTACGCTTAATTCAAAGTCCATCTGAACAGCCCCGCCACGAAGAAAGTCGCGGTATCGTGGAGAATCCCACGTTGCTGCTTATATAAATACTTGGAGGACCGTCTCGAAGATCAGTCAAAACGTACGTGTTAGCACGAGTTCTTCTCGATTCTTCTAGTTTCAACGTTTTGCTTCATAAATTAAGCTTTTCGAAAATTGGCTGTGTTTATATTTAAAGTATTCATAATGGTTTCGTATACGGAGAAGAAAATGGGTAGGTTTGATCTTTACACCACGAGATCTACCGTATTTCGAAGGCATTTTGCGATTCGATAAAGTACCTCGACATAAAAAAATGTGCAATATAAAAAAAGGATTTTTAAATATTGTGAAATTCTTCGGATTTTCGAGATGCTTTAAAAAATCGCACGAAAATTATGTGATATTTATTTAAAAAATGCAAAACCGTTGTCAACAGATTGTTCTTTTGCGAAGTTAAATAAATGTTCAGTGGAGAAAGTATCTAAGTATTAAAAAGTTTTAATAAATGAAAGAATCGGATGTTTTTTAAGTTACGAAAAAATGAAAAATTTATTAAAGATACATTTGAACATTTTGATAAATGTTTTGCTGCAGTATTTCATTAATGATATATATATATATATATATAAATGAATAAAAATGTAAGTTATTGTATTTATTAAATCTTAAATGTTAGAAGTAAAATATATAGATTTGACTAATCCTTGCAAAAAGAATTAAAATTGGAAAGGCTATTAATTTTTTCATGAAATATATGATCTAGACATAGTTATTATATAAATAGATAATTATGCAATAAATATTAAAATAATAAACAAATTTTTGCTAAAAAATATAAATTGCCTTTTTGTTTCAATTTTTTAAAAGAAATCTATACATTTAATTTCATATAATTAATAAATATAAATGTAAAATAATTTAAATAACATAAAGAAATATTAATTGCTGTGATTATTTCAATATATTAAAATTAATTTTATTAATTTATTGAGTAAATTTTTTATATTATAGATCCCAATCCGCCAACACTTCGCCGACGTTCATCAGCATCCGAAAGAGCGAAGGAAATAGAAGCAATTAATTGCATAGTTTCTGCGAAAAATGTTTTAATAACTGGCGGAGCAGCAGGATTGGGTAACGCTTTCCTCAACAACTTCTTAAAGCATGGAGCAAATGTAAGCATAATCATTAAAATAATTAAACAAAATTATAATATAAGACTTAAAAAAATTGTGCCTCTCTCTATAAAAATATTTATATATAATTTATAAAAAAATCTATAATGATACATGAAATCATGTATGTATATATAAAATCTATTATTTATTATATAAACCTTGAATTTTTCGTTATAAATGTGTCTTTTTATATAAATATCTTTATAAATTAGAACAATTAATATTTTGTATAAATTAAAAATGATATATCTAAATATAAATGTAAAGCTATTCTTTTTCATCTACTTATTAAATCTACAAAATGTATATTGATTTATATATGTATTATAATTTTGTTATATATATTATATTTTTATTCATATTTGTTGCAGAAAATAATTATATTGGACATCGATGCTGAAACCGGCAAACGAATCGCACTTGGTATCGAAAAATCTTACGGCGAAAAGAAGGTATACTTTATACAGGCCGACGTATCTAATCACAAGCAAATGACTGGTAAATATGAGGCAATACTCTAAAATCGCGTACGGATGTTTATTTGGACATTATAATCACTGGACCTCCCATCGAATATTATCTTATTTTGCGTCTGCTATATCAATTTTAGACGTTTTCGAAGAAGCATCTTCGCTGTTGGGAAGCATTGATATCGTAATTAACAACGCTGGGGTTTTGGACGAGCGAAGATGGGAAAAGGAAATCGCGATAAATATTGTGAGTATCATTAATAACAATCTATTGATTTATTAGTAATTTATTAATGTCATTAATGATAATTTTTTAATTTCATCATTTCCTTACCCTGTGCTCTTACACGATACTTTTCTAAGACCTTGAGTATCTCATATTTTTACACTACAATCAGCTCTTCAAGATTGTTACAAAATCATTTCGTAAGCACATTGCGCATAAGCAATAAAATGATTAGAAAATAAAGGTTATTAATAAGAGTAATAGTAAAAATCGAAGAATTGATTTTAAATAAATAATTTAATATATCTTATTATAGGGTGGCATGATCAATACTGCAATGTTAGCCGTGAAATACATGAGAAGAGATACGGGTGGTCATGGTGGTATTTTGGTGAACGTGAGCCAACACACGGATATTCGAAACACGGCCCAGCTTCCGGTTTATACTGCCACGAAACACGCCGTCATTGGTCTATCGGAATCTCTTTCGGTAATTGTATTTTATATCTATATAAATAAAATTAAACACAATTATAAGTGTTTCAATTATTCAAACAAGTACAAGTTGCCATTTGAATAAAATTTGTGATCAATTTATACTATCATTTGTTAGAACGGATCTTTTAAAAATGATTAGAGATATCAAAGTCTTTAATTTTCATCATTCACGAATTCAATTATACTTTTGGACAGGATCCTTGTAACTACGAGAAGACCGGTGTTTCCGTAATAACTTTGTGTCCAGGACTGACGGAAACCGCCCTGACGATAGACAGCCCCAACAAATTACTCTCCAGAGTTATGAAGGCGGATTTCGTTAAAAGTCTTGAACAATTCTCGATACAGACGTAAGTTATATCAGTTTTCTATTGTCTTTTACATCATCGACATGATAGATGAATTGGATATAAGAGCGCTGGATTTATGCTCGCTGTGCAATATTTTAATCGCAATCAATTAAATTATTTACAAGTATTTTTCTCTAAGCTCCCGCGAGTGCCGAGACATGAGTTTCCTCTTCCTAACGTGAAGATGTAGCTCGCGTTTAGCTTGTAAATCCGATCCTGTAGTAAAACATGACTTATCTCTCCTTCGGTGGTTACGTGTAATCACTAACTCGAGAGATAAATTTCTCAATGTAATTTCGTTATTTAATCGTATTGTTCTTTTCTCCAGACCTTATGTAGTCGCGCAGGGTCTAATGACAATATTGAGGACCGGCGAGTCCGGCAGTATTTGGGTAATCGAGAACGGCAGAGCGCCTTACGAGATTTACGTGCCGAATCCGCAAACACTACGCCGACACTACAAGAACAACTTTTCGTACGTCGACACTAAGGTCGTGAGAGGTCGCGCGATAAGGGAAGTCTGCGACAACAGTAGAACAGGCCTGATGAGCTGTGCCTGATAATTAAACAAGGGCTCGACATCGTGATCTCTCTCTTGCTCTACTCTAGGGTCAAGAATCTTTTCGCGCGACGTCCACGTGGCGGACGCGTCGTCACTCGTCGAGACTTCGATGAAGACATTTCACACACACAAATATAATCAAAAGCGCGAAAGTGATGGAAGTGCAGTCGAAGCGAAAAGTCGTGATAAGCTCGCAAAAGATCTGTTCTTTCGCGATTATCACGCATCCTCCGTATATTATTTTATATTATATAATTATATATTTATTATTATTATATAATATCATATAATACTATTATATAATATTATATAATTTCACGCGCATCTTCTGCCATTTGACTGTATTCGCGCAATAGTTTATATTTCTTTCATAAATTTTCTGGCACATTGTATACGTATCTGAGTTTATTTTTTTTTAACGAAAAGTCAGATTATATATAATAGATATTTTTGTGATAAAATTTATAATAAATGATTTGAAAAATAATATCGATACATAGAAATAAGATCCCAAGCAAATTTCATAGATTCGTACGAATACTTTTACTTATTTCCTTATATCCTGTAAACTTTCAAATTCGTTATGAATAGAGGAACATTGGAATTTCTCTCAATTACTTTGATACTAAAAGTTTCAGTGTGCATGTTAACGACAATCACTTTCGAGTCATTTAAATGCGTCATTTAAAAACATAAAAACACAAGTCCATATGTGCAGAAATAGAAAGACATAATTGCTCTCGGTACGTCCGACACGTGATAAACTAACGCGACCTGTTAATCTGAAAGGACGATAATAAATCACTCTAGTTTGTATCGCTTATCAAGCATTTGAAAAACACTGGATGTAGCGCGTGGAAGACGCCATTTTTTACGCACATTTTAATCACATCGTATGTAATACGCAGCACATTTCAGTATTATCAAGCACACGATAGCCTTGTATTTAACATACGTTAAGGTCCTACGTGTATAAAGACGTTATATAATTCTATTTACATCCAAGTATGTCTTTTCTCCTTTTTTGAAAACAGCACAACACTTATCTTTTACACATCTCAAGTCGCTTCTTTAAATTCATGTAATCCGGCATTTAAATTCGTAAAACTCACGCATTCATCAAAAAGAGGAAGCACAAGAGAAGGATCTGTATGAATATTTTACAGTAATATTTTCTCGACATTATAATTTCGTGAGGAAACGAAAAAGTTTTTTTTTATTTCACACTCGAGTACTAACTGGAAAGAAGTGCGTAGGAAATTGGAAATGACACGACGACGTGTTATTTCATCAGTTCAATATTATTCAGCATCGGGAATCACAATATATCCGCTGTACAAAACAAAAATTTATTTCTCGCGTATATTTATGTTTTATTATTTATTCTTTTAACATGCGCAAGGCATGAAACTTAAAATTAAATTTTTTCACCACTATATTTCTTTCTATTCGCGTATTTCGTTTTATTATATTTCCTATGATTCTTTTTATTTTACTCTGTGTTTCCTCTGACAGCTTATTGGAAATTTGCTTATCAGTTATATAAATTTCAAGTTATGTGTGTATGTATGTATTTATATAATATCTGTATGAGTTGGACTCTGTACGAGCCATAGAAAAATAATAGTCGCAAATAATTCTTATTTTGTTTCTTCCACGTCTTATATCTTTAAGGACATTATCATGTTTTTTAGTCTTATTCGTATCGCCATTTAACACAATTCTACGCGCAGTATCGTCGTGTATCAAAAAGGATTCTTCGAAAGCGTGAATAGTCGATTACAATCGAATTGCAATGACAAAAATAATCTTTCTGCGTTTAACGCTTTGGACATTTTTGCCACGATTCACTTTTATACGCGTACAAACACAGTTCGTCGTTTACGCATACAATAACTGTTCTGTTTCAAAACCAGAACGATTGAATAAATTTGTAAAATAAAACTTAATTAAATAATTACGATTTTACTCGAATATACATGTATGTTATTTTACATAAATAATTATTTAAATATATTGTTTTTGCTCCACATATATGTATATTGAATATAAGGATTTCTTCCTGAGTGTGTATTATTAGTTTCAAAAAGAAAAAATCAAAAGATACATATATATATAATTGGTAAAATATTGATTTCAGATATAATTATAAATAATATGTGAACCTTTGAAGAATATCAATTTTAATAGGTACATCATAAATTATAAATTTTATATAATTTATCATTCAAATATAGTGTGAATTTAGAGTCCAATTTTTTATTCTAGAGCAATCGAGGAATCCTTAGTTGCACGATGACAATAATGTAACATGATTTAGAACTTAGCTACTTACAACAATACGACTGACGCTTACAGCTTTCATTATTCTAAACGCAGATCATACAAAGAAAGAGTAAACAGACCGCAAGCTTCCAATTTAATAATAGAAAAATTCTGTATAAATTGGTTTTCCCCTCATTTCCCCACTTATTATATACTGATCCACCTTAATAAAATTATATGTTTACATGAACTTCATGCTAAGCACTCGAAGAATTTTGTCTGCGTACGCTCAAAAAAAAAAACAAAAAATAAAAGGGTATATCTTTTTGTTGCCAAATTTTGCTTGTACTATATATTTCACAATATTTCTATTCTCGACAAATGCAATTAGATATCGATAATCGATTTTTACATACTTTGACGAGAAAGTACTTTTATGCATCGTCTATTGCCATTCACTTCCGATATACGGATACAAACCAACTATTCCATAACGACCAGTATCATCAAGTCACCATCATCATAAAGCCATTCCATAATTATTTATAGTCAAGTCTTGAGAAAACCGGACTGAATAATGATCACGATCGAATTGTACAATTTTTCCTTAACTAATTACAAACTAATTTGTTTAAAGTATGGCTTCAGATTATCCCATTAAGAATTTTATCAACAGAGACATACTTCAAATAAAACTTATGACTATTCTTCTCAAATAATTTTCTTTCTCAAATTCTTTTACGTATCCGAATTCACAAATAAGTATCAATATAAAAAGAAGAAAGATAAAGAACAACGTTTTAGTTGTAATTGACTTTGCTTCCCTGACAAAATACTTTTTTTCTCGACACCAACTCATCGTGATCATTGTCGACTAAACGGTAAGAAAATTTATCTCTAAAAGTACCTTCCTCGATCATCTAGTCGCAAAATATCGATGCAAAGAGTCATGCGCCAGAAACGTCCATATGTGCGATTCTTGTCATCTAACTCCACACGTAACCACCGGTTCGGCGCTTGCAAGAAAAAAAAAAGGCGCGCTTCCTTATACAATATAATCTACATTTTACGCCAGCCGCGTGTATCTTTTATTATTCGATTGCCAAATTCTAACTCAAATCAGTCCATAACGGTAGACCACATATCGTAAAAATCTTAATATCTATAGTTCAATACTTATATGTATCAGCGCATCTCGCTCATATACTCCGCGGCATATTATTTATACTCTTTTACGCCGTACCGGTGACAAATTACATTCTTCCTTTATATTTAAATATTTAAATTCGTCTGCGATTGGGAGGCAGACTGTTCGTTGGTCGCGCGATTTTGACTCACCGTATTACTCTGTAGTTGATTAGGTGGCTTCCGATTACCGCCCCTGCTACCTCGATAGCCACCCCGGAAACCGGGGTTACCACCACCACTGCCTCTGTACATATTTCCCATTCCACGAGTGAAATAACACGCCCGCGGAATCCTCCGCGTCTCGTGGAAGCCACGCCGAACGTTTCCGAATTCAGCTTTCGTTCCGTTCTCCAATCCGTGCGTTGGAATCGCCTTTATATTAAGTATCACAAAATTTTATATTAATTTTTTTAAGTTTTTTTATTTATTTTTATTATATATATATATATATATATATATATATATATATATATATATATAGATGAGAAAATAATTAAAAAAATTTAATGTAACAATTTTATCTAAAAAATAAATAAAGTTAAAAAATTAAAAACTTAAAAAAAATAAATTTTGAATTTGAGAAAATATTTGAATTAAAATAAACTTAGAGGAACTTAGATTTAAATATTTTATCAAATTTTTAAAGATATTTTTAATAATTTTTAAATAAGTATACGCGTGCGTTGATGCTGTGTGATGATTGACTTTCTTAATTGTAATTGTATCTATTAGACATTCTTAATAACACTTACCCTTTACTCCTTTCGACAGCTTCACAGCTAATATTATCAAAGAATGATTTCGATTTATCATAGTGAACAATCTCCGGTTCTTCTTCGGGTTCACCTTCACCCGCGCCTGTTTCATTCCCGCTATCGTCTTTCTTCTCATTGTCAGCACCATCAATTTTCGTTTTTGCCAATTGCGACCTGAAATATATGAACAATATATTTTATTATATCATTGAAAGTAATTTATTATTATCGAGTTGTTAATGTGACGCGTAAGCAATTCATATGTGATGATATATGACCGCTTTAAATTCACATTGATTTACTTTTGCATGGTATTCACATTGGTCATTTCAACAATTACTTGAAATGAATCCGGCACATAACCATGCAGAATTAATTATTCACTTTATTCATAAACACTTTATTCTTACCTCAATTCTTCGAATTCAGTATTGGCTTGCTCGAAATCATAATCGTTGTCAAATTTGAGTGTATTCTTAGGCTTGGCACCAGCGTTGCCTGCTTGAATTGTACGGAAATTACCACGTCCTCTATTTCCTCCTCTACCTCTCATGTTACCACGATTCACCCAACCACCTTGGGGATGACCACGGTTGCCTCGTCCACCTTGGCCATGACCTTGGTTCTGGCCATCTTGCTTCATCATATCCCTCTTTCCATCATTGTATTGAGACATGCCCATATTACCCTTAGCGCCTCCGTGGCTATTAAAAGATGTTCTATTAAAATTAAAAAATTTGTTATCAAACAATATTAATAACAGTAATAAATGTGTGTATATATAAAATAAGTAATTAAATTCCAAATTTGTGACTAAAAATCCAGCATTAAATAATAATTAAAAATAAAGTATAAAAAGTTATAAATGTAATCATATTTCTAATATCAATTCTAAACAAATAAAGCTGTTTATTAGTAATTCTTTATAGTTTTATTATATAAAATCGATAAATTCGTAGATAAAAATTATAGTAATTACCTGTCATGGTCTCGACGAGGTGGTTGGACGGTCCTAATGTTTGACTTATCATTCATTTTTCCAATGTTACTCTGTTGCGATTGCTGTTCATGTCCTACCTGAATACCTTGATCCATAGTTGGACTTTTCCTCGTCAATAAGGATGATGTAGGAGTAGTAGAACGGGAACCACCACTGATGAGATCTAATACACCTGTTATTTCCAAATAAATGCATCAAGTAATGTATATTTTTATTAATATAAAAGGGCAATAATAGCAGACTGAAGATGTTTAAGCATTCTTAATTCCACACGAAACTTTAGTATATAAGAAAATAAAAACAATTTTTTCATTCCCTACTTTAAATAAAAGATTGTATACTTCTACAAAAGTTTCGCGTATATGAATGTAAAAGAAATCTCTCGAGGACTTTTCAATTATTATTACTGGTCATTATGACTGTTCTTGCTATTTTTTTTGGTTTTGATAAAGGAATAAATGGAATAAAATCGAAAAATGCATATGCAAAAAATATCATGCATTAAAAACTATAAAATGTAAAAATATTGAATTATACATATAAAAGTTTATACAAATGTGCAACATTTAAATAGCTACTACCAAGGAGCTATACCTACCTGTGAGGTCAAAAAAACGTATTTTTAGGAATTTTTTTTAAACTGAAAAATTTTTAAAATAAATGATTAATTATTCGAATGTATACATTTTGAAGATTTTATAGCATTTTTTTAATTACAAAATATTAAAAATCAAAAAAGATATCAGCGATCTTCCCGAGAGCATCTTTTTTGTATTTTTTTGCGGTGACTACTGTAGCTTTGAGCTAGTTTATCTAAAATGAAAAATTCGAGCGAATTTAGTTAGTATATTAGTTTATCTAGTGCCCGATCGTTGCTTTTTATTTTTCGTTGCGTAGTTTTTTTACAGATAAAAATGAACGATTTTTAGTCGAAAATCGATACTTTAACTTTAAACAACCGCCATTTTCTCCCAAATTAATTTTTCGAAATAATGAACGATCGGGCACTAGATAAACTAATATACTAACTAAATTCGCTCAAATTTTTCATTTCATATAAACGATCTCAACGCTACAGTGATCACTACAAATAAATACTTTCGGAGAGATCGCTGATATCTTTTTGTTTTTTATATTTTGTAATAAAAAAAATACTATAAAATCTTCAAAATATATATACTTGAATGATTAATCATTTATTTTCAAAAATCTTTCAGTTGAAAAAAAATTCCTAAAAATACATGTTTTTTCAACCACACAAGTAGATATAAGCCCTTAAAAATATTTTTCAAAATTTGTCAAAATATTAAGATTTGAAAAAACAGAAATTTTATCATGCATAAAAGTACAAAGCAATATTTATGCAATTAATATTTTAAGATACATATATAAAAAACAGATAGATGCAAAAAAGCTTGCAGAATACTAGAAATAATAGCGTGTAAGAGTGGATAGTTAATAGAGCTGACAATTTAAAATTCGTTGTTTTAAAGTTAATCATAAATATAAAAAGATACTTTTAAAGTGTATCGTCGTATATACATACATAAATTCTCATACATCTTATTCCAATTTATAATAAACAAAGCTCCATATAAAAAAGTTTTGCAGGCATTACCAAAGCAGGAGCAGCAAGAAGCATGCCAGCAAGGCAAGGGATATTTCATAGCAAAAACAGTTTACCATCTTCCAGAGATTGATCTTTTGGTAATGGGTCGATATTGGCCGTTGACAGTGAGTTTGGGATAGAGATGGCATTGGGTTCAGCAGAGCCCAAGCTCAACTCACTTGGCTGTTTATTATTTGTTCCTCGAGGATCTCTAGTTGCGGTTGGCATTCCCATTACCGGACCCATGGCTGGCAAACCCATGCCATAGGGACCTCCATATTGGCCACCCATTGGGCCCATTTGGCTCATCATTGGATGGGCATAATTAGGCTGTGGTTGATACGATTGCTGCCCCATAGATGGCTGTACTGTCATCTAAACAAAATGCATTTATAATATAATATAAATAATTTCAACTGTCATTAGGCACATTGTGTTTGTGTTAAATTTAAGAATGCTTCTTTACAAATAATAGAAATATAGAAATGTGCTAAAATAATTACCTGCATAATAGCTGGATCATTGGGAATAGAACTAACACTGTTGACAACTCTGATGTCTTTGATGTCAGATCCGCGAAACAGAATGTACTCGTATACTTGATTTTGTGGTGCCACAGGAAGTTGAGTTTCTCGGTCCTCAGTACCAAAAGAGCGCACTAAAAAAAACAATAAATAATTTATTTCAAGTTTTGGCAATTAAAGAAATATTGCAATTAAATCTCTCTTGTTATATTAATATTGAAAGATTTATTATAATAGTCAGAGATATATCTAAATTATTTTAAAGTAATTAAAATAGCTTCTCTTTTTTAAAAAGTAATATTTAAAATAATAAAATAATATCCATAATATTTAAAAATTATTTAATACTAACAGCGCTATTATTTTGTATTGCAATAATTTATTTGTATAAAATCTTTATTTTATTTTACATTAATTAGTATCATTCAAAGAGAGAAATTTTCTGTTATAAATATTTTATAAAATTTTATTCAAGTTTTCTTATAACTACTCATGTAGCGCATACAGAAAAAATATATAAATCCAATATAGGAGATTTCCAAGAATAATATTTGTTCATCAGATTCGAGATACTCCAAAGTCATTTGCCTATATGTTGGATCTAAGGAAACAAGGAAATCAAGGACATGTAAACATTCTAAAGAAAAAGACAAACATTCCACATATGAACGTTACACATACCATATTCAAACTCAAAATTCATCGATAACATATTAATAATAAATCAACTTTTAAAATAATATTACAACAAATTATAAATCCAAAAAATTTGCATAAATTTTTTGATTTACTAAATTTATCATCTCTACTCACTATAATCGAAAATTATCAAAATATAATCATCATCATGATATAAAAAAATGCAACAATTTACAATTTTCATTAGCAGCCAAATAATCACCTGAATTTATCGTAACCGGAATATATGACTGAATAAGCTTTAACAGTTATCTCGATGATTGTGATATCAAACGAAGTTTCCAAATATGCAGATTAAATAATGCGACGCCGCGGGCGATTAGATTCAGCGAAATTCGGACTTTGCGATCACGAAGGAAGCTTTCGAAACCGGCGTGTCTTTTGGAAAAACTTTCGTTGAGTCTGAAGGGTCCGGGGTCACCGCGACCCCGATTGTTTTGCGACGCGATATGTCCGCCGGCCGAATCGCTTCACAATGAAACGGAGCGGTTTTTCCGAAGCGGAAGAATCGCGGAGAATTGTCATCGTTAATCTCGCGCGCGAGTGGCCTCGACGAGGGTTGCTCTTCGAACAAAGAACGAAACCGGCTCGATCCGATCGGACGGGAAGATGACCTCTCGCGTGTTTATCCGCGAAAGTAAGACGAGTCGCAGAGGAGTCGTAAAATTTACGCGCGATATATATATAATGAAGTATTTGAAATCGAACGGAATTACGCCGGTGAAATTTATCCCGAGAGATTCTTCGCGAGAGGAGAGAGACTCTAATAAGGAAACAGGGATATTAATTCGAAGGGAGAATACTTTTTTCTCGGTGGCGTTGGCGACGGATTCCGTGCATGGCAGAGAGATGCGGCGCGGCCGGGACTCCATCTTGGATTCCCGTCGATTCCACTCACCGTTAGCCAGGGCGATCGTGCACTCCTGTGGATCGACGGTGAATAGTCGGCCCTCATAGCGAATATCCGCCTTCGAGATCAGGCTGATCTTCGAGCCCAGCTCTGGCATACCACCGCTCATCTTGATTCTGGCTCCGTCACGCACTGATCGATGTGATATTACGGGATTCGCGACACCATCTGACGAGACTCTCCAGCTGACAGCAATGGTCGACGGCGGACTGTCGGAGAGCGCTAACGCGCACGCGCATGCGCGCGACGCGGCTTTCCCCACTCCGCCACCGGATTTAGGGGAAGTCTTTAACGCGAGCGTCGCGACACTGGGGACCAATCGCAGCGAAGCTCCCTTCGTTTCCGATTGGTCGAGCGTCCAGACTTGTCCAAATCGTGACATGTGTGATGTTGGCGGCAATTTTTGTATATATATCAACAAATATATTTGTGGTTATATAATTATTACATATATATATATATATATATATATATATATAAATAATTTTTATATATAAATAAATAAATAAATATATATAATGATGCATATAAAAGGATAATTTTGAAATCGACATAATTTTGATATAAGAAATAAGATAAAAATAAATAGAAGATATTTTTGTATACATATATTATATATTATATTATATATATATATATATATATTATATATATAATATTAATAAAAATATAATCATACACATAAAAGGATAATTTTGAAATCGACATAACTTTCGTGTAGAAAATTAGATAGGAAAAAAAAGATAAAATTGATGAAATAATGAATATATAATACAGAAGGGAGGAAACTCGAAAAGATAAAATTAGAAAAAAAATATTTGCGCACATATTATGTACATAAGTTATATTATTTTCTATATATTAGTCATAATGGAGCGAAAAATAAGCCGATTTGAACATGTGACGTTTGCGGTTATGTTGGCAGCCCTGCGTGAGTTCGATCTCGAGAGTTCTCCTCATCTCGATATATCCGTCGACTCCTTTTAAGCTCTCTTGGAGTGATCGGCGAAAAAAAATCGAAATAATCGCGGAAGGATTTTTGCGAGGGTCGCGAATTTTCGTCGAAGACACAACGCACCCTTCATCTGACTCTAGTGCGCAACCCTTCGCACGTTATTGCACCTCTGGCCAACATGGCGGCGACGTTAGGTCGGATTTGTAAATCGGGTCTTTTAAAGCCGAATTACGGCACCCTGATCGGCCAGGTAAGTGAACGACGTGAGCCGGCGTCGTCGGCGATGTCCGTCGATATTTTTTGCGCGAAAATTCACGTAGGAAATCGTGACAGTTCGAATGTCAAACGTAACCCGATATTGACCTGAGGGCTCTCGTCGAGGGCAACTCGTGGGCGACTGTCGGCTGCACTGTCACGGCAGGATTTTTCGTATTTTCACATCCCACGGGACGTTCGCGCGAAGTCGGGACGCCGACGAAGGGTGCGACGTCGCGCGACCGCGATCCCGTGACGATTTCGACGATACTTTAACAGATGTTATGTAATACCAAAAATCGAGATGCTGCCATGATAAACATGTGTTGCTGATATGTAGCTTTAATGCGTGGTGAAGACGCAGGTGAATGTGTATTATCGTACACGCTGTCACGATGAATTACTTAATATGCATAACATAATCTTATATATAAGCAATTGGAAGAACAAATGTATCGTCGAATTGTCATAATTGTCAATTTTGAATCGAGTGTTATACTTGTTACTGTATCACACATATTCTTTCTCTGATTTCATTGTATCGCAGTAATATTTACAAAAATTGAACAAATGTAATACTTGCAAGTTCAAATTTCTTTATTTGTCGGCAAGTATTAATGTATCTTTGACTTGATTAACAGAGAGTATACTTAATTGCATACAATTCAGTTTACAGTTGATCTACATATAAATAATAGGTATGTGAGAAATATATAAATAAAAGATATTTATAAATTTAAAATAATTGAAATAAAAAATCAAATTGATCAGTGGTGAGAAAAGAGAAATAGAAATATATAATAAAGGTAAACATATACAATAAAGCAGTAAGCGAGTATTTGTCTTCCCCTATTTTTGTAAAATGTTATATGCACTGTATATTATGTTATTTAAACTTTGAATTTTATTTCTACAGACCAACAATTTCTCTACTACTGTGAAAGATTGGTCTAGGGGTCGAAAAGTGGTATGTGAATTTGATTTATCTCGAAGATATTCCAACCTTGTCCTATTCCTCATTTATCAGAAACAATTTTTGCAAACTACATGTATTGATAGTAAGTTAGAGAATTTGTAGTTGATTTATTTCACTAAACTAATATTATTATGTAACATGTGCCAGTGACATTATATAAACTATATTACAAGAAAGCAAATAGTAATACCTATAACATTTTTAATTACAGTTATTAACATGCTTAGGAGTGACAGCCGGAGGCATCAGTGCCTTCATCTATGCTTTAGATAGCTCAGTAAGAGCTAGTGATTTGATAGCTCATCCACCAACATATAAGTGGGATTTCTATGGATTGTTTAATTCTCTGGATCATGCTAGGTACAATTTTTTAGCATAATATTAGTCACAATACTATTATTATTAATTCTATTTTTTATTATTCTATTGTTACTAATTAATTTTTTTATTTTATAGCATGCGACGAGGATGGGAAGTCTACAAGAATGTGTGTGCAGCTTGTCACAGTTTGGAATATGTTGCATACCGTCACCTTGTTGATGTTACTCACACTGAAGCAGAAGCCAAAGCTCTCGCAGAAGAAGTCTTGGTATATTTTAATATCAATTACAAGAAATTGTTTTATGTATGTAACTTTATAGAACATAAAATGTAATAGTTTATGTATTTTTTATGATAATAGATAGAAGATGGCCCTAATGAAACAGGAGAATATTATAAACGCCCAGGAAAATTATTTGATTATGTACCATCTCCGTATCCAAATGAAGAAGCTGCCAGAGCATCGAACAATGGTGCTTATCCACCTGATCTATCTTACATACTCAACGCCAGGCATAATGGAGAAGTAAGTTATTTCTTAGTCTTTATAAAAAGAGAAAAGATACAATTAAATCTATAACAATTTCTTTTATGTGTAAAATTTTGTTAAAAAGATTGATTTTAATTTCTTTTCTAAAATTTTTAAATCATATGTATACATGATTTTAGAAATATTATATACATATGTATAATTAAACTTGGAATAATTATATACATATAATTAGACATATATGTTGAAATTATTTTGAATATTAAAAAATACAAATAATTTTTATTTAAAAAATATTTCAGAACTACATTTTCTCTTTATTGACTGGATACTGTGATCCACCAGCTGGTATAACATTGAGAGAGGGACAATATTTCAATCCATATTTCTTAGGCGGTGCCATTGGTATGGCACAGGTAAGTCATATAATTTTTTTGATGTAAAGTATTACAATTAGCAAGATTTTAAGTTTTAAATAAAAGAAAAGAAAATATATATAATTCGAATTTTTTATAGGCTATTTATGACGAAGTGTTGGAATATGAAGATGGTACTCCTGCAACTGCCTCTCAAGTAGCAAAAGATATTACCACATTCCTAATGTGGACTGCCAATCATGAGTACGATGATAGAAAAAGAATGGCTATCAAGGTAAATTGAAAATCATAATTTTACTTTAATGTATCTTATCTCAATTACTTTAATTATTTATTTAGGCTATTGGAATACTGGGAATTCTCACTGCTGCTTCATATTATTTCAAAAAACACAAATGGACGACTATAAAGAGCACAAAATTAATGTTTATTCCTAAAAAATATAAATAGTTAGCTATAGCTCGTGCTGGAAATTAACTCGGCGATGTTAGCTATTGCGCTGGTATCGGAATGTAGTTTCACAATTTAAGCAATGTATCCGGCAAGTTATGGCTCCTTTCTGAAGATTCAAATTTATTCATATAGCATTTGACATGTGAGTTGAATTGTCAATTTGTCATCACCAAATTTAATTAAATTATACATTGTACATAGCTATATAAATGGAGTCCATCGTCTGATTTAAATAAATTGTTAAACATAAAGAACATCCATTTATTTAATATGTTTATGTACAATGCAATTGACAATATTTAAACAAAACTTGCAGAATATAAATTTAAGTACATTATTTATGAATATTTCAATCTGTAAGAGAGATTAAAGAACACATACATACACATATTTAAAATCATTACTAAAAATCAATAGAAATAATATATTCAATAAAATTAAATATATCCTTTAATCTCTCTCTTCTCTTGCAGATTGAAATATTTATAAATGTACTTAAATTTATATTGAGTTTTGTTTATGTATGGATTTTGTATTCCATCATTTCTTACAAATTGCTTTAAATTTTATTATTACATATTTTTATTTAAAGCATTTTCTAAAGTCGCATAAGTAAAAGTATGTTTTCAAAATTTATTCAAACATATGAAAAGGAATATTTGCAACTTTAAATATATATATAAAGTTGTTTGATTTTAATGATGTATTGATTTGTTTAAGACTTAAAAAGAAAGACCATTAGCATATAAGGGTAAAAAAAGAAAAGCAACGCTTATTTCTAAGGAAATCATTTTATTCTCCTTAAGCTTGATTTCGTCCACATGGAGTTCTTGACTCATTACTCTTTCAATAGGATGATTTTTAAATTACACTATTATATTATCGATAGTGTAATACTGAAATGCAAAGCGGACAAAGAGGTATGCATATTCCACGTGTATGCGTTGCACGTTTGGGTAATTGAAAATTTTTTAATTACACAAATGTGAAAGATATTTCGAAATCTACTTTGGTGGCATTTGCTTTAGTCTAGGGTATAAAGATATCCTTTCGATTAATTGGACGATATAAATCTCAAGACGACATCATAATAATATTATATATAATTATGCTCTTGCTGGAACATAACATGTCATTTATCGGGAATCATCAATAGGCTGCATACAATTCGACTCTCTCTTCCAGTAATATAATGCATATAATTTATAATTATAATTGCACTAAAGGTGAGATAAATCTGATTTTGTAACAATGAATACGCAGCTTGTGTATTTTACATGTGTTTAAGAATTAGAAGTTTTCTATGATTTTTTTAATAATTTGTAGTAAAATTATAATTAAAATAATTGTATTCATAATACATCAATCATGAAGCCTGATCTGCATACTAATTGCATTATATTTTAATAGTTATAATCAAATATACATACATATATGGATAGTTTTCAATACACATATATTCAAATATGATACTAAATAAAAGATCTCATTCACGTTGCTTCATACGTTGATGTACTTTGCCATACAACATTATGTATCATTCATCATATGAGATATTACAAATCAAACATTTACGTATGTTTCATTTACGGAGCGACATCTCGACGATTACAAAACGTAATTCGTTTAATGTGAGAGGCCGTTTCTAGGACAAAATTGCCAATATATGCACGTTATTTCGTCTAAGATCGCCAGTTTAAATGGTATGCAGCATGGAAAAGTAAAATGAATGTACAGACTTATGATTTGGAATTTACAAATTTTCTACAACATTATCGAGTGAGAGACACCTCCACAAGAGATGAAATGGCACTTATGCGCAAACAGAAGAAGTCTTAAAATGATTCACAATACCAGACGTTATCTTCATCTCGTTAAAAAACTTTAAAGGCATAAGTTATATATTCTTACTGATTATTCATTTTATTACACAGTCTGTGTCTTCGGTTGTAAGATTCAAAATATGATCTTTTCGCTTTACATTGTACTAGCTTGAAAAGCTGGAGCAGAGTTCCTATAAATTAAATCATATGTGAATTGAATTATTATCTTACGCACATATGATTTGTATATTTGCAAAATTAATTGGAATTTATGTGAGAAGGATGCTACATTTTTAATGAAGAATTCTGATAAAGAAAGTTTTAGACATAGTTGTGTCACAGCACAAATATCTTATTAACTTTTCTATCTATACATAAACTCGGCACATTCATTCAACTTTCCAAGCTATTACCTCCTTTCTTTCACAAAGTTGTTTTTTTCGTGTTTTTTTGTTTCTTTTTAAACATATATTTTTAGCGGGCACCAGTTTAATATCATTTGGTACCTTCATTATAGATCTCGCCTCGTGCTATTGCAAAAAGGAAGATGTCTCTGTTTGTATGGGTAGGCTAAAAAGTGCTGCCTTCGGGAGGCTGAGAAAGTTTCATATTTTCTTTCAACGTCATCAAACGACGGAGTTCCTGAAGAACTGTTTTAATTGTATATTCTCGTTGCCATTTTGCAAGGACTGGTACGCTGCGATTATCCACCTTGTATGCAAATTTTATTTGTTATTCTAAGTATATATATATATATATTTTATCTCACTATAAATGTCACATAACAATCTTATATACTTACAGCTCCAGTAGCACTGTTAATGCAATTCATATTGATTCTGCTTAAAAATCTTACATTAGGTGCATCATCTGGATATCTTTGACCACAATCAATTTTCAGACTATACATCCTATTTTCATACGGCGTCTAAAAAAATGTGTGAATGTACACTAAATATATTTTTTACAATCATCCATTTTGATATAATCAATTTTTATAGTCATTTTTTTGCTCGAATGCGAAATTCATATTTTCTCTACATAGTATAATATACATTATAATTTATATATTAATAGCAAAGTATATTTTCACATCTACGATCTCTTTGTTGTAAATTACAGTTAATTAACACAAATGAAATCTTTTATCGCAATTGATTACTGACGTAACAAGAACTTCAGATTTATTTCAGTTTGATCAGATAATGTCGCTCAACTTTTCTGCAGAAAAATTGGCACGAGTGTATTTATATCAGTACAAAAAAATGACAAAAATTCGTACTACAATTGCGAGGGAGAAATAACACTGATGGAAGGTATCTTACCCTAGGTGGTCCAATTATCATGCCAGTCCAATGTGTGAGGGTCATGTCATCATCATTCTCCAGACCCCAACTGATCGTGCCATCGCCCACACCTTTCTGGCCCTGCTCCAGTTCTTCCAAGAGTCGGAAGTTTCGGGGCACGACTGAAACGAGATTCACGGCTTAGAATCGGGCTGAAATTCATCGTGACAGCTGAGACAAATATGACGATTACGCGCTCGATACGAGGTTATGGATCGAAGCGGGCATTGAGCATGGTTAACCTCTCAGCACCACCGAATCTCGACGTTAATTTGCGACGTGGAAGCCGGATCGAGGTAAGAGAAACAGAGATCTCGACGGAGAGGATCCCCGTGTCTCGTCGCGAGATCTCCCGCGAGAAATACGAGGCGATACCCCGCGACATCCGCTGTCAACTCGCGTTTCCGCGAAGTACGCGAGCGAGGATATCCCGGTTCCTCGAGATTCTCCGAATAATCACGCATCGCGAATTAATGAAAAATAGGCTCGAGAGCGCGTTTTTCGGCGCGCGCGCTCGCGATCGCTCGGCAAAATAACTCACCTACACCGGTGTTGGGCACCGCCATGATCTCTGTATTTCTGCGAAGCGCCGTATTTTTTTTTCTCCCTATCCCTATGAAGTGCGAGAGGCGGGCGAACGCGCGCACGGCGAGATGTCACACACGTGGGGCTGGCGCGGCTTTTAACTGCGGCGTGCGCTTCTCATCACCCGGGGATATGTCGTCGCGGTGTCCTGGCCGAGCCAAATATTCGCGCTATCGCACACCCCGATTACTACCGAAAATACACTTTGCGCAAAATTTCAGCCAACCTCCGCGCTCCGCGAGAGATCGCCCCGTCTCTCTCTCACGTCACGGACTAGTCGCACTCTAGATCTCACGTCATCGCGAGAAGCGGAGTCTCGCGCGCGCCTCGCGACGTCAGCAGCAGGATGTGTGTCATCTCGAAACGGTTCGATCTTGCGATTTTGCCGTCTACGTTTTGCTCGTTTACTCTCTGGCCAACTTCACTTCAAACATACCCGGAAAACGAAGTTTTCGATCTTATTTTATAATTGCACGTTATTATATTATAATAGATTTATTTATTGTCTTCTCCTGCCCGATATTGAAGTTTCGTTTTTAACGCACGAGGTATGGAAAAAAAAAATATATATATATATATATGTATATTTATTTTATTAAATGAGTACTTTATGATAATATATGAAGATGAATCAACTTTTTTGGTCAAGAAGATATATACACTGAAATATAGGTATATAATATATTATATACGAATTTCGCGATTGTATGATTAATTTTCAGGAATTTCCTTGCAATAATTAAATGTCTTAGAATTTTGTCAAGTAGGTTGGAATATATCGCATACAATTTATAATCATCTCTAATTATTGTAGGTTATTATTTTTCTCAATTATTAAAAAATGCATATTTTTAAGTAATGCAGCAAAAACGATTTTTATTTCGTTTTTCTGCACATATATATATCACTTTATCATTATACAAAAAATCAATTTTTATCTTGTTTTCATATACATATATTAATTACAATTACTTTCATTATGAAAATCATGTTATTTTCGCATGAAAAATCAAGACAATTACCACATTCCATTTGCTTTAAACATTTCTTTATATTTCCACATAAAGAGAATAATAAATTTTTTGTTTATTTACAAAAACTGATTTTTGTTGTTATTTTTTGTAAATAAAGAAAAAATTTGGCTATAGTTTTAATCGAATAATTTAAAAAACTGTTCCTATGATTACTCTACTAGCGATATTAAGATATTTTAAGAAATATAGAAATATTATAAGAAATATAGAAATTGATTATAAGAATAAATATGAAAATTCATGAAAATAATTCTAGGAGCACGTATCGGCAGACAAGGTTAGGAAGGTCGAATGTAATATTTCGCCGCGCAGTAGGGGCGCTGCGTCGCACTCCGCGCAGGCGTGGAATGGTGGGGGAAGCGCCGCGCGCAGGCGAGAGTGGGGAGAGCGCCGCGAAGTTAGTCAGTGCGCAATATCGCGTCGTCGACGTCGGATCGGAGCAGCCGCGAGTGGCGCGCCAGCGCGACAGAGTCTCGACTCTTTTTCTCCTCCCTCCCTTTATCCCTCCGGTAAGATGAACAACGCGCGATAACTCTGTCGTCAGTTCGCGTTCCGTGTGGGTGCGTTTCGCGATGCGCGATCGTGTGGTCGCCGGTTTTGTGATCGCGAAGAGAGAGACAACAACGACGACGACGGTGTGATATGCCGGTGGACGGTCGCTGAAGTTGGTGCGTCCTGCCGTCTGAAGTTGGCCGACGTGGATTACTGGAAGAGAACGGCGACAAGTGCCGAGCCGGGGAGATTCGTGGTGGAGAATTACGGGAGCAAACCACGGAGCAGGGTGGTGAGTAACGATTTATTGTGCATTGTGTTTGTGTTGTTTTGATCGCGGCGAGTCCCGATGGGAGAGACAACGCGCCCGCGTGTCTCTCTCTCTCTCTCTTCTCTCTTTCTTTCTTTCTCGGAATTTTTGATGTTTTCGTTCTTTTGACCTTCGCGGAATCCCCTTGACAGATCGTCGAGAAGAGAGTAATTTTGACAATTATTTCGGATGCAGAATTATTGCGGATGCGGAGAGACGAAATGGTGGTGCTCGCCATTAACGACGATTTGTTGTTCTCAATCGCGCGAGAGAGTCTCTGCGCTTGCATGGGGGCGTTACATTTATACGCGACGGGACGCTCCTGACATTGATCGTCGTTTCTGTCATGTCATTACCGCGTTCACGAATGATTACGAATGCAATTAGTTTCGTGGTTGCGCGTGACGCTGATATAAGGGCGAAGTTGGCAATAAACCGATACCTTGAACATCATATTTCAATATCGATATACTCCGAGGAGACTTCAATGCTTTGACATTGCGGCTCTTTTTCGATAAGTCGATATATAGAACGACGTCGGACGTCTCGTTCAAGTAAAACAAACTTCACATAGTAATGCATAATAATTATTGACATAGCGGTCGAGAGAGAAACAGAGACACAAAGAGTGATTATTTTTTTATAGAAAAATATGAAAAGTTATATTCTTTTTCTTGCAGAATATTTTTAATTAACAAATCTTTCTTAGTATTCTTTTCAGAGTAAAATAAAATGTTTATTTATTATTTTGAGATCTTTTCTGTTGTTTTTTTTCATTATCGTCTTTAATTATGTAAAAATATAATTTTTACGGAGAAAATTTAATAGTTGAACAAAATATTTATGATTTGTGCGCTAAGTAAATCGCTATTGAATAATATCATCAATTGGCAACGCGATCGATTATTAATTATATTAATTTAATTAATCATTAATTTACGTTAATTATCAGTCATGGATTGAGCGCTGCACATCGTTAAAATTATGAAAGATTTATGATTGTTTTTTAATCGTTCGTGTATTTTCATGTATGTCTCGATCGAATATTCGTCATAAATCCATATGGAATCCATATAGAAAAAATATGGAGGAAAGGGGGTTCTTTCGAAGTTTGCTTTGTTTTCATATAAGAAGGGCGTATCCGGCTAATCGTATCTATACGGAAACCCCTTAGGAAGGAGCATTCTATCATTTACATTTGCCTAAAGACACGGTTTTCTTCTATTATGTTACCCGTTAATTTATGCGCATTCAAACTTACACCAATAGTTTACGAAACATTTAATCGCATAAATGGAGTATTGTATATAAGCTTGAGACTCGTGTATTCGACATTTCCTTGATTAACTTTGCGATCAATGCTGCAAATTTGCATTTTACATACCAAGAACAGGAAGAGAGAGAGAGAAAAGAAATTATACAATTAAGCAGAGATGAAATTGTGTACTGAAAGCAATATTCCAGTTACTCTAATGACAGATTTATTTAATAAAATTGTATTTTGTAGAAAAATCACACTTTTTAAATTTAATACAAATTTGCCACATTTTTATTATTAATCGCTACATATATTTTTCATTATTAATTTGTTGGTAAGTCATTCTTTCTTTTATGCATTAATTCGTCTAAATAAAGTTAAATAGAATTTTGAGGGACACTATTAAGGGAGATTGAGTGTCGCGTCTGAATTTTTCAATGCACTTTTAGATAAAAAAATTAAGTGTAACGAGCACTCGATCGGGCCCTCTTAAATCGACGTGCAGGTCTTATTTAAGTTTAACCACGGAGCCCTTACGGTCGATTGGCCGACCGCGCGCGGCCAACCTCGGCTTAACCTTTAAATCACGTTGGCGGCGAGGTCTCGCTTCCATCGGAAATTGCACGCGTCACCGTGCATCCTTGTGGGATAAATATCGTGTACGCGCGCGCGCGTTCGAGAGAGAGGAGAGAGAGAGAGAGAGAGAGAGAGAGAGAGAGAGAGATATCCGGTGGGATTGGCAATCACGAATTGGTCACAAATCTCATAAAACTGTACGGAATCGTGCAGTTACTTTTTTAACATGTTAAGCATCTCTCGCGCAAACTGTAATTTTAAGTTTTATTAAGTAAATTTATTTAATTTGATTTAACTAACTTTGCGAATATTTAATTAAAGATATATATATCGATATTATATTGTATATTGAATGCGAAATTTTGACAAATTTATTCTTTCCAATATTTGTTTCTTTTTTATTTTATTTTGTATTAGGTCTCCCAATTTCTAGCATATACAGAGTTAATTTTATATTAAGCATATATTGAATACGTATAATCAAATAAATTGCTAATAATTTTAACAATTTTTATTCACAATATTTGATATAGGTATCAATATTTTACCATGCAGTATTACATATCATTTGTTATATGGGTCAATCAAGTTGTCACTTGTATGTGTTGCATTTATGGAGAAACATCTCTTCTTAATCTTTTATTGTTCCATTATTAATCATAATTAGAAATGACAATTACTATTGTACAATTTATGTCATAATTGTACAATGATATTTATATACAGAGAGGCTTCTCTCTCTCGCTTTTCATGCAAACATGATCTATATATTGGAGCAATTCTTTTCTCTTTTCAATGAGTTTTATTTTTTTCTGTTATAAATATATGATCGTCTTGATGAGTACATTTTGCATACAGGTACAACAAATTTATTAAATAATTTCAATACTACTCCACGCTCGTACTGTTAATATGCATACGTATTTTTGTATCATATATACACTGAGAAAAAAGATGTTAATTTGACTGAATATGTGTTCAACTAATTACTATTTTGTAAATTAAACACATTGAAGTATTTAAATTAAATACAACATATTAAATATGTATAACATAACGTGTTTAGCTAAATACTTACACATGTTTAATTAACAAAATAGTAATTAGTTGAACGCATGCATTTAGTCAAGTTAACAACTTTTTTTTCTTAGTGCAGTAGGTCTTTGTTATAAATAAAAATTTTTGTTTTGTGAATCAACCAATTAAGATATTTTACTACAGAGATTATTCTTATAAGTGTCATTATTTTTTAAATATAAATTATATATTTTTTTATTTAGTTTAGAAAAAGATCGTCGTATAATGTAAATAGAATGCTTCTAAAACAATAGTTGGGCAGTGAAATATATTTAACTGAAACGATAAATTTTATTAATGGTGAAATTTTGATTTCTCGGACTAGCCACGTGTACAGTTTTCTATAATCGCGTTGCAAACTTTCCAAGATCGCAAAATTCATCATTACGCACGGCGATCGGCACGTGCACGCATTATGCTCGCAAAGCTTTCACCGTTTGCTATGCAATGCGAGTGTTATCGTTCGTATCCGATATCATTGTACCGCGAGGAACATTAATCAGGAGTTGCGCGATGCAGAGATAAATTCGTTTCGTGCTCGAGAGTGCGGCAATGAAAAGAGAAAGGATTCGACAAAACGTTGATTTTCATCGCTTTTGTCATTTTTATTTATGCTATTATAATCACAGATTTCTTGAAGAATTTCTTTTTGAAGGAAATAATGAATAAATATATAGACTATATTTAAATATCAATGATGAATTTTTTATTAATGGATTTTGCTAAGAAGCAGTAATATAAATTTTAGAACTGAAAAAATACTAACAGTTATGTTAAAATATTTAAGCGCTTATTAAAGATCCGATATAATATCGTGAAATGGATAAATTTTTCCATTTTACGATATTATATGAAATCTTTAATAAGCCGCGTAAATATTTTAACGCATGTTAATATTTTTTTAGAATTTTTGTATTATAACTAATATATATGGTTCACACATTCACACATTCATGCAAATGATGCACTTGATATGCTTTTTTCTAATTCGATTATAATATATAGTAGCTATTTAATTTTAACTAAAATTCTTCCACCGTATAATTACACGAAAACGCGACCCTTCGCATCTTTCGCAGAGCGATGCTCGAAATGAAACACAGCATGGCAAAACAGCTGCCTGCTGACGCATGAATGGTCGCCTTATAAACCTGACGTTTTATGGAAGCAAGTTTTTTTTCTGAAGTTACCGACAAAAAATAAATTCTTCTTTTCGCTTCGCGCCTTTCACTTGCACTTTCGTCGTGTCATCTGACGAGTATGCGCGAATTTCCTGTTATCGTCGTATATATCAGCTATTTCGGTAATGCCATTGCGTGCGAATACATTAAGTTACGATAAATCTGATTTCGATTTTGTAATTAGGTATCCAAAGTTTGACTACAAAGCTGCCGTGACGATTTTTATCTCACATTTATATTGGCGTTTACATGCGACTTGATATTAGCGTTTATACGCTATCTGAAACACGTTGTTGCGAATAAGTCTCTATTAGGGACAAGAGAGAACGAAGTTTTTTTTGCTCTTATCTCGAATTTTATTTATATTTTTCTGTGTTCTATGTTATTAATAATATATAATCTATATATATTCACCACGTCAATTTATTTTGCGACTATTTGTCTGCGTGTTTTTTTCCGTATTCTCGATTGCAATTCGTTGAGAAAAGGTTTTTCTATTTTATCCATAAATCTTCTCACCTACACATTTTATAGCTGTTAATTAAGAAAGTTGAATAATCCACTTAGAAAGTAACTTGTAATATATGTTCCGTGTATTTTATACGCAGAAGATTTAATTTTCTAAGCGGACCGTGGGGTCTACTTTGAAAGCCCTTTGGTCTAATGCATAATTAACGCATTAATTCTTAGGAACATATCCCAGTTTGCATCGCGATTCATTCGGTATCTCGCCATAATCGCTCGTCATGTCGTGCGCGCAATTAAGATCAATTCATCAGACAAGGCATTCCCATTTCGTAACACGGGGAATTCCGCGTGCCATTGTCGTTGTTGCGGAAACCATTATCGGAGGAAGAAAGAGCGGGCGCGCGTGTTCAGGTTCGAGCTTC